AGTATATATAGTAAAAAAGTTCTTTTACTATTAACTAAAAGTTGTAGTATATGTAGTAAAAAAGTTCTTTTACTATTAATTATTAACTAACAGTAATTATTAACTAACAGTAACAGTAATACTAACAGTAATAATTATTAACTAACAGTAATAAGTAAAAAAGTTATATTATATAGTAAAGAAATATATAAAAAGTATATAGTAAAATAGTTAATAGTTAAAAATTAATAGTTGATGATTATAGTTAATAGCTGAAATTCAAAGTTGAAAATCTTGGTTATCAGTTGATGAGATAATAGTTCATAGTTAATAATTAATAGTTAATCAATATTTCTAAAATTTCAGTCCTATTAATTAAAAATAATTTTAGAATTAATGTCTGTTTGTCTGTCTGTCCTCAGCTTTGAATTTTGCTGTGTTTGGCGTTGTGTTTATTTTTTTTATTAAAAATGGTTGAAATTATGGTGAGCAAAAAGGGTCCCGTAAATGGGTGAAAAGGTCTGGCAAAGGTTGGAATAATGGTGACCGAAAAGGGTCCCGTAACTGGGTGAAATAGGTCTGGCAAAGGTTGGAATAATGGTAAGCGAAAATGATCCAGTAAACTGGTGAAAAGGTTCAGGCAACGGTGGAAAGAAAGGATTTCGAGCAATAAGCAAGAGAAAAGTGACCGTCACATAGCTTGAGAAAGGGATTCGCAAATGAACAAGATAAAAGTGTCCGTCAATAGGAAAGAGGAAATAGTCGTTAATAGGCTTGAGAAAACGGTTCCACAATGGGTTAGAAAAAAGCGGTGGTGACTGAGTTAGAAGTCTGACAACGGTTAATTGACAAGGGTTGTTAATAGTTGATATTTAATGTTGTTAATATTTAATAGTTAAAAATTAATATTCTAAGGTTGGTTAATAGTTGTAAATTAATATTTGAAAGTTGGTTAATAGTTAATAGTTGAAATAGATATTAATAGATGAAAATTGAAAGTCTTAGTTAATAGATCAATCATTGTTAATAGTTAATAGTGAAAATTGATAGTTAATAGTAGACATAGATATTAATAATTAATAGTTGAAAATTGAAAGTCTTAGTTAATAGTGGAATCATTGTTAATAGTGAACATTGATAGTTAATAGATGGCATGGATATTAATAGTTAATAGTTGAAAATTGTTAGGTAATAGTTAATAGTACATAGATATTAATAGAGAATAGTTGAAAATGTGAAGTCTTAGTGAATAGTTGAATCATTGTTAATAGTTGGAAGTTGAAAGTTTTAGTTAATAGTTGACGACTGAGTATGAGGTGTTTTAATTTAAGTTTATGTAATGTTTAGAATTTGGCTAGCGGAAGGGGCTCGCCCGAAGGGCGACCCCCTCCGCTAGTAAGTTAAGTTATACCCATAATAACAAATATTGCCTGAGGGCATTTATCTTTATTTTGTCTTATTTCTTATCTATTTGAAATAGATTACCAACATATTATACATCATTCGACGCGCCTCATCGAACTGCATCGAATAACACTAAAATCAACGTGATCGGATAATTTTGGGCAAAGTTATACCCAAAATAACAAACATTGCCTGAGGGCATTTATCGTTATTTAGTCCTATTTCTTATCTATTTCAAACTAAATTACCAAAAATTCTATTAGCCATTAAAATAGTCAATTGATCCATTGTTTTGACTTCCTTAAGTGCCACAGGGTCACAGCCTTGGAAAAAGGCGACCATTAGAAATCCGATATAGGTGATCATTAATTCTGTATAAAATTTTTCTATTTGAGAGATAAAATTCGGAAACTAACGTATAATTATATTAGCTGGAATTGTTAAATTCAATACTCGATGAGCATGTTCTAATGAAGGCATTGAACAATACTAGAAAAATATTTTTAAATGAAATTTTTCCTTATCCTCTCAGGAAGAGCCCCAAAAAAATTTTTGATTAAAGTGAGAGATTAAAAGACCTACATGGGGAAGGAATATTGGAGAGGAACACACGGTTCTCATGTGGTATAAGAAAATATTTTATAATAATTTTTGGTTAGGTTCTTGCTTGTTTGTAATGTTCCTGTCAAGAGATGTGTCGAGTTTTCTTCGAAATTTTCTTCGGATAGGCGGGTTTCAAATTGAAAATGTCTGGGTTTCCTGTTCAAGTCTGGGTTGGACTACCGTATAATATAAAAAATTTTTATCTTTCACCCTTTGCATAGCCATTTGATTAAGGCCATAAATACAAATCCAGTTTGTAATTCCTCCAAAAATTTCTAACCAAAGGTTGCCATACTGTATAAATTTGAAGTTAAAGGCGAAAAAATATGATTACTTGTAAAATTGAAGGATTTAAAATGAATCCTTGCGCAAATCTGCCGGTTAAACTATTAATCTGTAGAACATGGCTAACCCCTCCTGAAAAAATTTTTTTTGAAAATTTTTTTTTAATTTTCAAAAAATCTCAAAAAAAGTTCGCAAGCTCTGACCTGCTTCAATCGTTCCTTTCACAATAATTATGCCAAGCCCCAGATAAATAAAAGATGCCTGGAGGGTGTCTGTCCTTAATTTTTATAATAAACTAAGATTTTTTTATAAATTTTCTTTTACCAAATAACCGCTTTAATCCCACCAGCAGCCGTGTAAAATGTAGAGACAGTCCCTACAAGGAGTATAAACGGCCATAATGGAAGTGAAGTTACTCCAGACAATGCTATTGATGGGGCGTAGATTACTACCTTTATTTTGGATTTTTAAAAAATTAGATAAGAGTTAAATTAAGGTTAGTACAGAGTCGAACCTCTCCCTATAAGATACCCTCTTGCTAGAAAAAGAAATTTTTTATCTTGAAATTTGTTGAAAATTTTCGTGAAAAATTATTGGAGATGAATAAAAGCTCACATTCAGTGGTTAAACCCTAATTTTAAAAGCCTATCTTAAACTGAGGTACTATATCCAATATTGGGTGTCTATAAAAATGAGTGTTTAGGCTAAAGTTTGACCCCGAATCCTGAGGGCACGTTTTTCTGTGAGCGTTGGAGTATGACTGACAGAATAACACTCACAATTTATTGTCAGTCATTCTCCAACGCATCCAAAAAAACGTGCCCCCAGGATTCGGGGTCAAACCCTAGTTTAGGCTGAGGTAGGACATCTGACCCTTCGGTGTCAGAAAGTTCTGAATCTGTGTTTGGGTTGAGAATAATGAAGTCGGAGTTCTAAGAATTTTCGGGGCAAAGTTAAAATTTTTATAGGGATTCTAGGAGACGGAATCGGGGTCCATCTCTAGTCTTGAAATTTTTTAATAGGAATGAAAAGTCCTTAAGTAATTTTAAAAATTTATTACAGCCATGTATATGAGCGTGTTTAATGTGAAAATGAGTGTAGCAATCCTTCGGAGTGTTCTGCTGTTAAACCTCATTTCAAAATACTCGTAAGCATTGAGGCACTAAATTAAATTAATTTTTTTTCTTAAAATTGGGAATAAACTTTGGGAAAGCTATATCTCTAAATATCTCTCAAAATTAAGGAATACTGGGCCTCTGGATAGGCGAGATTGAAAAAAGACGGTTCGAATTTTCAAAAATTTTCTCGAGTTCAGATCGGGCTGAAAAAAAGTTGGTTTTCGGATAGCCCGGTCCATTCCAGCTGGTCGTGTTTAATGAAAATGAGTGTTCGATTTCAATTGTTTCCAAATTTTGTCCGCAAATTTTCTTTTAAATTAGTCAAAAAAAATTTTCAAAATTTACCTTAATTTTATAAAAAATCGGAATAAAGAAAATTCCAATAATTGGAAAGGCTAAAGTTCCAGCCATTGTATAGATAAACAATCCAGAGCCTTTAGTATAAATTTCGGCGGGTACTCCAAGTAGACCAATGCCAGAAACAAAAGTAGTTAATAAGGAGAGGCAAACGGGGAAGACTGGAAGGCGACGGCCTCCATCTAGAAAATCCCCTGTTTTCGAGTTTTGTTGGGGTTGTTGTTCTGATTTTGAAGACAGGGAACGTCCTATTCCGTGGTAGAGACCAACAAGGAGTGAAAGAAGCAGAAAAATGCCAAAAACCCCGAAATCGACTAGGGCAAACATTTTAAGCTGTAAATTGCTTTAGTTGTTGGGAAGGAGATATAAAAATCAGAATTTAAGAAATACAAAAATCAGAATTTTAAAAACCAGAATTTTAAGAAACTACAAAAACCAGAATTTTAAATCAGAATTTCTAAAAAATAAAAATCAAAATTTTTATTTTAAAACAATTTTAATAATAATTCTGATTTAAAAAGTTTTGTATATTTTTATTTGATTAATAATTCTGATTTTCAATTTAAATCAGAATTAATCAGAATTATTGGTTTCAGAATTCGAATAATTTAGTTTAAGCTGTATTTAAAACCAGAATTTTTAAATATCAGAATTAATGTGTTTTTATTATAAAATCAGAATTTTTCAAACAGAATTATTTGTTTTTAATATTAAATCAGAATTTTTAAATATCAGAATATTTGTTTTTAATATTAAATCAGAATTTTTAAATATCAGAATATTTGTTTTTAATAATTTAATTTCAAAATCAGAATTTTATTTTTATTGAAGAAACAATTTATTTAAAGAACAACAAAAATGATATCAATAATTTGATAACAAAAATACCTATTAAAAAGGAATTCGTACTAAAATTTTGATTCATAAACAAATAAAAATACAAAATATATTTTATGAATTTATACATCAATTGGATTTAAATTTTATTTGATTTCTGAACTTAATTTGGGTCGGAATTTCGATTTCTGACTTCCAAGTTCCAAAAAAATTTGATTTCCGATTTCCGGTTTCCGACTTTTGAGCCAGTTCCGATTTTTGGCTCTTCCGATTTCCGACACATCTGACTGTTCCGACCCACCTCTGTTAACAATCAAAATCCGGCTTAACGTTTAATCTACCCTGTATGGCAACCATATTTTTAGTTTTTCTGCATGAAAGATGTCGTACAAGTGAGATCCCAAGGACTAAGGGACCCGATTCGGAGCCTCATTTCGCAGCTCCGGTTCAAAACAGCATCGGATTAATTTTCGATTTTTAAACGGACACTATAAAGATGAGTGTTATAGTGTGAAGGAAGAAGCATTTTTTGCCTCATTATTTCCACGTTTTTTTTTAATTTTTAATTCACTCAAAAAACGAAATTATAAGCCTTTTGTTTGTCTTTATTATCAAAAATAATATTTTTTTGAAATTATTTAAATCAATTTTGCGTCTTATCAGTTTGTGACAAAAAGGGGTTTAAAAAATTATTTTTTAAAGAAAATAATGAAAAATTAGAATGTTTAATAAGCTTTAAAATTTTAATTTTAGTAAATTTTTGTAGGGGGATTAGTTAGTGATTTTATTGTATTTTTTGATTTTTATAGTTTGTTAATTTTTAATTTTTGGTGATTTAAAAGAAAACCCGTTTGAGGTAATATTTGGATAAAACAATGGAAGAATCTCTATTTATCGCACCTGTGGATATTTAAACTTCTAACTAGGGGTTTGACCCACGTCCCCGACGAAGAGATTTCCTGAGGGGAACGGAGAGTCTCCTCAGGAGCCCCGTCCTGAGTCCCCGCACGGTTAATAGACAGACCGGACTGGGAGTGTCTTAAGAGAATCGGGGTCTTGAAAAAGCTCCCGTCTCATTTCGAGCTCCCGTCTCATCCAGATCCCTATTTAGTACCTTGCAACCTCGTCGGTCTTTGTAAAACCTGTCTCCGACTGGAAATGTCGACCTTATTAACTACATGGTAGAAGAGGTGCCTAAAGAGGGCTTTCAGTTAAGGAAGGCTAAGGAAGAGTCTTTCGGATATCCCTAAGCTTTCGAATATCCCTAACTATCTAGATAGCTCCTCAAGAGATTGGATAAGACATGATATAATTTTGGACCACATTCCCACATATCTCAATTCCTTTGTTATTCTAGCTTAAAAAGGTCTAAAGGGGTAGGATAGATATGTAGAGATTCTACTGTCAAAAAAAAGTTTTTATCATTTTAATTTTTATTCTATTTTGGTATTCTTCCATTTCTTCTTTCCTCCTCATCTTTTTCCTCAATTTTCTTCCTTCTCCTATTATCATCCTCTTCATTCTCTTCCTTATTCTCCCCTTTATTTTCTCCCCCACTATTTTTGCCAATCTCCTCTATATTATTAATCTCCTCTACTACTCCTCCTTCCTCTACAACCCCCTCCACATCTTTCTCAGCCTCTTCCCCTCCTTGTTGTTCTTTCAATTCCCCATAAGAAACATTATAATAGTCTTTAGAAGCATCCAATTTTAAATAAGAATATTCATCGCTAACGGTTTCTAATTGAAGGGCTAATTGTTGCCTTATAGCAGCAAAGTCTAAGCGCATTCTTGGATCTGCTGTCCAACAGGCACACATTACTTTGTAGCTTTAAATTTTGGGGAATTTTTAATTATATTTTTAAATTAGGAAAAACTCTCTGATTTTGTGAAGGGAGATTATGGCAAGCTCGGAATCCCGTCTATCCTTGGAACTAACTCTGAGACCTTGCTATTGTTGACATCCTGGTTAGAATAAGAGGGGAAAATCTTTCTCTTTCTTTCTTTTTCTTTTTAATCTCCCTCTTTCTCTATCAAGGAGAGGGTGAAGTAAACGTCTCGATTCTTGGAATATTTTTGATTTTAGACATGCATCTATGGGAGATTATGACAAGCTCGAAAGTCTTCCATCCTTGTTGACTACCTCAGAATCCCTAGGAAACTACCGTATTTACTGAACTAATTACCTCCATGGATCAAGTTAAGGAGAACCCCATGAATTGTCGATCGGTCTGATCAACCCTGAAGCTCTTCCTATTACCTTCCCCCGCTCTCTTCCTTTCCCCTTAATATCCTTCTATATTCTGGGTATGGTTCCACTATGCTTTATTGATGAAAAAATTTTTGGAATTAAAAATCTCTCTCACTATTCATCCGGACAATTGTCTGGTTGAGCAATACGACGGCCCGACTCCAAAAATGCGAGCATATCGTCAGGCTGAATTCCAGGGTATGGAGTGCCTCCCAAAGTGATTATTTCGAACATGAGAATGCCAAAAGACCAGCTGATGAAGAAAAAAATTAATTTTTGGGACAGATTTTTTGGTAAAAAACATACACGTCAGAACTAGTAGTAAATTCATAATGTCGAATAGCCTCGGGGGACATCCTTTGAAAATTTATTTTAATTTTCAAAAATTTTTTCTGAAAATTTTCCCAGTTACCATTTGATAGGCAATCTTCCACCTCTTCCCTTATAATTCGAACTATCCGCATAAATAAACCGGCAAAGCCCAAAATCCCCTATTTTTGCATGTGTTTTGTCGTGCACAAGAATATTTCTAGCAGCAACGTCTCTATGTACAAAACCTTTTTGGGTCAAATATTCCTTAAAATAAATTATAATAATTAAATTTTAGTCAAAATAAAATTAATTGAAGGCAAAAGGATTCGAACCTATACCTATTAAAATAAGCACTCAGAAAATTAATCCACTTAACCAAAAAAATTAATTTTCCATTCATAAAGGTGGACTAAATTTAAAATGGACTAGAGTTAACTTAAAATCGTGAAAATTTTCTCAGATATAGCTAACAGTGTTAACCTACTTCTCTAAAAATTTCAAAAATTTTGGTTCAGAAATTAGAAAGTTATGAGCAAAAAATCGACATTTTCCTAAAAATCTGAGCATTTCTGAGCAATAACTTAAGAAATAGACAATCAAAAATTCTGAAATTTTCAGGAATATTAGATAAGAGTATCTAGGAGAACCGTGCAAAATTTCACAATTTTAGGTTAAAAATTAAATTTTCTACAACCGAACGCTCAGGCGTTGTTGAATCAACTGATAGGTTCTAATGGTAGATTTTACTGACCATAACTTAATAAATACCAAACCAAAAATTACAAAATTTTTAATAATGTTAGATAACACTATTTTGAATGTTTATACAAAATTTCAGAACTCTGGGTTCAAATTTGTAATTTTTATAGGTGCCCGCGCAGGCTACGTCAAGTCCTCATTTTAATTTTGAGCATTATTTAAATTAAATTAAAAATTAAATATTTAAAAATCTCTACCAATCCATAACTAATTTGTACAGAGAACATTAACAACTGTTTTACAGTCATAATCATAGAATGATCAAATTCCGTCCCACAATCGGGGTCGGAATAATTAATTCCGGCATCATCCAATTCAAGCATGTATTTACAACGAATGCGGAGAAAATGGAGTAAATCGCTAAGAAAAAAAAATTTTTTTTGAATTTTAGAAGATAAATTTGAGTTGAAATTTATTTAAAAATAATTTTCAAATAATTTTAAACTTCCAAAAAAATTTTAAAAAATTTAAGAAATCTCCCCTCACCCATCACTGCAATATTCAACAACCAAACAATAGGGTTCTGATTGCATTACACAGGCTAACATATTCACTAATCTCTCGTGATAACCCAAAGTTTTCATTAAAGCTATTTCACGTAGAAATTCACTTTTGGATATATCATCGGCGTATTCTGATTTTTAAAAAAAATTAAGGTTATTGAATTTAATTAGTAATAGGACCATGTATTTTGATAGGGTGTGTTTGTCCACAAGTGAATGACCTTTTGCGTTATTTATGATATCTTTGGATAGAGCATAGAATTTGCTATAAAATAACAAAAATCCAGAATTTTTGAGAAATATTCTGATAAGTTATGGCCAAAAAACTGCTTAGCTGATGAAAAATGAGTATTTGCCGCAACTTCATTTATCAGTACTTTTTGTTCTAATTTTCAAAAATTTTGATTTTAAGGGATTTGAAGCTCATTCAATTCTCTATCAAATGATAGCATGTATACATACTTGGAAAGGTTAATTGACTAAAAAGTTATGGCCAAAAAGCTGACTAGCATCTTCTAAATTTCGTTATTTCTAAATGTTCTTACTTCAGAACTTTTTGTTCTGAATTTCAAAAATTCTGATTTTAAGGTATTTTGTAGCTAATTTAATTCTCTATCGAATGATACCAAAAACACCCAGATCAGTTATTTTGTTAGCTAGTTATACTCGATAGAATTCAACTAGGTCGTTGCTCAAGATACAGTAACCCTACAATTTAAATAAACACCTGGCAACATTTTAACAGCCACAAGTGCATTTTCAGCTCTCAAAAGGCCTTAAAATTTTAAAATTTAATTTTAAAAAATTTTCACAATTCCATACCTATACTTAAATTATTCCCTGCAGCCTTTAATCGACTAATACCAACCAATTTACCCAAATAAACAGCTCCAAATGCTCCTGCGCCAAGCTTTTTCTCTTCATAAATAATCAGGTTTCGCCTTTCCAGTTCCCATGGATCTTCTCTATATTTTTAAAATTTATTTTTGTGAAAAAGTAAAAATAAATTACCGTATTTCCTCTATTAGAATGGCCACCTTCATTTGAATGGCCCCCTCTAATAGAATGGTTCCTTGGAAGATGATTGAAAAATAGAATGGCCGGGAGTTCTATTAGAGGAAATACGGTAGTCTTGTGGGGCCCTCTAGGAGGCTAAAAATAGGAGCATTCTAAGGGTCATTCAATAAACGGGATAAATGAGAGACTTGGAAAGATAAATGTGATTAAAAGATAAATGTGATTATTGCTAGATATATTATGGTTTCGAGGGTGTGCCAGTTTCGATTTTCACTTTTTATCTCCATGCCCTTTATTTAATATACGCCTCAGTATAAGCTAAACTTTTTAACCCCTAAAGAGATCTTGTAGTGAGGTCAAACTAATTTTTTGAAAAATGCCAAAAATCACTTTCTAGCAGGGAAGTCCATATATCTCTGTTCTCTATCCCTCCGCATAGCCTCAAAAGTTTCACGTTTCTTTTTTAGTTGATTCTTTGAACGTCGAATCCAAAAGAAGATGGCAATGACTGAGACAACCAGAAGAAATATTAATAAAACAGCACCGCCAATCATAAAGCGGATAAATCGTTTTGCCTGAAAAAAATTTTTTGAAAAAAATTTTTTGAATTTGAAAAACCTCAAAAAATCTTAAGAATGAGAAGAAAAATTAAATTTCATTATTTTCCAAGTAAATAGCAACAAAAGGATTCGAACCTTAGTCATTTTCAGTGTAAAATCCTAAGCATATCCTACTACACCAAAACATACAAATTACCTTATATCCCTCAATTCGTCTCCTTTCTTCTTCCTCTTCAGAGTTTTCTTCCTCATCACCTTCCAAATGCTTCCCTTTTTGCAGATAAATTCCAAAAGCTTTTGGTTTTATAGATTTATCTGTTGTATTCACTTCAGGAAATGTTAAATTACGAGGATCAAGTACTGCACATAACACTACCTTTTTAAAAAAATTATCAGCTCTCATTAATACCGACTCTCATCTCAAGCTAATGCCAAAGCTGAGTCTTTACTCTTCGGCTAATTTCAGTTGTAAGTGGGAGGTCGGTGGATTGATGCAGAGGTTAATAGTAAGCATTCTGCCTTATCACACTTAACGGTATCAGTTTGTATTGGAGCATTAATTTTGGAGCTTGTGGCGACTCATAAACACACCGCAGCCCCACCCCCGTAGAAAGCTCACACTTATCATACCCCTGTTTATATTCTAATGACCGCCACTTATCGCGATGAATAAAGGTTTGGAAAAGGTGGACTAAAAAATGTCAGAAGAAACTGGTACCCTCCCAACCACACCCAAATATAATACTTATAATTACCCCATATTTATTTCCTTTCTTTAGACCATTCAAAATAATTGAATTGTTTGATATAAGATGCTAAAAATGATTAGGTAATTTATTAATAATCTCCTTAAACTAACTTTGCAAATTTTATCCTCTCCAAGTTTATCACAATTAGTTTCTTGGCCAATCACATTTGTCATATTTACACCACTTAGAAAACGCTAAATAAAAAATTTTTAATGTGGGCGTTTATAGGAGAGGTAGACTCTTATGAGTCGTGGGCGTTTATTGGAGAGATCGGCGTTAATTAGAAGGTAGTCTTTAATCCGAATATAGGCGTCAATTGGAGAGGGTGCGTTAATTAGAGATAAGAAACATGAATTGTGTGGGCGTCAATTAGAATAAAATTTTCCCCTCTGTTTACCTCATCATTGCCTTTATAATCAACAGCATTTCCATACAATGCCACATAATATTTTGGTTTCAAATTTAAAATTCTTCGAAGTGGTTCGAAGGTAATATTGACAGATATACTTTTTTCATTTGTTTTTGGGTCAGGTGTCTTAAAATCAGAAATTATAGAAAATTCTGTTATGGTCTGAATTGAATTCTGATTTAAATCAGAAAAAAATCAGAATTTTTGTCAGAATAAAAAAATCAGAATTTTAGAAAATCAGAATTCTGATAGAAAATTAAAATCAGAATTTTTATTAATTCTGGTTTTAATTCTGATTTTAATTCTGTTTTAAAAATCAGAATTCTGATAATTTTATTTCCTTACCTGTCCAATAACAGTATAATTGAAGTTTTCGAATTGACCACAAATAGGGGCAGATGCCCTGTCATCTTTTTTACAAACTCCATTAGGTACATTTTCTGAGCCGGTTACTGTATTGCAATCTGAGTGAGAGGGATTTTAAAAATTAAACAAATTTCAGAAAAAATCAGAATTAACTCAGAATAATTTCAGAATTATTTCAGAATAAATCAGAATAATTTCAGAATATTTCAGAAAAATTTTCCGAATTATTTCAGAATAATTTCAGAATAAATCAGAATTATTTTTAGAAAATTATCAGAATAATTCAAAAAATTTTCAGAATATTTTCAGAAAAAATCAGAATAATTTTCAGAATTATTTTCAGAAATAATATTAACTAAATTCAATAGATTCGTAATCCTTTTGCTCAGCTGAGACAGTAAATTGCCTTGAACATCTGCTAGAATGAATCTCCTCTACTGCATAAACAAATCGACAACGACGAGTAAGGATATCGGCTCCTTTAAATTAATTTAAATTTAATTTTAAAAATTATTTTGTACCTAAATGGGTTGTTACTGTGTCTGGTCTGGAACCTGGACTCTGAAATAAATGATAAAAAAAACCAGAATTTGTAAAATAAAAAAATTGAGAAAATGTAATTATTGGAAATTGTAAAAATATAAATTTCAGCATATGTAAATTAAAAATCAGAATTTTTAATAATTTTAAAACAGAATAATCAGAATTTGTAAATTAAAAATCAGAATTTGTGTGTTATTAAAAATCAGAATTGTAATTATTAAGACCAGAAATTGTAATTTCAGAAATCAGAATTTGTAAATTAAAAAATCAGAATTTTTAATAATTTTAAATCAGAATTTTATTTTTGAGTAATCAGAATTTGTAAAAAAGAAATCAGAATTTGTGATCATTAAAAATCAGAATTTTTAAAATTAATAATCAGAATTTTAAAAAAATTAAAAATCAGAATTGTAATTATTAAGACCAGAAATTGTAATTTGAAAAATCAGAATTTGTAATTTTAAAAATCAGAATTTGTGATAATTAAAAATCGGAATTTGTAATTCTAAAAATCAGAATTTGTAAACAAGACGTCTAAGTTTAACTGCTATAAGTTAGAAAGATTGTAAAAAAATTTTACTTTTTAATTTAAAAAATATTTTTTATTATTTTCCTTACAAATTCAGGCACAGGCATTGCTTGATTCAAGTCAGGCTCTGCACAACTTAATAAATGAAAAATTGGAATAACTTCGAGATCTTCAATTCCAAAAGGCCAACCTTTAAATTTAATTAAATTGAATAATTTTTTAATTAAATTACCATCAAATTTAAATAAAAGTTCAACGTCTAAGGTGCCATTTATTTGGAAACCGTCAGATATGAAAGGAGTATCCTGTAAAGTTTTAAATAAAATTCTGAAATTTTATAGGTATTTATTTCCCTAATTTAATTTCATGGCAGAATTTTATTTTTCAAAAATCAGAATTTGTAAATAAAAAAATTTAAAATTGTAAATTATATTAAATGAGAGTTTGTAATTTAAAAAATCAAAATTTGTAATTACAAAAATCAGAATTTATAAATTTAAAAAATCAGAATTTGTGTTTTTCAAAAATCAGAATTTGTGTTTTTCAAAAATCAGAATTTGTGTTTTTCAAAAATCAGAATTTGTAATTTTTATAAATCAGAATTTGTAATTTTTATAAATCAGAATTTGTAAAATTAAAAACCAGAATTGTAATTACAAAAATCAGAATTTGTGTTTTTCAAAGATCAGAATTTGTAAATTTTAAAATCAGAATTTATAATTTTTAAGAATCAGAATTTCTAAGTTTACAAATCAGAATTTGTAATTTATAAAAATCAGACTTTGTAATTTTTGAAAATCAGAATTTGTAAATATTAAAAATCAGAATTATCACAATATTCTCTTACATTATACGTAGCAGCAAAGAGTTCCATTTTAGCCGGAATGAGCGGCTTTTTCTCCTCCAAATTTAAAGGATTTGTAAAAACCCCAATTCCTTTAGATTGGCTAACAGCAGCCAACCGTATATTTATTGGACCACAAACATTTTCTGCAGAAGGGAAAGCCATTCCAGAATGGCTAAGTCCTCGGGAGAACTACAAAATTTGGGGGAATCTTTAAAAAGGGGGGCATAAACACAAACAATTTGGGCACTTTTTCTTTCAGGAAATTCAGCCTGTAGTCTAATCATGTAGATTGGGACATGTTCGCTTTCTGGGCCAATTCCAGGCTTCCAACTAACGTCTATAAAAATTAATTTTAAAATTTAAATAGAGGTGTAACTCGCTATAAGATCGAACCTTCCTTCAATACCTCTCTATAAGATACTTTTTTTAATTTGCTTAGCCATAGAGAGGATTATCCGAAACCTGGACCTCTTCGGAACTAAACCCGACACAAGAAATTTTTAAAAACCCATCCCGAAGTTTTTAACTATGCGACCCATCTTTAGTGAGGACGAGAAGAGCTTCTAAAACGATACCTTCGATCTAAGATACACTCTATAAAAGGATATCATCCTATCTTTCAACTCCAAAAGTTTTTGGAGTTTTCTCCTCAATTTAAGTCCTTAAAAATAATTTTTTAACCAATTGTGTAGTTATCATTTATGGTTGCTTGAACTTCTGTTGGTGGAGAGAGAGGAGGGCCTTCTGCCTTTTTTGAACTCAAATCTTTGCATTTCCCCCAACATTCAGAATCTTCTTTTTGCTAAAACTTGATAATTTTTTTAATTTGTTGGAAATTCAAAATTTTACGAAATTTTCAGAAATTTCCAAAAAATTTTCAAAAAATCTTTGAAATTTCCAAAAAAAAAATTTTTGGAAATTTCAAAAAAAAAATTTTTAATTTCAGAAAAAATTTTGAAAAAAATTAGAAAATTTCCAAAAAAAATTTACAAAAATTTTCGAAAAAATTTTCAAAAAAATTGAAAATTTACGAAAAAACAATTCAAAATTTAAAACAAAATCCAAAATTATTTTCAAAAAAAATTTTCCAAAAATTTTTAAAAATTAAATTTTCTCACACATAGCCCTTGCTGTCCATATTTTCTACAATTTTTTCTACACTGATTTAAGCTAATTTCTGAATTTTCTTCTGTACATTTAGCTAAACAACGTCCATAGCATTGCACGGGGGAAGGGATTTCTGGTTGTGGGGGTCCATGACAAATTACAAAATGATAAATTAATTGGAGGAAAATGTTGAAAAAAACGATAAAGTCTTGAATATTGCCCATTTTTTGAGAATATTTTTTAAAAATATTTTACAAAAGCATTGTAAATAGGGCTAATAAATAAGCCTTAAAATGGTGTTTATATTAAAATCAGAATTAATGTTAAAATCAGAATTTAATAAAATATAAATCAGAATTAATTAAAGGACGAAAACACAAAAATCAGAATTTACTAAAAATACAAAAATACCAGAATTAATTAAAAAAGACGAAAATACAAAAATCAGAATTTACTGAAAACACAAATCAGAATTAATTAAAGAGACAAAAATCAGAATTTAATAAAATACAAAATCAGAATTTTCCAAGGCAGACTTAAAATCTAAAGCCCAGAAAATAAATTACAAATGAATGGGTACACCCCGATGTACCGCGAGCCCAATGTATCGCCGAGCTATAACTTGGTTCAGAATTATTGAATCCGGGACGCCTTGGTATGGTCCGATGAGCTATATGTAAAGCTAAAATGTCCCTACTTCGGTGGTATCGCATAAAAAAATTTTTTTGAAAAAATTTATTAAAAGTTCAGTCAAATTTTTTTAAAATTTAGCTCAAGTCGAGGTCCGACTTGGAAAATTTATTTTTTATGTATAACTAAGTATATGAAAAAACTTATCTAAAAATTTAAATAATTTTTAAATTGTACTAAAAATAATTTTGGCAGGAATTAAAATTTATCTTACTAATAATGATTAGTAAATTTTTTTGTAAATATTTCCACGAACGAAAAACTTGTTTTATTAAAGAGCAAACGTGGCAGTTCAATATATTTACATAAATTGAATATTGCGGGTCATTCTCATGAGATTGATCCAAAAGATCAAATATTGTTAGAAATTTAAAAACACAACAAAAAATCTCCCTATAAGATAACGTGATTCGCTGATATCTCCTAAATCCACAGTCTCAAGTGTTTTGACTTTAATTAGTTTGTATTTTCTTTATAATATAGGGACTAATTTGTAAGTAAAATAAATGCACTCGGGACGTCCGAGACTAAAGATTTCATACAGGAATGCAAGCTATTGGAGGTGGGCATTTTCGAAATCATGGAGCTGGATTCTGGATCTAGGACAGTAACCTGGACAGGAGTCTGGATCTGGATCCAAGAAAAATCCAGACCGGATCCAATCCAGACTGATCTCAAAAAGCTATCCAGATTAAAAGTCGACCGATCCCTAAATCAGTTCTCTAATAATTTAAGGGTATTGGGAATCAAAAAAAGAGGAAAAGCCCTTGTTAAAAATTTTTTTTAATTTATTTGTGGTCTAGTGATGTCAAAGAATATTTTTAAAAATATTTATTTGTGTAAACGAACACAAAAAAGGCTATAATAAAAATTTAAAATTCCTCAAATAGGTATATTGATTTAAATAAATTTTATTAATATTTTTATGATGTTCCTTTTGCGTATGTTAAAATAAACTTGCCAATAAAATAAAAAAAATTTTTAATCGTACCAAATAGTAACAGTTTTATAAGGGATTAAAAATGAGAGGGGGGGAATAAATAATAATATTCTAATAATGAGGAGAGGAACGGGAAAAGGAGAACAATAAAAAAGAAAAAAATCTCGTCCCCTGATAAATTATTAAGGAAAGTACAGTCAAGGCTCTCTAATTATCACTCCGGGACCGAATTAAACTGAACTATGATGGAAAGCAGAGGTGAGTCGGAATTCCGATTTCCGACACCTCTGACTGTTCCGACCCACCTCTGATGGTAAGGCGTCTATAATATAAAGACCCACTCTACTATCTAATATATCACACCGGGACTAAGGTGAACTGACATATGAGGAATGTGACATAGAAGTGGCCTGTGATATTTGAGGTTCGACTATACTGAATTATACATGAAAGCCAGAGAGACCAATGGACCTCGTTCAAAAAGAAGCCTAAGTTATCAAGATCAGGATTTTTCGGGATAACAATCTCGAATCTGTATAGATCCTCAAGCTTGTTAGCCTGGAGAATCTAAAATGTGTCATGGATAAAGCTGAATGGAGGTGAAATCAGACTTGGTAATGGATACGGATATGTATCCGCTGTAAATATTCGGATATAGATACCAAAATCCATGTCCATTACCAAGTCTGGAAAAAATATTTAATTAATCGAAAAAATTTTTTTAATTAAATACGTAAGCAAAAATTGATTTTAAACCCTTAGAAAATTATTCAAATGCTTAAAATATTTTTTTACAAAAAAAAAATTAATTTTAGGCTGTTCATTTACAAAATCAGGAAATTAATATTAAAAATAGTTTGTGTATCAAACACAAATTTTTGGCCTTCAAAAAATAAAAATGACGATGGGTGGACAAAGCTTGGAGAAAGGAAGGCCATCTACCCGATTATTGGACTTACCTCCTTTTTTCTACTAAAATAATACGCAATCAAATGATTGATCTGCGCGGATTGGAATGAAAAAAAGGAGCATTTTCTCTCTGAGATGAGCAACAACCTTAAAAATGGGTGGGCAGAAGAAACAAAACAGGAGTTGGGGGCCCGCGCATGAATTAGACGAATTTCTCTCTTTACGGGGGAAATAACAGAAATTTTTAAACACGTACAATCGATTTTAGTGGTAATTACCAAATTTATTGATGTTTTTTTGTGTTTTTAAATTAAGATTAAAGTCCATTTATCATTTTTTACTGGTTTAAGTTTTACTCAAAAAAATTTTTTTGAAGAAAAATTATTTTTGGAAGCATAGGGGGGTCGAGGCTTTCTCTCTGAGGAGATGATTAAAAGGAGACGCTAGAAAAAGGACCAAAAAGACCCTAATGACAATTGGAAGAATTTCAGTTTTATGTTAATACAATTAGCCTCTCTTACTACAATCAGTCTTGCTATGAGATACCTCTCTCTCACCCTGAGGCTTAAAGGATTCTATCTTGTATCTTGAATTTATAGTATCACTCTAGAATATCGACAATAGAAGCGTTCGATCAGAATTTTTTTTCCAATTCCCCCTTGTCATTTTCATCAGACCCTCAGTGAACAACAGAATTTAAAAAAGCGTCTCTTAAGTGGGAGTATTTGTGAAAAAAAATTTTTTTTAAGTTTCAACTTAAATTTTAAATCAGCAAATTTTTTTATTCCTTAGTCATACATGACATTTACAAATAAAAAAAGACAATTTTTAAGACTTAATAAAAGAGAAAAAAAATTTTTTAATGAAAAAAATTCCAAAAATCAAGTGTTGTTGTTGTTTTATACCTTTTTTTAACCAAGAGAAAAAAATTTTTTTTTAATTTTTCAAAGTTGAGATGATGCAATATTTTGTTGTTGTTGATATTTTTGTAATGGGCTAGACCCTGCAGATGAACCAGATGATGATGAAGATGTCGGGGAAGTTGTTGTTGGCATAGGAAATGATGATGAAGGAAGATTATTATTATTGGTGTTTTGGCCAGTTCCATAAACCTTTGTTAAGAGAAAATTATTTAAATTTTTGTGACAAATGTAAGTGTTGGAAGAAGAAACCGCGAAAGGTATTTTTTGTATTTTAGCATCAAGAAGAATTAGTTTTTTTTTAAATTCTTGAATTATTAACAGTATGGTCATGTTGCAGAAAGATTTATTCCATGGAGGATCACCCCCTCCTCCCCATGAACGGGAGCTAAACCCAAGCATAACAGACTGTGCTACCGTCCAAACCCATAATCACTTATTTTTATTAATTTTTACAGGGTTTTCTTTAATTTCCGAGACTAAATGAAAAATCAAAGGGAATTCCACTAAAATTAGATAAACAAATTTCCCCCCCACCTTAGCCAACCCATCAGCTCCAGCAGAACCGATCATTTGCCTTGAAGGATGAAATGCTACAGCCATAACACCAGAACCAAATTTCTTTCTATGTGCAGCAATTTCCTTAAAAAAAATTTTAGAAAAATTTTTCCCCTTTCTACCTGCAAACAAATTTTCTTTTCAGCATTCCAAAACCGAACAGAACCATCATGTGAAGCACTTAACATATATAAACCGTTTGGATCTATTGCTAAAGTTGATACTCCTTCAACATGCGCCATTGTAGAGCAAATAATTTTGCCTTTAAGGAAAATTCTTTTAAAAAATTTAATTGATCCAAACCCGTATTATTATCAAAGAAACGAATTTTTCTATTTTCACCAGCCGTTATTGTAACAGGCATAGTTGGATGAGATAAAATTTTATTTACTTCATCTATAAAAATAAAATTTTAAAAAAATTGAAGGGGTTCTGTTGTTATAAAATTATAAAAAAATAATTTAAGCAGAATAGAATGCTCAACAATTTTAACACCGAAAGGACCTCAAATGACTTTCGAACCAATAAAACATTCATTGAAATAGGAGTTAGCTAACATAAGAGGATATGAAAAAAACTGAGGCTTCGAAAACTTGAGACTCTTCAGAAAAGAATAAAAATGAGAATTAAACTCAAAAACTATAAAATCCTAAAATTGCTGTAAAATAAGGTTAACGGTTCTAGACCAAACAGAAGAATCGAAGATTTTTCGATTCGGTTTCGGATATCCAAAAATTTTCCAGGAACCGACAACACTAATGTAAAACATACTGATTTTTCAATAGAAAAGTTGGAGGCAAGAATGAGATCCTACCAAGAATTTATTAGATGGTTTTTCGAAAATAAATTCTTAAGCAGATTTATAAATTGAAAGATCATGAAAACTTTGTGGAGTAATCCTTCAAATCCCAGCGCCATTCGAACCCTTTAACAAGCATGGTAACAAGATTTCGCCCATCTTTCATTAACTAATTAAAAATTAAAAAATAACCTCCATCCTCAACTTTTTGAAAATTCAAAACAATTTGTCCAGTTTCAAAATCTCTAATATGACATTGAGAATGAACACAAGCACATAAAAGTTGTTGAGATTCAGTTGAGACAACATCAATAGATCTTGGCTTGTCTAATTCAGTAATTGTTTTAAGTAAAGGTGTAGGCATTGCTCCATCAGCTAATCCAACAACCCTAAAAAAATAAATTTTTTTGAAAAAAAATTTTCTGGAAATTTTCTTTAAGTCCAAAAATTGACAAAAAATGTATAACCACAAAAAAAATTTTCAAAATTTCAAACCCTAAAAATTTGCTAAGATTTTTAATCTCCAAAAAAATTAAAAAAAAAATTTTTAAATTCGAAAAATTAACGAAAATGTTTTTGAAAATTGAAAATTCTCAAAAAATTTGTTAAATCCCTATCGAACACTAAAAAATTATCAAAAATTTGTTCAACCCCTCTCAAAAAAATTTTCAAAAAAAACTTTCAAAACCCTCAAACAATAAAAAATTTCCAAAAAATTTTTTGAAAATCCAAAAAAATTTTCAATAAAAAATCATCAAAACCAACCAAATTCTTATTGTTCCATCAGCTGACGCAGAAATTAACCTATTCGACGAAGAATGATAACTTAATGACCAAATAGCGTCTGTATGTCCATTTAAACGTTCTTGCAATAAATTTGGGTCTATAAAAATTTTTTAATTAAACAAAAAATTCAATTTAAGTAACCAAATGTTTGATAAACATCTAAACCAACAGTTGATGGAATTGTCCAACAACAAATAACTCCATCTAATCCAGCAGTATAACAAGTTTCACCCATTGGAGACATATCCATTGCTAGAATTGCTCCCCTAAAAAATTGTTAAAAAAATTATATTTAATTGAATGATGTTTTGGAAACATATTTTTTGAGTTTAAAATAAAGGTCGAGACTAGTGTTTGGTTTTTAGAAAAAAATTTTCAGAATATTTAAAACGAAACTAAAAATAGGGTGAAAAAATTAGCAGTTTAAACCAACAGTTAGTTGATGGTAAAAGTTTAAATATGTTTTATTTGAGTCGGCGTTTAAGTAACAACAATCCAAAGTTGAGAGTCTATTAGTTGAAGTCATGCCCGTAGCTAGGAGAGATTCCCCCTTCGCCGGAATGGAAAAAAAATTTAGGGGAGGGGATTGAGCAAAAAAGCACTCACTCACCCCCTGGTTAAAATACATTGAGACAGAAAAAATGAATTTTCCAAAATAAATTCTTTTTTGAATTTTTTTGCATGAATTTTTTTGTAAATTCAGAAAAGATCGGGAAGCCTGATAGAAAATTTGAAAAAACACTCAAAGAAAACTCACTCAAAATCAAAGGGTTTCTAATTAAGAAAAAATTTTTTTAAATTTATTTACCGATGTCCTCTAAAGGTATACAAAGGTTCAATATCAGCAATTCCAGTAGACGGAAATCCTTTACCACTACCATCATCATAATTTCCTCCTCCTCCACCAGTTTTTGATCCAACAGAAGAACTATTTAAATCCCAAAGTTTAGCTGTGCCATCCTCTGATGCAGTAATTAAAACAGGCTTAAAGGAAAAATTATTTTATTAACCTCGCATAAAAATTAATTATTTTTAATATTTCAGTCCTTTGGACAACCTATTTGTTTCACTTTTGTGATCGTCTGTTAGCGCGAAGAGCTTGGCCTTATACTACACGGAAAAAAAAGTGTGAGGCAGCTAGGGAGGGAACTAACTACAATAACCAAACTCGAATCTCGACAAAACGACAACATCGTGAAAACCATAAGATGTACAAAGGGAGAAATGAACTCAATGAGAGACGTGTCACCGAGATCAGAGGAAGATTATTGAGGGACGAGCTATCAAGATTCTTGTATAAAAAAAGGGAAGGATCAGCGTTATAGACATTTTTGATCATACATATAATATACAAAAAAAATCTAATCCAGATTTAAATTCGCTCTCGGAAAATTGAAAAATAAAGAAAAAAAGAGGCCAAATACTTTCCCCAAAATTTGTTTAAAGATTAAAAAACACCTCAATAGGATGAAACTGCATTGCTCTAATTGAATCATAATGGGATCTCAACGTATAGTGAACATTCCAATGTAATTGTTGCACATTTTCTTCTTCCTTCTAAAATTAAAAAAAATTTTTTTAATTGAGAACAAAATTTTCATACATCAAAAACAGTTTTTATTCCTTCATATTTTTCTTCTTCAAAAGGAATATCAGCGGCAGATTGACTTTGAGACTGTTGATTTTGTTGAATAGTATTATTGAATTTGTTTTTCTGGTCAGAATCGTCAAAAACACTTCGAGCTGAAAAATTAAAATTTGCAGACCATAAAATCAAAAAATAATAAACCTTTTGCAAGACTTTGCTGACGTCTACGTTCCTGATCATGTCTAAAATTAATTTATAAATACGTCAAAATGCTAATAAAATCAGATACTATCTATTAGAGTTCGACAGCGGGCCGAGCCCAGGATTAGGAGTATTCCAAATCTCTTGTACTTAAATTGTGGTCAGAGAGCCCAAGACCGAGTATCCCACATTTCTTATTTTAAATCATGATCAGAAATTTCTAATAAGAATTATTATTCAAAAAGGTTCTAACTAGGAACCATACGCTACTGTCACCACGAATTTGATATTTTTTGGTACCATTAGATAAAAGAACCCCCGACTTTCTATTGGATAGTGGTATCCGTTTTGTTGCAAAATGACTTTGGGCCGAGTTAAGGCCGGTCAAAATTGAAAAGCTTTCAAAATAATTAAATAGAAAAAAAAAGTCACAAGCGCTAACAAGATGAAAGTGGCATTTAATAAGCCTACAATTTGACAAATTCCCCTCCCCCAAAGTCATGACTCCAATAAATTAAAGTTAAAAAAATTAAATTTACTTGAGCTCCTTTTTCATTTCATCCAATTTCCTCTGCTTGGATACATCCATGCTTTCCAAATTTCCTTTAGGATTCCACACCCTTTCATTTCCACCCTCTTCATTTTTCAAAAAACTAAATTCATTAAAAGCTTCTACAGCGTCTGCATCCAAATCTGCTTCCGCATTGTCATCAGAAGACGAATCACTTTAAAAAAAATTTTTTTAATTAAAAAAAACAGAAATCCATTAAAACCTGTTATCTGCATTTTCAGCATTTTTCTTTAAATTGGACGATTCTTGAAGTTTTTCTTGATGTTGACGTGATTGTTTAATAGCATCGGCAGCTTCCAAAATTGCCTAGAGAAAAAAATTAAAATAATTAATATGAAAAATTCAGAAAAATTTGAAGTTCGGGCCTTTCTCAATAAATATGCATAAGTAGATGTGAAAAATTTTTTTCCTGATTTTCGATCAAATTTATATACTTATTAAATTTTGGGGATCATATTTCTGTATATTACGAAGATGGAAAGGACAGGTAAAAGAAAATAAATCGGGTGGATCTCAGGTCGGGTTCACGAAAATTTCTCAGCTCGAGTAACCCACCCTGCACCTTTACGAATACAGTTTTCTTGATTTTGCACTACATACTAATGAAAAGCAAAGAAAAGTGTTTGAGATAAGGTCTATGTTTGCATGAAAAAGCTATGGGTTTATCATATCTGAGGCCTTTCGAGACAGAGCTGAACCAAAAATAAAAATCCTATTTACTACAGGGTCACATTTAATCGATCAAGATCAAAGCCTATAAAAATTAAACATTTCCTTACATGTTCACTCCGCAAAAGCGCCCATTCAGCAGCATTTGGACGTCGTTCATCATCACTATTAGTTTTTTCTTCCTCATCCATTTTAGGCAACAAACCCAGCAGTTGATTAACTCGAAAAGATCGCAAACTGAGAATTTTGTCTGTGTAGCCAATTTCCTGTATAAATTTAGAAAACTTTCAAAAAACTTCAAAAAAAGCTTCAAAAACATGTAAATATTGCTGCAAAGTCTCTCGAGCTCTATAAAGTTCTTTGTTGCTCAAAATCCCTCCATTTGACGATTGATTGTTGTCATTGGTTTTAGAAGGCAAAATTGAATCTATATCCAATGGTACAGTTGATTTTGTGTTAACAACTAAAATGAAAAAATTATTTTAGGTGATAAGAAAATTAATTAAAATTGAACAAATTCAAAAAGTTTTCTAGACAAGTCCTCTCAAAATCTAATAAAATGTGTTGAAGATTTCAATGGACTCAATGAGAAAAACTGAAAGAAATTTTTGAGGAAAAGTCTAGGATGAAATTTGCGAGTCAATTTTGAAGCTTATGGTTTCCCGCTTAATTTCTCCATTCTTTCTTTTTAAAAGTTCATACGACGGATGCTGCCGACAAAAACCAAAATTCCCTATTTAGAGAAATCGGAATCCCAAACAAAAAAACGTTGGGCATTCCCGATTTTCAGAACGGCAGGATCACTGATTCATACGGATATAATAAGATCAGGAATAAAAATAAAAAACATAAAGTTAAAAATGGCCAATTTCGGACAATCTTATTTATCTAAAAATTTTTCGGACCCGAAAATTTTTTGTAATTTGCAAAGGAAATCTCTAAATAAATTCCAAAAATGTTTCCTCAAAAATGCAATTTACAAAAAAATTTTTAAAAATTACCCAAGTGATTCTGTTCTTCGCCATCTATTTGATCAACTTCACCATTTTGCTGAGGTTGTTCATACTTTTTGATAATTTCCAAGTGTTTAGCTCTGAAAAGATAAAGAAAAATAAATTTAAAAAACTAAAAAAACCTTTCCTGTCTCAATGCCAATTCCAACATCTTTATTCGGCGAACCAAATCAAACTTTAAATTTTCTTGGGATTTGCGTTCTCCAATCAAAAATGTAATTCGTGCCTAAAAAATATAAGAGGGAATTTTAAAATTTTTTTAAAATTAAAAATTAATGATCGGTCTAGAGCTGGATTTAGATCGCGATTTTTCCCGAATCAAGAGCCAAGGAATAGAGAAGATAAACCGGATCAAGCTCAATTTTAGGCTTCCCAGGGACAAAAAAAATTTTTGTTTTGTGATAGCCACAGAGAAAGGAGGAAAGAAATAGGTGAGAAAAAAAGTGAGCCATTCTTACGTTCATTAAAGATAGAAAAGAGGAAACAAAAGATTTTTTCGAGCATCTCAAATAAAGTGCATCCCTAGAGCTGTATCAAGACCGTAATTCTTTCTGAATCCACAGAGCCAAGGAATAGAGATGCCATGGAGTAAATTTCTAAATAAATTTCAAAAATCTTTCCCCAAAAATGAAATTCAATATAAAACTACTAGATTTTCCTTTGTTAGAGATGAAAACTTCCCGATTTTTTTAACCAGATCAAGGCCGGCAACAACTAAAATCACGGTCAAGGATCATTTCTCTCGAAAAATCATGTTCCTCCTAACCAATAAAACAAACAAACTCTAAGCTCCGCTTTTTCAATCTCCCATTGAGACCGTTCAAGTTCATATTGACTGCATTCGTTTTGAAGAAAGTGTAAAACACCAGCCATTGAATAACCTGAGGTATTTTGACTTCGTTTAGACTCGTTATCCTTTTGATCATTTCCGGGAGCCATTGTATTGCCGTTTGCTGTGGAATTTGTAGCAGTTTCGCTTATAGCTAATAATGAGGATCCAATTTGACCAGTTTTTTCCATTAAAAAAATTCTGAAAAAATTTTATAAAGTTAAAAAATGGTAGGAAGGATGAGTAAAAATGAGGCCAAAATCAGGTAAAAAATAAGAAAAAATAAGCTTAAGTGTAAGCTTATTCTTGAAAAAGGCAAAAAGCAAGAAAAATCCTCGGATTTAGACGAAAGAGTACATGAATAAATGAGCGTGGTTAGAGAAAAAGAGAAAAGAAAATTAGAGGGAAACTTAACAATAGAAACAATAGTGGCGTTTTAAAATTTGGTGTTTCGTATTTTACCAGACAACATTATTGATCGATACAGTAATCTTTTCTCGACATTCTACAGTAATTAAATAAACAAGTGAAGTCTGAGAAAGACGCCAAAAGAAGCCAAATACTCTTGTCAACGGTGGGGTATCTTTCCGTGCCCACGATTCCGTGCCCACGTTTCCGTGCCCACGTTTCCGTGCCCACGTTTCCGTGCCAGCTCAGTTCCGTGCCGGCACGTTTCCGTGCCAGCATGTTTCCGTGCACACGGTTCCGTGCCCACGTTTCCGTGCCCGTTATAATAGGCACGTTTCCGTGCCAGCTTCTTTTTAATTTAATAAATAATAAAAAAAGATTTGGATGGATACAGTGAATATCAAAGGACTTGTGCGTGACATCAAGATATCAACAAGAAGATAGCGTTGGATTATGAGGGATATAAGGAGATATCAAGAAATTTAGATCACGATTTTAATAGCATTTTGTTTACATATTGGGGAGAAAATTAATCAAAGAAATCAAGGAAAAATTTTGCCTTGACCTTGCCTTGATTCTTGATTTTGGTTGGGTATCTTGACCAGATTCTTGACCTTGAGTCAAGGAAAAATCAAGGTCAGAAAAAATCAAGGAACGCTGAAAAATGCCTTGATCTAGTCTCTGGATCCAGGAAAAATCAATGTCTGGATAGCCCGCTCTCTAAATATCATATATTTAAATATTGGGCACGGAAACGTGCCCTTTATAACTGGCACGGAACCGTGGGCACGGAAACATGCTGGCACGGAAACGTGCCGGCACGGAACTGAGCTGGCACGGAATCGTGGGCACGGAAACGTGGGCACGGAATCGTGTCTAACCGCTTGTCAATACTCGACAGTTAGCGTCTCTTTTTATTATTTTTCTTTCTCTCTCCATTTTCTTAAGACAATACTACGTGTCTCCCTCTTTTCTTAAGTTTGACCTTCATTTTTCGAAATCCTCCGAGTAGGGACGTCTTTGATTTTATCGGGGATCAACTAGGCGCGAGGCCATAACGGCGCAAAGGCGAGGCCATAACGGCGCAAAGACATAACTTGCTGTAAAATTTCTGGCCCATATCAATCTTGGTACCAATCTCTTTATCTGGATGAGAGGAATCGTTTACTACTAAATTTGGAAAGATTCGGAACTCTTGAAGCAAGTTATGGCTTTGCGCCGTTATGACCGCGCGCCGGCGTGTCCCCCTTTGATTTTATTGGATTTTCTTTTAAATACGTGTAATTGCCCTCATATCCATTTTACGTATCTATCTTAAATTAAATACAGAACTGGACTCTACTCATTTTTACGCTTCTTTAGAAGAGAGCTTTGACTATTGTTTTTCGACCGAATTTTTACAAGCAGGATATGAAAAGACAATTTGACGATCAAGACAGAATGTATGGAAACAACAAAAGACATCGTTCTGACGGATATAACGAAGCTTTAGCTGAGGGGAAGTATGAATTGCGCTTTTTGATTCCGACAAAGTCTGCCGGAGCGATCATTGGTAAAGGAGGTGAATCTATCAAGGCGCTCCGTGCGAAGGTTTGTTTGCCTTTTGGTTGTTTTTAAGTTTCTGTCTGTGTTATGTTTCTTTATGGATCTTTCTCTTGACAAGCTTATTTTCGATATTGGGGTCTTTCACCTTTCTTCTCTGACATTCATGGCTTGATAGGACACTAAAGGGAATTATTAGAATATGCCTGCAATACTGATTTAGGATGAGCTTAACCTAGAGTGTCAACTCAGCGAGTGTGTTGACCTCCTGGGGTAGGCTCATGTTTTTGCAAGTTTACCGAACGAATTATCTGAATTTGACTACTCACCTGTTAAGCTTTTCCGCGAAAGGAGCATTTGCGGACTGACATTTGGCAGTGTATGCTCTTTTAAAAAATTCATAGGTAATAGCGTCGGACATGTGTCCTTCTGTCCGTAGCTGCCTTTCCGCAAATGTCTTCCCCAGCCATTCTCCTTGATCTAAGGCGGTGAATTCTCCCTATCTCTCATTTCTTCTATAATTAGCTCTCATAGATATATCCTTTTATTTTCTTCAACCTTTGCGTGATTTGTGTCTTTTTTAAATTAATTTTAACTTAATCTCATAACGACCTTTACAGTACGAGGCCCACGTTCTTGTCCCTGACCGAAGCACACCCGAGCGGTAATTTTCCCACAATTTGTCTGCAAGTTCTAAATTGGTTCAAGTGTGGGGATTGCTTGTCCCACCTCTGCTCCTCCAATCCAACATCCGAACACCAAATGTGAAGCCCGAAGCCTTTAAAATTCCAAGCGATCTCCCGGTTGATTCCACCAATTTAAAATTTTAAAAATTGAAAAATTTTTTAAAATCGAAAAAAGAATTTCCGAAACCAAAATACCTTTTACTTTTCTAACATTTTCGGAGCCTAAAATTCATTCAAAACTTCAACTAACCAAATTTCAAACCAATTATTTAAATTTAAATAATAAGTGAACAGAACCGATTTTTTCTTTTATTTTTCTAGTGTTTTGACAATTGTTGTGGCTCAGGAGAAAGTGGAGGAATGTTTTGCTGAAATTCTTGAAAAATTGTCTGAGGTTTTGTTTTTTGACTTTGTTCTAGAAATTACCCAAATTTAGGACCAAGGACGTGATGATATTGAGATTCGTATGTTGGTTCATCAGTCTCATGCTGGAGCTATTATTGGCAAAGGTGGCTCGAAGATCAAGGAGTTGCGTGAGCAAACTGGTGCACAACTTAAAGTTTTTCAAGAAACCTGCCCTCTTTCTTCTGATCGGACAATGTTGATTACACTGGACAGGTAAACGAAATATCTTATCAGTATTAAAATTCGATTTTAGAGCAAAAATGCCCAATGCAATTCGTGTCTTTAATGAATTTCTTAAAGAGGTTAATTTTTAAAATTATGAGGGTTTAAGTTAAAATGAGTCCTTTTGTTGACGCTTTCGTCATTCCTGTTGGTGTTCTCGTGAAACATGAGGTGAAGTTCCTCTGTGTTTCTCATCTCTGTTGACGTTTGACCCTTAAAAATAAGCGACGAGCGGTACGGTGATTTTTCCACCAAGGCTCATTTTGTTTCTTGACTAAAGCAAAAATCTCTTTTAGCCACCCCCCTATAACCAGCCCAGGCTCCTTCATTTTAATTGATAATTCAATTTTTCAGATACCAATCAAAGGCCCAATCAAATCCTATGATCCAGCCAATTTTGATCCACACCTTACTCAAGCTTATGGAGGCTTTGCTGGCCCAATGGGACGTGGAGGTGGAATGCGCGGTGGAAGAGGTGGTGGTGGTGGAAGAGGAGGAGGTGGAGGATATAACGATGGAGGAATGGGCGGAGGTGATTTTATCCTTTTTTAGAAGTTATCACTATTTCAGTAGGTTATGCAGGTTTTGGTCCAGGTCCAGGGGGCCCTCCTCGCGGACCTCCTCCAATGGGCATGGGTGGTGGTTATATGCAAGAGCAAGTGACTACAACTCAGGTTTTTTTTGATTTAATTTGAAAGATTTTATTTTCGTTTTTAAGGTGACTATTCCAAATGAATTGGCAGGAACAATTATTGGAAAAGGAGGCGACCGCATCAATCGGTTATTTTCATTTTATTTTCAAATCTTAAAAAAATTTTTTTAAGTATTCGTTCTGAATCTGGATCGCGCATTGAAGTTGGAAATACTTATGGAAATGATGAGCGTATAATTACGATAACTGGAACTCCACATCAAATCCAATCTGCGCAGTATTTGCTTCAACAAAGGTTTGGGAAGATTTTTTTGATTGTGTAGTTTGGCTGGTCTTGACCGGTGGCTGGTCTTGACCGTTTATGAGTCATTTCTGGTATATTTTGGAAAACCTGGGTCACTATAAAATATTTCTAAGATTTTGCAAACTAGAATTATCTTTTCAAAGTTGTAATTTTTCAGTGTTCGCACCTCGGAAGCTGGACGTCGTTATCTTCGTGAACAATGCTAAATTTAAAAATATTGGTTGATGAAAGACGATTTGAAAGTTTAAAATTTGTGAGGTTTATTTTCCATTTTTTCAAATTGGGCCCTTAATTATATTTGGTTAATCATCTTTTGAGTTAATTTTCCATTCTATCTAAGAAATAATGTTATAATTTTGTCTGTCTCTATTTTTGTATTAAGAAACTATGATTCTCTTCTGAACCGGGCGCGTCGTTGGGGGAGGAGGGGGTGGGGGTGTGTGGGAGCGTGCCTGGTTCTATGTTTTACAATTATTGACGGGGTCAACAACAATGACAAATTAATCGTAAGATAGTCAGAGTTACATAAATACCAAATGCATTATTTCTTAGATAGATTAGATATATTCCCACAACTTTTTTTGTTTTGTTCTACACCATTGTACCAATCTAAAATATTTGTAACCGCTTTTCTATTTTTCTTGATTTTTTAAAGGAACCTAAATTCTCAAATATCCAACCTTTATTCTGTAACCGTGAAAATTTGAATAGATGCAATAATATAAGTTGAGTTAGACTTTTTTGGGATTCCCTTGATTTTTATTGCCAGGTTTTTATGAAATTTATTTGAGTTTTATGGTGAATTGAGAATTATTGGTTTCCGTTTTTATCAGGCACATTACTAGTGGGAGGGGGGGGGAGGGAGTGTGCCGATCCGTGTCCACTATGTATATATTTTATTAAATTTTTATGGAAAAGATATTTGACAGAATCCAGAAAATCCTTAACATAGAGTATTTTAATGTTTTCCCTCAATTCGGGATCGACTCTTTCGATTGATTCTCTATTGTTAGTTCCGGCGATTATGGTTTTAACGCCGGTTTTTTTTAGCGGCCATGAACTTGTCAGTCAACCCTGCAACAGGGACAATTTTACCATCTGGGGCAATTTGTCCTAGGAAGGCGGTGTCTAAAATGCACTTTTTATGGTGGTTCTGAAAAAGTTTATGCTGATGAAGAAAAAATCAGTGAAGAGGACAGTTCCTTGAGGAGGAGCCTGAGTGATTGCTCCTATGCAACTCACAAAGGAGAGTGTTTTGGGTGTCCGTGGGACTTCGGGATGAAACTTGGTAGGTAGGTAGATCATACCCTTTCTATTGCAAAACTCTTAAAGATTCTTATGAAGAAGCTAGAATCTTCATCTGGAACAACCAGGAAAGATTGGGGGTCGAATTCAAAAATGATGTTACCGCATCCATTTATCCCGTAATTTTTTGAATTAAAACTTAGTAAAGAGTAGATTACCACGGACTTTTTTCCCTCTATTTCCTCATCGCCTTATATTAGATTGTCTTTGGGATTCATCTAATAAGAAAATTATAAAGATAAACGGATCATTTACCTTAAATTTAAAAATATAGACGAACAAATATCCACAAATTTAAGAGAAAATTTAAGAGACAAAATTACAAATAAAATTTTTGTCTAAAATTAAAAGTAAAGAGTTTGCGGACTTTTTTCCCTATTCTCCTTCACTTGATCAAAAAAACTCTTTACTTTTAATTTTAGACAAAAATTTTATTTGTAATTTTGTCTCTTAAATTTTCTCTTAAATTTGTGGATATTTGTTCGTCTATATTTTTAAATTTAAGGTAAATGATCCGTTTATCTTTATAATTTTCTTATTAGATGAATCCCAAAGACAATCTAATATAAGGCGATAAGAGGAAATAGAGGGAAAAAAGTCCGTGGTAATCTACTCTTTACTAAGTTTTAATTCAAAAAATTACGGGATAAATGGATGCGGTAACATCATTTTTGAATTCGACCCCCAATCTTTCCTGGTTGTTCCAGATGAAGATTCTAGCTTCTTCATAAGAATCTTTAAGAGTTTTGCAATAGAAAGGGTATGATCTACCTACCTACCAAATTTCATCCCGAAGTCCCACGGACACCCAAAACACTCTCCTTTGTGAGTTGCATAAAAGCAATCACTCAGGCTCCTCCTCAAGGAACTGTCCTCTTCACTGATTTTTTCTTCATCAGCATAAACTTTTTCAGAACCACCATAAAAAGTGCATTTTAGACACCGCCTTCCTAGGACAAATTGCCCCAGATGGTAAAATTGTCCCTGTTGCAGGGTTGACTGTCAAGTTCATGGCCGCTAAAAAAACCGGCGTTAAAACCATAATCGCCGGAACTAACAATAGAGAATCAATCGAAAGAGTCGATCCCGAATTGAGGGAAAACATTAAAATACTCTATGTTAAGGATTTTCTGGATTCTGTCAAATATCTTTTCCATAAAAATTAAATTTGTTTCTATTGTTTCATTAAACTTTTAATAAAATATATACATCGGCTTTTTTTGGACCCAGCATTAGAACCCAGCCTCTAATCTGAAAATCAATTTCGTCTAATAACTAAATACCCATAACCACTTAAAATAAATCTAATAAAAAATTCACATGAGTGATAGGGGTAACAATTTTAACGCAAGCATCTCTTTTAAATCTTTGCATCTATTTAAATTGATTCTACGCTAAATTAAAAAATATTTTCAGTCTTGTCTCTAAAATTGAATTATTTAATTGGATAAATTTGTTTTTGGATTTAATTGTTTTTTTTATTTTGGAAAGTAGACATACTTTAAGCATTATCTTTTATTTTTAATTTAGATTTGGATAATTTTAAAGCACTTTTAAATTATTTTAATTAGTGACGATTGTACAAAATGGCAACTTCATTACCTCCTTTACTTCTGCAGGTTAAAGATTTTTTTAAATTAAGGCGCATGAGATTACTAATTGAGATTACAATCAGAAATTGATTTAGTGGAGCTTGTGGGTGACTTTTCGGTAGCCCCTCTTTCTTGGGGATGTCCCGAGCCTCTCATGTCAGTATTTACTGGGAAATGGTTTTATTCTTTTCCCTCGGGCCTTTCATTCAATCTTAAATATATTTTGAAGCTTAATCTTTTTAATTTTAGAAACTTCAACGTCGTGGAATCGTTGCGGATGAAAAGAAAGAAGGTTTTTTTTTAATTTTTCATCAATGTTCATATTTTTCATTTTACAGAGGAAGTGTTCGCTGAAAGTTATGATCAAGAGGATGAAACGGTTTATTTTATTAAGTTTTATTCATGCATTAATTTAACTGCTTTTAGAAAGCTGACACTGGCAAGGAAAAATATCGTGGTGGCGCTCCAGGATGTCCAAACAAACACATACTTTTTCACGTCTGCACTGAATTTTGCTTTGATCAATGGCAAGAAGGATATCCGGAATCTCGGTATTTTTTTTTGCAAAAATAGTTTTAGCTGTAGTTGTTTGAGGGAAAATACGTGAGCATAGCCGCCTCAGTCAAATTTGTCACCCTCTTCCAAAAATGGGGCAAACTTTTTTTCTTCACCTTAAGTCGAAGGGTGTCCACCGCAATTATGCAAGCACTTATTTGTTAGGCGGACGATCTCCCCTTTGTTAACCGATGTTGAACTATGACATTTGAAAGGAGTGTTGCTGTAAGAGCGTTGCTTATAAAATCACACTCTATTAATAAAATCCTCATACTCTAAAATTTCCATTAATGGAAAATTTTTTTTCTTTTGAAAATTTTTTATGAAAAATTTTTTAGTCTTCCTGAACGTTATTTGGAACAACGAAAGAAAATGCTGCGCAATTATCCACTGCCTGAAGGTTGGACGGAAATTTATGATTCCGGGATGCGCCGGCATTACTATTGGAATCAGAGCACTGATGAGGTTTTTCAATAAAAATTAAGAGATTTTTCGAATTTTTAGGTTTGCTGGTTATCTCCAAGACACCCAAAGGCCGTCATTTCAGAATCTGCTCCAAAAATAGCTAGAGGTTTTTTTTAATTTTAATTTTTCTCAATTATCAAGAAATTTTAGAAATGTGGAACTTAAATAGCCACAAGGCTGAAGATGTTGCGGATGAGGAGGTCAACAACAAAGGAAGGAATAGAAGTGGAAGAGGAAAGGAAGGCAGAAATCAACATGAAAATAGACGTGACAGGAAAAATGCAATGGCTATTGCCAAGCGTGGAAGAGTGAGTTTTTAAATTTTAATTTTTGTAAAAACCGTTTTGACTACATGCGAAAATTATTTTTTAGAAAACCAGAAATTAGAAATAAAATCGAAATTTTGGGGGTTTTTTGGCAGAAAAGAAAATTTCATATGGCAAATATAGGCGTATACCTTGTCCTGGCGAAAATTTCCGGGTGTCTGAAACTGTCCCGGAAAATTTTCGAGTTGGTTCGGCTTAGAGCCGACAACCCTATCTGTGTTTTAAATACTAACCTATCTGTTAAAGTGCTAGATTCTGATAATCCTGGAATGGAATATATTTTTAAGTTTTATCCCAAAATAGATAAATCTATAAGAAAATTATCAGTCTTTTAATCTAAAATATATTTTTTTAGGGAGCTGAGGATGAAAGTGATGAAGACTCGAGACCAATTGCAGAATTAACTGAACGTGACAAACTAAGTTAGATTTTCTTTAAAATTAAAAAAAATTTTTGTTTTCATTTAGAACGTGCTAAACGTAAGGGAATTGACCCAATGGACCCATCCGCCTATGGAGAGGCTCCTGAAGGTGCTTGGACATCTGGACTTGTAGAAGATCAAGAAGTAAAGACTGGCGTTGATGTGACTGCTTCTGGACCGGTAATTAATTAACAAAAATAAGATCAATTGAAGTCTGATATTGTGAAATTATGCAATACCAGATTCCAATAACATTTCTCGAAGAATGTTGATTTCTAGGTGTTTATCGGGTTGTGTTTTCGTGAGAGATTATTCGAGATCTCGATTTTCGAGCGACACGCTAAGTCCGGTCTCTAGTATTGTTAGGGTTCGAATTGTTAAGATTCCATGATTTTTGTCAATTTTTACATTTTATATAAGATTCGATGATTTAATAACATAGAATATTTGACACTTTGATCCCTAATAATTTTTACTTGCATAAAAGCACAAATAGCTGACTTAACTCCGATAAACACCATTTTTAGAATTTCACTTTCAAACAATCTTTAATGTTTTTTTCAATTTTTAGCTCTTTCAACAACGACCGTATCCTGCTCCTGGCGCAATTTTACGTCGACTACATCCTGATAAGTACCCGCCAACATAAAATGGATCTACAAAATCAATGGTCTTTCAGATGGCTCCCGATTGTTGAAGTTTTAAATTTTAAAATTATTTTTATTTTTTCTTTTTTTGATTTGTTATACTAGGATTTTATCCATCCTATGATCTATAACAAATCAGTCAAGAAAATTTGTTCCCCAAAAGTGAATCTAAAAAATCGATTTTTTAGGAGTTAACTTTTCGTTTTGTTCATTTTGGATTTAATTGGTCTTAAATCATTACTAGGGATTTTTACGAATTTTTTCGGGTTTTTTGCAACAGTGACTAAAATTTTAATTTGTTAGAAAATCTTCAAGCTTTAACTTTAATTTTAGGTCCCTGAAATTTAAGAAAATCAAAATTTTAGAAAGCTCCAAGAAATATACAAAAAAAATTTCGATATTAAAATTTTAATTAAGAAATTCATTGAAGATTTTCTATTTAAAATAACCGTAAATATAAAAGAAAATAAAAGTATTATAATCTTACGGGAAACAAATATTTAACGGCATCAAAAAAAGATTTAATATATATCAAGTTGAACCCCTGCTGAACCCATTCTCCTAGCAGTTTAACCTGTTTTTCCATGTTACGAGGCAAAATAATTTTGCTAATTCCATGGTTCCAGGCAGCGTCTAGCTTTTCCTTAAGACCATCAACCGCCAAAATTTCCCCGTCCGCAGTTTTTAATTGACCGACGAATGCCATGTCTAGGTTATAATAGTGAAAGTAAATTAAAATCCCTAAAGATATTGAAATCCTTTAATAATCCTCATAAATTTAACCCTTAGTATTTTTAGAGAAGGGGATTTGATTTCACTTTTCCTTATTATAGATATGGGCTTTATTGGGCAATTAAATGTAGATGGTGACATGATAGATGTCGGGGGAGTCTCCTTATTATAGATATGGCATTTATTGGACAATTAAACGCTGATGGTGATTTAATGGAAGTGGGAGGGGTTCGAGAAAAGCTAAATGGAGCATATACAAATAAGATAGATAAGATTATTATGCCAACTTGCATGAAGTATGCGGTCAAGGAATTGAAAAAAGAATTTCAAGAAAAATTTACTTTCATCTATGTTGATACTTTTTTTGATGCTGTAGAGTATTTATTTCCTTGAGGGCCACAAATTTTTGATTATTTAAATTAGAAAATCTTCAATAAATTTATGAATGAAAAATTTAAACAACTAAGGAATAAAAATTTTTAAAAATTTTTTGGCAAAAATTTAAAAGTCACGGTCGACGGGGAAGTATTGGAAGTGGCTGGGGTGAAGGAAAAACTTGATGCGGCTCATGGGGAATATTATAACGAATATTATCCTTTCAGAGTGTATGAAACAGGAAATTGAAGGGTTGAACCCAGAAAATATGAAGACTTTCAAATTCATATATATTAGTGATTTTTTGATGCACTCAAATGAATTTTTATAATGATCTCTAGTCTGAAAATCTTCAACGAATTTTTGAATAAAAAATTTGGAAAAATTTGGATTTTGAATAAAAAAATAATTTACGATTTCGTAAATAAATAATTTACGATTTCCTAATCGCTTCAAAAAGATCCAAATTTTTTATTCAAAATCCAAATTTTTCCAAATTTTTTATTCAAAAATTCGTTGAAGATTTTCAGACTAGAGATCATTATAAAAATTCATTTGAGTGCATCAAAAAATCACTAATATATATGAATTTGAAAGTCTTCATATTTTCTGGGTTCAACCCTTCAATTTCCTGTTTCATACACTCTGAAAGGATAATATTCGTTATAATATTCCCCATGAGCCGCATCAAGTTTTTCCTTCACCCCAGCCACTTCCAATACTTCCCCGTCGACCGTGACTTTTAAATTTTTGCCAAAAAATTTTTAAAAATTTTTATTCCTTAGTTGTTTAAATTTTTCATTCATAAATTTATTGAAGATTTTCTAATTTAAATAATCAAAAATTTGTGGCCCTCAAGGAAATAAATACTCTACAGCATCAAAAAAAGTATCAACATAGATGAAAGTAAATTTTTCTTGAAATTCTTTTTTCAATTCCTTGACCGCATACTTCATGCAAGTTGGCATAATAATCTTATCTATCTTATTTGTATATGCTCCATTTAGCTTTTCTCGAACCCCTCCCACTTCCATTAAATCACCATCAGCGTTTAATTGTCCAATAAATGCCATATCTATAATAAGGAGACTCCCCCGACATCTATCATGTCACCATCTACATTTAATTGCCCAATAAAGCCCATATCTATAATAAGGAAAAGTGAAATCAAATCCCCTTCTCTAAAAATACTAAGGGTTAAATTTATGAGGATTATTAAAGGATTTCAATATCTTTAGGGATTTTAATTTACTTTCACTATTATAACCTAGACATGGCATTCGTCGGTCAATTAAAAACTGCGGACGGGGAAATTTTGGCGGTTGATGGTCTTAAGGAAAAGCTAGACGCTGCCTGGAACCATGGAATTAGCAAAATTATTTGCCTCGTAACATGGAAAAACAGGTCAAACTGCTAGGAGAATGGGTTCAGCAGGGGTTCAACTTGATATATATTAATTCTTTTTTCGATGCGGTCAAATATTTGTTTCCCGTAAGATTATAATACTTTTATTTTCTTTTATATTTACGGTTATTTTAAATAGAAAATCTTCAATGAATTTCTGAATGAAAAATTTAAGATCGGAAATTTTTTTGTATATTTCCTAGAACTTTCTAAAATTTTGATTTTCTTAAATTTCGGGGACCTAAAATTAAAGTTAAAGCTTGAATATCTTCTAACAAACTAAATTTGTAACTCCTAAATTTGTATAACAAATCAGTCATATATCCTAGTGTCGATTTTTCAATTTGTTGCTATTTTATGTCGATGTTTGCCTCATTTTTGTCTCATTTTTATCATATTACTTTTACCTTTTTTGAGGTTTAAAAATAAAAGTTATTTTGAAAAAGTGACGTTTTTTTTAATATTTACCTATTTAAGATCGTTCCCAAAATTAGGGTCATCAGAGTGGGATTTTAGGGGAAACGACCTGATTATCTCAAAATGGCATGACTCGAACATCTCTGGGCATAGCTCGTGCCTTGTCCAGACGTTATAATTATTAACTCATCGGTAATCGCCCACTGTATATATTTGATCAAATGCTTTATTTTATTGGAAAAAATTAGTGATAAGATATAAATTATCAATTTTATCTTAATTTCAATCATTTCCTCTTAGCAACTTGTGCAACAACTCGATGATTATAAAGAGATGGCACAAAAGTTGCCCGGTTGCATGTGCAGTTGCAATGATTGTTATTTCGACCATAGTTAAGGCATTTACAAGGGCAATTGCATTGGCATATATAACCTTTGCATTTACATCTACAGCAACAACCCTTGTCACAATCTGTAGCTTCTTCACTTCTATCATAGTCAATCGGATGCGGCGGTGGCTGTGTTGGTGGGCGTGGAGTGTAAGGGTTAACCTCACCAGAGCTAGAAAGAAAAAGCTAGTATTTTTATTCAACTTCGGCTTCCCCCACCAAGTGACCTTATAAATTTTGAAAATACTTTAAACGGAGGAATACTAAATCTGGGAGTATCTTTTAAATGATGTGGTACAGTATTTTGAGTTTCATTTCTTATAATCTGAGACCAACTCATAACATCTATTATGAGGTTTTCTGACACTTGAAAATTACTATATCTATTCAAATCCTACCTCGAATCGGCCGTGTCGGTTTGAGAGCATCCGTATAACTTGTTGAGCTTACGTATGTCTATACGGCTTGGAGTTTTGTATTTACCAATAGCGTTCTCATCGTATGATCCAAGTACTCGAAAAGCACGTAAGCCATACTTCGTTCCTGCACGTAGTGAATAATGCATAATTGAGCCATAATCATAGGGTTCTCCATAAGTCTCCAAAGTTGCTCTACTTTGTTTTGCATATTGTAAAACAGTGTCAGGATCAAGATTGTCAAAGAGTACTTCGATGTATTCATCGCGATCATACATGAAAAAATAAATTTACGCATTAAATCGTTAGGAAGCAATCCTATGAAGATAAACCTTAGTTATATTGCACTTAATACTAGATACAATTCAATTTGAATTGGACCCATAACTCTTAGAATAAATTAGAGGTAGGTGATCTTCACCTCGTAGAATGAATTCCTAACATAGGGGATAGGTTAATCCAAACTCGAGCTCAAATTTGATTTGATATTGTCAAGAATAAATTCGATAGATACGTAAGCAAGAAAGTTATTTTATATGAAAGTAAGAGGGAAAACGGACGGGGCTTGTGGCTTATCTCAAGTTAAAAAATACACCTCTTAATAACTCCCAAGAGTGCAAATATAAGGGAGGTCCTTCTGTTTTAAGTAATTACCGATTTTGTTCATGAAATACCCCGAGACTGTGCATTAACTCATGGATAGCAGTACGAGAATCTTCACAAGCTCCAGTTTCTAGATTGATTTGGTTCTTTTCTGGATTAGCCTGGATACCAACAAAAGTCCAGCAACCTTCTTGCGTAGATTTTATCGTAACATAATTTTTGTGCCGATTTGGATCGTATTTTGGAAAGGAAAGACAAGTCTCGTCTTCTAAAGTGTTGATAGCTGTTTGGACAGCTTTTCTAATTCTTCTCCCAACCGATGTGTCAAAATAGATAGGCAACTGTTTATTAGGCCAGATTCTTAAAATTGTGTGGATTTTTAGTCCATTAGTGATTTCCTAACTAGTGTTGCCAAAATGGACCGACTCAGATCGAAGGATCGAGTCAGGCCTAAGATATTTGGCCCGAAAGTGACTCGTACAGGCACGACTCGATAAAATCAAGGCTTAAAATAATTGTTAGTTATCTCCTTCTATCCAATCAAATCCCCAGTAGTGTTCCTCAAAATGTATAGGCATGATTTTTGGTTGAATACTAGTACCAACACAGCATTAGTTGGTCTGAAAGCCTTTCGTTGTGAAACCTTAAAGTTGGAGGATCAATGGAAACCATCAGACATCCGAAATTGGGCCCGATTCCCACCACCTCTACTCAATACAGAATCGAATATAGAATATTTCTCCAATTTAAGAAATAAAAGTTGATCTAATTATCAAAAATGTTACCTGCTTTTATCTTTAACTACACTTTTTTGCACACCTTCCTCCTCCGAGTCTTCAACTACCATGTTTTTCTTTTCAAAAACCATATCACCGACGAAGACAAAATCATCAGTAGAAATTGTAGGAGGAGTTATCTCATTGTTAGATTCAGTCGATTCAAAAACCCAATTATTTGCATCCTCAGTTATCCAGCTATTCCGTTCAGACTAAACTTTGAGAAAGATGTTTTTAACCTAGATATACTTGAAAAATTTAATATAGTTTTATGTAATATAAGTAATCGTAGGGGAGGTGGCTGCGCTGTTTTGATTAAAAAGCATATTAAGTTTTTCGTTAAACAATCCATCTCTAAGTTCAACTCAGAAATAATACATCTACAAATACAAAATTCAAAATGTATTAATTTTATTCTCATCTATAGACCTCCAAATACTAGTATCATTCAAACTAAAAAACTTCTTAAACTGATTGAATCTTTTGTTTCTTTTAACTGTATCATATTAGGAGACCTCAATTTTGGAACCAAGGATCTTAACTGGGTTAATAATATTCCATATTGTAAAAATAGCTTAGGTGATCTATTTCTCAGTTTTTTCAATTCTATGAATTTATCCTCTACTACACCAGGTCCCACTCGAAACGATGCTTATCTAGATGTTTGTTTAACAAATAAACCTGATCTATTTCAAAATATTTATGTTGATGGGTCCTTGTTTAATTCAGATCATGATGCTTTAATCTTTGATTTATCATTCCCTATAATCAAAAAAGAAGTCAAACCAATCAAATATAGAAAATATAATAAGGCTAATACATCTTTATTAAATAGATTTCTATCTTCTATTATACCGATTATATCCACTCAAAATTATTATTTGGAAGATAAATATAATCATTTCATAGACAACATCTTAGCATCTCTTAACTTATATGTACCTGAAAAACTTGTAACTAAAAAAGATCTTAGACATAATTACCCTGCTCACTTGAAAGCATCTATTAAAAAGAAAGCCGAAATTTATAGACAACTTAAAACTGATAAACTAAAATATAAAGAATTATATGATAGTATATCATTGCATATAAAAATTCAGACTAGAAACTTTCATAATAAAAAACAAAATGCTTTTATCACTAAAAATAGAGATTCTATTCATAAATACCTTAAAAAATTTAAATATACGAATAATGAAATTCCAGTGCTTTATTATAACAATAGTTATATCACTAAATCAATAGATAAGTCTGAAATTTTTGCTGATATCTTTCTTGAAAATTTCTCCAATACTAATATGCAATATAGCCATAATAACAATGAAAATAATCAAATACCTATCATCGAAGATGTTGATTTTGATATAATTGATATTATCAGTTTCATTAAAAAATTACCTAACAGAAATGGTACTTCACCTGATAATATAAATTATAAAATATTAAAGATTGTACTTCCCTCTATAGCTCCTTTTCTATCGGAAATATTTAGAATATCACTAGATTCAGGTATATTACCTGATATATGGAAGGAATCTATAATAATACCATTATTCAAAAAAGGAGAAAAATCAAATCCCGAAAATTACAGGCCTATTGCATTAACATGTGCCATATGCAGGGTCATGGAAATGGTTCTTAATAAATACATTGTTCAATTTCTGTTAGATAACAATCTATTTAGCAAAGACCAATATGGATTTATAAAAAATAGATCTACTACAACACAACTAATCACTACATTAGAAGATTGGTACGATGCAATAATGGGAAAAAAGAATATTGACTGTATATATATTGACTTCAAAAAAGCATTTGACTCAGTACCACATGATCTCTTAATCAACAAATTATATAGAATAGGTATAAGAGGAAAAATTTTAAATTGGATTTCATCATTTCTTTCTAATAGAATTTTCAGAGTTAAAATAAACAATGAATTATCCAAACCCAGAAATATTAAATCAGGTGTACCACAAGGATCAGTTTTAGGCCCACTATTATTTTTAATCTATATAAATGATTTACCTGATATAATCCCAAATGGTATAAAAATAAAACTTTTTGCTGACGATGTTAAAGTATATGTTGTACACAAAACAAAAAATGAAAGAATAATGCTTACAAATGCTATCAAAAATATTGAACAATGGTCAACCATATGGAAATTAAATATAGCTATTAATAAAACATATATAATCTATCTTGGTAAAAATAACCCTAAAGATCAATATAAAATTTTTGATGCAACTATAAACGAAGTAGATTCTATACGAGATCTAGGCATTATAATTGATAATAAACTTAGATTTCAAGAACATGTACAAAAAATTATTAGGGCAGCTTATATAAAAATGAATTTCGTTTTCAAAATAATTAAGTCTAAATCTATAAAAACTTGGCTTACTATCTATAAAAGTTATATAAGACCCTTACTAGAATACTCTCCTGAAACATGGAATCCACAACTAAAATCTGAAATTAACAAACTCGAAAAATGCCAAAAATTCTTTACAAAAATCCTACTTCGAAAATGCTCATTACCTTATATACCATATTTACAAAGATTAGAGTTCCTTAATCTTCCTACTCTTGAAAACCGTCGTAAGACTTATGATTTAGTATTGGCTCATAAAATCTTACATGGATATACACATCTTGAACCAGACAATCTTTTTAAGATATCAAATAGAAAAAAATGTTATTTATTATCTAAAAGTCAAAATTCAAAATCATCTAACTCATTTGTTAATAGGGTAACTAAGATGTGGAACGTTTTAAATGACGAAATTAGGACTACAAAAATAACCCCTAGTTTTAAAAATAAAGTAAAAGCAATACTTATTCAATAGATCTAATCTAATCTGTTTTTATTGCTATTATATAAAAAATAAAATCAATTCTTGTAAATTCCCTTAAATTATAAATTTTATTCTTTAAAGCCTATTGCTCTAAATATAGAATATTTTTTCTTTATTTTTCTTTCACTCTCAAGAAAATTTTCAAATTGATAATGAATTTATTATTTAACATTATATCTAAAAAATTCAAAACTTCATTTTTGCCAATCCTCCCTCATATCTTTATAATTAAATTTCGAATATAAAATTTGGCTTATTTATGAGAGAATAACTGCTTTAAATACAAATAAAAATATTATAGAACAACAAGGTTAATCGCAGGCGATAGAGAAAATATTTTTAAATCCTAATAATAAATTCAAATCCTAAAAATATTTCCAATTTCTAAAAATCTTTGAAAAAAAAAATTTAAATTGGTAATTTAATATATTAATTTGGCATTCTATCTAAAAAATATTTTTATTTAGATGACAATCTTTTTTTCTCTGTCATCCGTGCTATTTCTCTTTTGATGATTCATAAAATTAGAATTTTTTTCTTCCCCTTTTCTTAATTTTTTTTATTGAAATTTATCATTTTTTATATTAATTTTTATTTTTTAAACAATATTTTTTTAAGGAAATTTTTAAAAAAGGCATTTAATTGGGTAATATTTTTTTGTGGCATGTCTAAGCGCAATTCTTCAGAATTTTCTCCTTTAAATTTTGCAGCAAATATGACAAACAACGAAAAACGCAGCAAAATTGTTGAAGAAATTAATTCTTTAAATTTTGACAAAATTTAAACAGAAATTAAATTAATGGACCTTCTTTTTAGATTTTTGATTTATGTTTTCTATTAAAGCACCTTAAATAAAATAGTCGGTACGGAGTATATTTATTTAAACAAATAAATTAATTAAATATAAATTTATATGTGTTTTTTCCTTAATTATTATTGACTTATTGTTTTTTTTGCTGTTTTTTTTTATATATATTTTTATTACATCTTTTAAGTGCCACACTACGACATTGTTGTCGGAGTAAGTGGCACGCCCTTTCGATGACATTTTTTTTTTATGTTGATAAATAAATATTTGAAAATACTTTAAACGGAGGAATACTAAATCTGGGAGTATCTTTTAAATGATGTGGTACAGTATTTTGAGTTTCATTTCTTATAATCTGAGACCAACTCATAACATCTATTATGAGGTTTTCTGACACTTGAAAATTACTATATCTATTCAAATCCTACCTCGAATCGGCCGTGTCGGTTTGAGAGCATCCGTATAACTTGTTGAGCTTACGTATGTCTATACGGCTTGGAGTTTTGTATTTACCAATAGCGTTCTCATCGTATGATCCAAGTACTCGAAAAGCACGTAAGCCATACTTCGTTCCTGCACGTAGTGAATAATGCATAATTGAGCCATAATCATAGGGTTCTCCATAAGTCTCCAAAGTTGCTCTACTTTGTTTTGCATATTGTAAAACAGTGTCAGGATCAAGATTGTCAAAGAGTACTTCGATGTATTCATCGCGATCATACATGAAAAAATAAATTTACGCATTAAATCGTTAGGAAGCAATCCTATGAAGATAAACCTTAGTTATATTGCACTTAATACTAGATACAATTCAATTTGAATTGGACCCATAACTCTTAGAATAAATTAGAGGTAGGTGATCTTCACTTCGTAGAATGAATTCCTAACATAGGGGATAGGTTAATCCAAACTCGAGCTCAAATTTGATTTGATATTGTCAAGAATAAATTCGATAGATACGTAAGCAAGAAAGTTATTTTATATGAAAGTAAGAGGGAAAACGGACGGGGCTTGTGGCTTATCTCAAGTTAAAAAATACACCTCTTAATAACTCCCAAGAGTGCAAATATAAGGGAGTCCTTCTGTATTAAGTAATTACCGATTTTGTTCATGAAATACCCCGAGACTGTGCATTAACTCATGGATAGCAGTACGAGAATCTTCACAAGCTCCAGTTTCTAGATTGATTTGGTTCTTTTCTGGATTAGCCTGGATACCAACAAAAGTCCAGCAACCTTCTTGCGTAGATTTTATCGTAACATAATTTTTGTGCCGATTTGGATCGTATTTTGGAAAGGAAAGACAAGTCTCGTCTTCTAAAGTGTTGATAGCTGTTTGGACAGCTTTTCTAATTCTTCTCCCAACCGATGTGTCAAAATAGATTGGCAACTGTTTATTAGGCCAGATTCTTAAAATTGTGTGGATTTTTAATCCATTAGTGAATTCCTAACTAGGGTTGCCAAAATGGACCGACTCAGATTGAAGGATCGAGTCAGGCCTAAGGTATTTGGCCCGAAAGTGACTCGTAAAGGCACGACTCGATAAAATCAAGGCTTAAAATAATTGTTAGTTATCTCCTTCTATCCTATCAAATCCCCAGTAGTGTTCCTCAAAATGTATAGGCATGATTTTTGGTTAAATACTAGTACCAACACAGCATTAGTTGGTTCTGAACAGCCGTTTGTTGCGAAACTTTAAAGTTGGGGGATCATTGGAAATCATCGGACATCCGAAATTGGGCCGATTCCAACCCCTCTGTTCAATACAGAATCGAATATAGAATACCCCTCCAATTCAAAAAATAAATGTCCCGATCTAATTATCAAAAATTTTACCTGCTTTTATCTTTAACCACACTTTTTTGCACACCTTCCTCCTCCGAGTCTTCAACAGCCACGTTTTTCTTTTCAAAAACCATATCACCGACGAAGACAAAATCATCAGTAGAAATTGTAGGAGGAGTTATCTCATTGTTAGATTCAGTCGATTCAAAAACCCAATTATTTGCATCCTCAGTTATCCAGCTATTCCGTTCAGACTAAACTTTGAGAAAGATAATTGATTATGGTTATATGCTCATCCCTAAAATTTAGCTTGGATTTTCCAATGAAGTCCCGGACATATCCTCTACCTTATTCAACTATTCTGGGGTTTGGGCCCACACATTGGAGCTTTGGGTCCACATAACTGAGGTCCCACCTCATTTTTCTAAACAATACGACTAATTCAAGATATTCCTTATTATAAGATACAATTTTTTAGTCTATTAATATTTAATATTAAGGTACGATTTTTTAATCTCTCTATTAATTACCCCATCTACATATAAGCGGTGTTAGTATTATAGTTAGTCGGTATCAGCTAAAGACCGGACTGAGACGAGATCTAGATCGTAACTCTCGGTTATCGAAATCGAGAATTTTTCGAGATCTCGGCTCTACTAAGACACTTCTAGTCCGGTCTCTACTATCAACCCAATGCTCCTCCCTAATAATTTAACTTTTTAATTAAATAAAATTTTACTCCTCGTTTAGGACGCAAAACGTTACTATTGGATGTAACTAAATTGATAGACAACGGTAATGTAAAAATAATTGAAATTAGCAAAGGATGTGGCATCGTGTTCATTCAATGAACCTTTCCAAAAAATATTTTTACATTCGACTCTGAAAGTTAAAACAAAAAAACTTCGGGTTAAGTGGTATTAAGAAATTTGCCGACAATAAAGTTGCGGACATTATTCGCAGAAATATCTGCGGACAACATTTACGGACAATATTTAGGGACAAAAAAGTTGCGGACAACACAAATTCCAATAAGTTCCAATAATAATAATTTAATAATAATAATTTATCTTTGTAGCTCAAAAATTTTTAAAATTGCGGACAACGTAGATATTTAATTAAGCGAATATTTTAGCTAAAATCCTAAAACTAAACTTTATAGCAAATAAATAGAGATGGATATTAATAAAACTTTTAAATTAGGACTAAAATAAAAGAAAATTAATGTTATCTTTTTTAGCTTAATTTCAAAGGTAAAACAAAAATAAATATAGTGACTGAGTTTTAGAACAATTACTTTTTTTTTAATTCGAAAAAGCAACAATTGTTGTTTTAATGTTATATATTTATAATTGTAGCAAATTTGGATGAAAATTTACAAGGCCAATTTATTCTAAATATTGTGCAAGTTGACTAAAGATAGGCGAGAAATTTACCTACAAATATTTGCAGACAACATTTGTGGACATTGAAGGAAAAATATTTTTTTAGGTTGAATAATTTTTAAAAGTGAGGATAAAAAATAAAATAATTCTACATAATATGAATTAATTAAATAAATTTTTTTAGCTAAAAAAGTTCAATTTCTACTTAATATTAAAAAATTCAATTTTTAATTATTTAAATATTTATAAGTCATTCTATTAGTACATAGATCACTAAAAATTATTAGTTCAGAAAATTTTTGGAACGGGGGGTTTCGTACGGACCCCCTTCAAATTTTGCTAAAAGACAAGTCTCACTTTAAGCAGATCCAAGAGTAGCCTCCATATAAGATAATACCTCCATATAAGCCCTAAGAGGGTATTTTATATCGACTATAACAGATAAACCTAGATCCAGTTCGAGCTTTATATTTTTTAGAGATATTCGTATGATACCACTAGTCTAACCTTAAGTCAGAACAAAAATCAGTAGAATAAAGGTAGGGTTGATCTTATACGACCAATACCGACCAGTAAGATATTGGTATGAGTGAGAATGGTTTTTTCTGTTTTTTGGTCACACCCCAATAAGAGAGGTTAGAATTTTGTACCGTACATTATTCCGTATCGTAATACCAATAAAAAATAATGTAGTAAAAATAACAAATTTTACACAATATGTATAAATTGAAGAAAAATTTTTTAATTAAAAAAGTCTCATTTTCTACTTAATATGCAAAATTTAAATTATAAATTATTTAAATCGTGTTGTTTGTTACTCAGTTAAGGATAACTTCATAGTAAATTTAGGAAAAGATTTGGAATTTAATTAAGTTTGAAATGCGTAAACTATTCTAAATGCTAATTTTATTTTGAAGGTTTTATGAGGTGAATATCTTAATTTAGAAAAAAGATTTTGTTGTAAAATTTAACGTGGATTGAAGATTGTTCCGGATCTATTTTTTCTTGTGGCTATCTTTTGAGAAAAAGGTGTTTAGAGTTTTGTAGCGGCTTTTCAGAATATTTTCTTCGGATAGGGCTTAACGATTAAAAAGCCGGGGAGTTTGGGTGAGTTAAAAATTTGAGATTTTACGGAGTGTCCCATATTTATGTAATTTCAAAAAAAATTCGTTTCACATATTTCCAAATATTTCTTTAATTTTGATAATTTTTAGAGATAATGAATTGAAATAAAAAATGAAATAATTCTGCATAATATGCAGAAATTAAAAAAATTTTTTAGTTAAAAAAGTCACAATTTTTACTTAATATACAAAATTTTAATTTTTTATTGCTTAAAAATGAGTAAGTCTAACAGAACATACAAATAATAATCGTTAGTCAGAAGACAATTTTTGGGACAGGGGGTTCAAGGAACCCCCTTCTAATTTCTTCTGCAAGACGATTCATAGAGTAGAATATTCATTCTCCTCTGTCATAGGTGATAAAGTGGATTCCTCATTTCCCGTTTGAACAGTACTGTAAATTGCCTAAGGCGTTTAAGTCTCTAATAACGGTAGGCAGTGTATCTGGCGGGAGAGAATCAAACATAATCCCAGCAGATGACTACTAAATGATGAAATTAAGAAACCTTTAGAAAATAAATAGTTTTCCGAATATTTAAAAAATTTATGCTCGCACGTGACTAAAGTTTACCTTTCTTTTACTGGTCGGTAGCAGATCAACTTTACTTTCATCTCGCTGATTTTTGTTCTGATTAAAGACTGGACTGGTAGTATCAAATGAGATTGATATCTCGAAATATGTATATCGATACAGCCTCTAGTTTCAACGGTCAGTCACGATACTCTCTTAGAGCTTATGAGTTGTAGCTTAGATACAAGTTTTGTCTGCCACTCAATTAACTGGAAAAATAGAAGGGGCTTCGTATTTTACTGGAAAAATAGATGGGGGTTCCGTACGCTAACCCCCGGCCCAAAAATTAATTTTTTAAATCTTCGCTTTAATCTTCGCGAATGACTGACAAACAAAATTATTTAAATAGTTAATTATTTGAATTTCTATATATTATGTAGAATTGAAACTTTTTTAAATAAAAATTTTTTCCTTTAATCTATAAATACATACTTTTAGGATAATTACTACCAATTTTACTAGAACGAAACTATAATTAAACAAAGACTAGTGGAGTTCGAATTTAAAAATAAATTCTAAACTGAATAGGTATAGAACTAGTTATTTGCCAGTAGTTAGCTACCTATAGTGTTTGCTGATTCAGGAAAATCTTTGGATATCCAAATCCTAACATAGTTATCGAAATAATATCATCCACAAAATAGTAACAGATTAGAGTTGTCCAAACCGATTTTAATTGGATAAAAGGACACATGGATTTGGAAAATTTGGGAACATTCTGTCTTCCTAATCAGAGGTGGGTCAGAACAGTCAGAGGTGTCTGAAATTGGAAGAGCCGGAAATTGGAACTGGCTCAAAAGTCGGAACTCGGAAATTGGAAATCAAAAATTTTTTCCGAAACTCGGAAATCGCAAAGGAAGAAATGACAGAAATTGAACTTCTGACCAGCCTCCAATAAATATATGTTCTTCTTCTATTTTTAAACAAAGTTTATTTGTATATCTTTAAACCAGGGCTCGGATCGACAAAATGCCAATAAAAAGTACAAAAATCTTGATTTTAAAGTACATAGGGGCAAAATTTCCACATTTAAAGTACACTCAAAATTAAATTAGAAAATATATATTTGTGCTCAAATCTTTTATATTTCTCTCTTAAATTAATCTTTTCTAATAATTTCTTGTTTCAACTTGCATTTTGTGAATTTCAATGCACTTTTTTGTGGAGCCGAAGGCGCCAAAAAATCTATTTTTTTGCGCCGCAGGCGAAAATTTTGAGAAATTTGGGAGTCCTTAAGCCAGATTTCTTCCATTTTTTGCGCCGCAGGCGAAAATTTTGAGAATTTTGGAGGTCCTTAAGCCAGATTTCTTCCATTTTTTGCGCCGCAGGCGAAAATTTTGAGAATTTTGGAGGTCCTTAAGCCAGATTTCTTCCATTTTTTTCAAAATGTTGATTTTAAAGTACATACTTTCAATAAAGTACAAATTCAATTTCGTAAGTACGGAGGTCGATTTTAAAGTACTGTACTTTCAAATAAAGTACGAATCCGAGCCCTGCTTTAAACAAAAGCCATATTATTGTCAAATTAAATCTTCAAAATTATCAATATCATATAATCCCTTCTATCCTCTATTCCTTCTTCTTAATCTCCTCAATAGCCTCTTTCTCCTTCCTTTAGACCCTATTTTTGACTTCCACCCTCCACAAGGCCTAACATTCCTTCCATCAATAGCATTAGCCATCAAGTCAATTCTTTGCCCATTTAATTCAACTTCTCCAAGACACCCAACAAAATTTTGATTAAACATCCCAGCCGTCATAATGTTTAAATCTGGCACTCCTCCAATAAATATATTTCCCTCTACGTTCAACATTGCAAGGATTCCGCTGCTTCTGCCTTCTACTACTTTTCCTCTGTTTATTTGTAATGTGCCGTTGCGACCTCGACGAGTGGCGCGAATCTTTAATATTTAAATAATATATATTAAGTAGAACAAAAGAGTTGAAATGAGGGGCAGGGGTTGAGGATCGATCAAGATTAGAGCTCGATATTTTTGAATAATCCTGATCTTGATACTCAAGATTTTCGAACGAAATCACTTCATGCTTCTTTACTTAAGAGATACAGTATACAGGAGATTTATATAAAGAGGAGGAGTATTAGAATATTTTCTCGTTGTTCCGTGATATGGGAGAGGGGAGGGAAAAATTAAGGGGAAATTCCTGGGGGCATATATCCTCCTGGTCAGTGTTTACCCTAAGATTTATACAAGTCTATTTCACCTTAAGATAATGCGAGGTTTTCAAGATAATTAAAGGTAGTGTAAGGGAGCCAAAGTCAGTATAGGAGGGGGAGAGCTCTTTAGATACTGTAGGGGTCTTCTTAAAGTCCATTAAACTCACCAAATGAGTCTTTCCATCATTCACAGGTCTTTTACTGATTAATTGAGCTGCTCCTCCACCCAATTCATAAGTGAACGATAAATGCCCTCCCAACAGTGAAATAGCCAAAAAATCTTCCCCAAACTGTTCCGTCCCATCTCTTCTGTCCAGAGAAGGATGTTGACCTTGCCAAAAGATTAAACCATATCTTGCTCTAGTTCTCAATTTGAATTGAATAACTTCTTCCAAATCGCTAATCATATGTGGAAATTCTTCTGAGGAGAATACCTTAATTTTAATTCGTTTGAAGAATTAAAAAATCAATCTTGGCTCAAATCTTGGCTTCGGATATATCAAATTTTGGCTTCGGATATGGATAACCCATGGCATCTTTGCTACATCTAAAATCGTGGCAACAATAAAAGCATCACACTCAAATTATTAACTGGATGCACCTTAGAATGAAACTTGAAATGTTGAAAAAATTAGTAGGGGGTTCCGACACAAACCCCCCTTTCCAAAAATTATTGTCGAAAATATTATTAATTAAGTTATGTTACTGGCAAAATATAAAATTAAAATTATTTTAAATTATGCATATTAAGTAAAAATAAATTTTCTCTAAAATTAAAGTGAAAGAAATATGTGTTTATTTGAAAATAAAATCATGGCTCGGAGGGCTAGTTGGTCCTCTTAGTTTATACAGAGCCACTATTTTATATCAGATTTCTAGCGGTTCCTTAATTTTGGGGGTTAACATTTCGGGGAATATAAGCCTAAAAAAGAAAGCATTTGTTGGGATTAAAGAGCCCTAGCTTCTAGTCACTTAAATCCATTTATTTACAATTCAACTCTCAAGGCTTCCCAGATCATTAAAAAATTTCTCTCTAGTGTTAATAACGACTTACGACAAATGCAGAGCCATCAAAACCCGCTGCATATTCCAATGGTTGGACTTTAATTAGAATTGACAATTTTATAAACCCCCCATAAAAATCTCTACTTACACTCTTCACATTCTTGCCCAGCCCAAAAATCACGGCAATGGCACGTTACATGTGTTGAATTTATTTCTTCACAACTTCCATGTATTCCACAAGTTTTTTGGTCACATAAACCTCGGAATATTTTTTGCTCCAATCCTTCTAGGGTTTGTTTTTGATGATCTACTGTTACTAGGGGCTTTCCTTCTGTAGTGTAGATAATGGTAGCTGGCATTTGGTCTGTTGAGGTTTCTATGTGTGGCATTGTGTATTTGGACCTTTCGACACCGGACATTTCGTCCCTTGACGATTTGTCAGTTGACGTTTTGTCACTGGACGTTCTGTCTTCGGACGTTTTGTCCACGGACGTTTTGTCAGTAGACGTTTTGTCTTTTGACATTTCGATATTTGAAGGTAACAATATGACTGATGGAGCTGGCATTAAAGTAGTCAACTCGTCCTCATCCTCTTCACTCTCTTCTAACAAAGGCGATAAGGTAGATTCCTCATCCATTTGAATAGTACTGTAAATCGCCTCAGGCGTTTGAGTCTTTTTAATAACGGTAGGAAGTGGATCTGGCGAGAGAGTATCAGGCATAATACCAGGATGTGACTAAATTGAAGGGAGATAAAATATTCAAGGAAAATTAAGTAAAAAACTCAAGGATAACTCAAGGTACCTCCTGCCTACGATACCCCTTGGCCTAAAAAACTACCTCAAGAAGTATCTTTACTTGATGGTATGACTAAGGCAGATACCTCTTACATTGGTCTATTAAATTTAAAAAGTTTAATTTGGAGAGTACTTAATTCTAGTATCTATCTTATAGCAAAGGTTGAATGTATTATGTGCATTACCGGTTCTACAGAAGCTTCAACAAATTCTGGTTCATATTTATCTTCTGCACTTTTAACCTCCTGTTCCCTATAGCCAACATCTTTAACTTCAAGCAACGGGTCTTCTGTAACGTCAGTCACCACAGGAATATATGTAGGTGTAGTGGAAGGTGTTGAGGTTGTCGATGTTGCATAGTCTTCCTCATCTTCCTTCTCTTCCCTCCCCTCTTCCTTTTCCTCCCTCTCTTCTTCCTCCTTCTCTTCAACTTTTCCCTCCTCAGTTTTCGCCTGGCACTTATTCAAATTAACGGCAATCGAGTCCTTTTTATTAATCAAATCCTTCAATTCCAACAAATTTCCATTCACACTTAATTCACTCAAACACCCATAGAAGGGCAAAACCTCATCCAATTGGACACTATTTTTGTATTCTTTGCTTCTCTGTTGTGGTAACAATCCTCCAAGTAGAAGAAAAATTCCGGAAGACTGTTCAGGGTATTTTAGAGAAGGCAATTTCCAAGTTCCTTTAGGCCTTCCATCTACTAGCAATCCAACCTCGTCTGTTCCCAATTTTTCTAAGCGGATTAACATGGAATTTTGGGGTCTCAATTTTTTGATTAATGAAGGCCTTTTAGTTGTTGAAGGGGAAGATTGTTGCAAGTCTGAAAATATTAAGGTTATCATCTGACTTAGACACTTTTCTAACATATCTTAATCATTCAGCTACCTCTTAAAAGTAGGATCAAGATAAGAGTTATAAAATAGCGTGGATAGATAGGTGGCAGCGTAACAGTATGATTACTCATATCAATGACTTTATAATAGGGTTGCGCCCCGACCCCGACTTTGCCAACCCCGAAAACACCGACCCCCGACTTTTTCAACCCCGAAGGCCAGTTGGAAAAAAAGTAGGTAGGCTTATCGAGGGCCTTCGAACGATATAAGATTCATTCTTATTGGATAAATTTACAGAAATTATAAGGGATTAAATTCGCTGGCGCTCAACCGGCTTGCTCAACGGCCGGTTGAACGCTTTCAGTACACACAGTAATACTGAGAGATGTTTAAGCGAGTGATTCGAGCTTCTAGTCTCTCTCATCTCACAAGTATACTAATCTGGAGGGTTAAAACAAGTTTACTATAAAAGCCTCTCCAAGTTTGACGCAATCTACAGAGGACAACAACGGCTGGCGACAACATTCAATTAAAAGTCGTGCTTCTCTCCGCTTCATACAAATGGCTTCTCCAACAGAACATTTGGCTGCTCTACTCTTTTATTCAATCGACATTGCTACTTGCACGTTTCCAGCAATCGCGTTGCTCCTGTTTTCTGTAATGATCGTGGCTTGTTGCAAGAAGAAAAAGGAGGAAGTTCAGGCCGAGGAAGAGGTAAAATTTTTTGGTGACATTTGGTCCCATTTTGGCGATTAATGTGTTTTTGATTTTTAGAGTCCAAAAAAGAAGAAACGAGACAAGGAGCGTAAGAAAGCAAAAGCTAAGCCGGAACCAGCAGGCGAGCCAGAGTGGAAGGTGGAAGAACATCGAGAGGGACTCGGTGAGGGAGGGGCTTACCAAACGCTGGATGACTTGAACTTGAACAAAGACATATTCTTGGAAGGAAAGCCAAACCAGCCGCCACAAGGACTCACATTCATGCAAGGAGGGAAGCCAAACCAGATGCCTCGACAAGGAGGGAGGCCAAATCAGATGATGCCACAAGCCGGTCGACAAACGGGGAGGCCAATGCAAGCACCCGGTCCACCATTTCAAGGAGGAGGAAGGCCAAGACAGACTCAAGTTGGTCCTCAAGAGATAGAAGACGCACATCGTGCTGGAGTTGGACAAGGACAAGACTATCAGACGTGGAATGCGTTGGACCAAAACGTTTTTGTCAACAAGAATAAAGCGCCATCTAATCAAATGACCAAAAATGCGCCGACTAATCAGATGACCAAAAATGAGGGAACTCCACGAGCAGGTATTGGACAGGGTGCGGATTATCAAACGTGGAATGCCTTGGATCAGGTAGAGAGAGATTTGTCAAGAGGAGTTGATGTTTTTGCGGACATTTCTTTCGGCTAACTTTCGCGGACAAATTTTGCGGACAAATTTTTACGAGTTAAAAAAATCCGCAAAAAATTTGCGGACAAAACAAATCCGCAAAATTTGTCCGCAAAAATACCAACTCATCTAACAAGTGCATTTAATTTTCTGACGTTGTCTAATGCTTTTCTGTATTTTTCAGAATGTGTTTGTGAAGGGACGACGATAAATGCTCAACCATTCTGCCTTGTTTGCCTAAATCTCCCTAAAAGAACTTGAATAGTCAGCTTGTTAAATTGATGTTTGATAAATTTATGTAAAATGTTTGTTGTATATTTTTGTTGTTTGTATGTTTGTTTGTGTGTTGTTTGATAAAATAAGTTGAGAAATTTCTCTCCTTTTTTAATTTTGAGCAGAAAATTTTATAGGAAGATATCCTAAAGGAAACAAGTCCCAAAAGCATGGTAGTCTCAAAACTCAGAGACCAAGACCAAAAGAAACTCGAGAAGACTGACGGAAACTAGGTTCTCAGAAAGGAAGCATGGTTCTCGAAACTCAAGAGTAATGTGAAGGGAACAACGAAAAGTGTTGTGGGTAGTATGAAGGGTAGTGCGAAGGGAACATCAAAGTAGGGTGAAGAGAACATCGGGTAAAGAGAACAAGACAAGAGTCACGAACCTCTCGAAAGTATACGATCCTCAAAACTTAATCCTCACTCACTGAGGATCTCTGTGGCTTTGTGTTTAATGTGGCCCAGATGGATTGAAAAAATTTATACTGTACACATTAATATTTAATCATTTCAAGTATTTACCATTTTGCGGAAGCATAGTAACACCAGCCAGAACTTGAGCATCTTGTTCCCTCATTAATGCTACAAGTAATTGTTCTTGATTAAATGGACTGATGGATGGATTCAAGCGAAATTCAATCTAAAAAATATATATTAAGTAAAATTTTCGAAAAAATGTCTATTTTTCTGATATTTTCAAAGAAATTTGGGAAATATCAGGCCAAAAATTCTGAAATTTATAGCAATGGTAGTCTAGTTCAAGGAGTATATCTGGGCAAAATTTCATAATTTTGGGTTCATTTTTGCCTATTTTATAAGCCCTCAACTTAGCTTTATTTGTAATAAAACCTACCATAAATCCATCATTTTCACCCATTTCTCCTTCATTTTTGGTAGAATTTAAAGAAAATGCTAAGAGAGAATTTTCTCCATTAAATTCAATACTCTTCATTTCCTCTTCAAATTTCTCATCTTTATTTTCACATTGTTGTCCTAACCAGCCAGGAGGGCACAAACATTTTGCATGGCCATCCTCCCATAGACAAACACCTCTATAACACCAACGACGTCTGTCAACTGGACAAACACCGTCTGTTGAAGGAAGAGTACAAAATTTGCCAGTAAATCCGGATTGGCATTGACACTAAAAATTGTATAACTAAATTTCATAAAAGAAATTTATAGGGGTAGGGTGAAGGGAACATAAAGTAGTGTGAAGGGATCAACGAAATAGTGAGGGGTTGTTTGAAGAATAGTGCGAAAGGAACATTAAAGTAGGGTGAAGGGAACAACGAAATAGGTGTGAGGTGGTAGTTTGAAGGGTAGTGTGGAGGGAACATTATGTAGTGCAAAGGGAACAACGAAATAGTGAGGTGTAGTGCGAAGGGAACATTAAAGTAGGTTGAAAGGAACTTAAAAGTAGGGTGAAAAGAACATGACAGTAACATGAAGGGAACCTCAAAGTAGGGTGAAGGGAACATCAAAGTAAAGCGAAGGGAACATCTAACAGTAGGTTTAATGTTCCCTTTGTACTACCTCACATTCCCCCAATTATCAACTCATTTTTCACCTGAAACACTCCCCATCTATCAAGAAAACATCTTCCTCTATTCTTACAAGGCTCTCGAGAGCATGAATTAACTCGTTGTTCCAGACTGCTCTTTTGATGCGTATTTTCCTCTAAAGAAATTTTCCCTTGATTTTCCTTTAGATTTTTCAAATCAATTTCTTTATCATTCAATTTTAGTCTTCCAATTGACCCAACAAAAGGTAGAGACGTTTTTTGAAGATTTTGGAGTCTATATGGATCTACTCCTCCTAGAAATATGCGTGAAGAACCAAAAACTTTGGTAGACGGCTTGTCCAATCTTCCTGGAGTACTGTAGAAGAGTTCAGCTGGAACTTGAGAATTCACCCGAAGAGAAGCTTAAATAAGATTAGATTGAGATATTTAAAGCTTTTGGCGTGTTGGAAAATGGGCGTTTCGAGTTTGAGTGTTTTGAATATTTGTATTAAGTTCAGAAAATTTTGCACGATTTTCAGAATTTTTTTTCGAATTTTTTTTTGAAATTCAGGACCAAAGGTGGTTTTTTGAAATTCAGGATCTTCCGATTCTAAAATTTTGGAAAAATTTGCGATTTGCGGCAATTTTTATACATACATCTCCGAATGTTCCCACCCTCATCCCGTCAGGACGCCCGTAAAGTATACCCGGACCTTCTGTAGTACCCTGACAGCAAGGGGGTCTCTTACAGGGAGCTCCGAATAATATTCCATAATTAAATTTTTCTCAATTAAAAGTCACCTCTTCCATGAGGATTGTTAATTACTCTCAAAATTGACCATTTATTCTTTTTTAATTTCAAGTTGCTTCTAAGTACTTCTTAAAAAATTTATTATTGAAATTAAATATATTAAGTATTCTTACTCTCTTTATTTAAATAAATATTTTTAAAAGAATATTGGGGATATCCATTGACCAGTTCAAGTCTGTGAATAATTCCAGGTGGTCCAATAGACGGGGCAGAGCTGGTTGCATGGACAATTACTCCATTTGAAGAGTGTGGAAGGACATGAAAATTTAAATAAAAATTAATTTATTCTTGTGGGAATGATTAAGGAAGCTCATTTGTCAGGTCAATCCAGAAGCTTGTGGAAAATGTTCTACTTAAGGCGATCTGGACGGTTATGGGCTCCATAGTAACTGTTAAATTGACACTTTGTTATTCTAAAATATTGGCATTTTGAGTTTGGGTTTTTAATTTTTGTGTCAGTTCAGTATAGAACAACGGGTTTGGGAGTGTATGCGAGATATTCGGAAGAATCTCGATTATAGAGATTTTTGTTTAAGATCTCGCCTTGGTCCTGTCTTTAGTTCAGAACATTATTCTCAACTTCAAATCCACCTTTTAGGCAATCTGAATTCCTCCATAAAGTGCCCATTATCTTTAAATTATTACTTGTAATTCCAAATCAAAATAGTCAAGTGACTGATTCCGTTCTGAAGTCAATTCAACTGGCCCTGTCCCCAAAAATTCTAAAGTCGAAGATGGAGGTTCGAAAAGCTCGTTCTCTTTAGCTTCGGTTTCCGCTGCTTGTACTTCGAGTTCATTTACACCTCTACTCTCCGCTGGCAATAAAGGATCAGGCTCTACAATAGATACAATACTCTCCTCAGGTTTCAGTGTGCTTTCTGAAAAATATTTTTGAAATGTAATAATTTTTTAAAAATTCCTAAAATCCTAGAAATCAGCTAAGAATAGTCGAATGCCTCACGAAACAAGGAGTTTGTTGTCATACTCTCACGGATCCCTAGGTGGTTTTTAAATAAACCGAATTCTAGAAAATAAGTAAATGATTAGATACATAGACTTCGATCGCAAGTGCCCCCTCTGAAGCACTCGTTCTTATACTCTCAACTAGGGTTGACATTTTTGATTTTTTCTGTTTTTTTTTGTTTTTTCGCCGACGTTCGGTGCATTTTTTCGAGCTTTTCGAGCTGAAAAGCCGCGGCTCGCTCGATCATTCGAGTTTCGGTTTGAGCGAGCTGGCAACCCTACCCTCAACCATTCCTACACCATAAAGTAGACTGAAATCAGAGCTGTTTCGAAACAAAAAATTTTTTGGAAATCGAAAAAAGTTGAGCCCGAGAATGGGAGAAAAACCTAGAAACGCGTAAATCGAAACTTCGTAATAGATCATAATAGATCTGACTCGAGGAAACCTAGCGTCCTTACAATCGAAATTGCTTTTCAATACAGACTATGTACAATACAAAAATTCACGTCAAACAACAATTATATATGTTTTTCACCCAACACAACAAGGCAAAAATTTTTTTTTTAATTTTTTATTTAATAATAAACAAAGGAAGTGAATATTTTTTGTTCTTTTTCACTGGGTGGCAGTGCAAAAGTAGGAGAGAAAGGCAAGAAGTATTTTTTAAAACAATTAAAAATGGCGAGTATGTAAATTTAAACAATGGAAATTAAAGATCAGAATAAAAAAAACTTTTAATTGAATTTTAAATTTCTGATAGAAAATGGAGCTTAAATTAGTGTGAAAAATGTATGTATGTACATTGTATTTTCGAATCAAACAATACAGAACAGAATTATGGAAATCAGAATTAAAAATCAGAATTTGTATTTTATTAGGTATTACAAAAATCAGAATTTGTGTTTTTAGCTAATCAGAATTAAAAATATCAGAATTTTTATTTTCCAAAAATCAGAATAATTAATTCTGGTCATATTACAGATCAGAATTTTTATTTTTCAGAATTAAAATTCTGATTAATATTCTGAGTAATCAAAATTAGGAATCAGAATTTTAGTTTTAAATCAGAATTTGTATTTTCCATCAATCAGAATTTATAAATAGTTGTGAAAAATATCTATAATTTAAAAATTCTGATTTATTATCAAAAGAAAATTAAATATAGTATTCAGAATATTTTTTAAATTGAGCGATAAAAATGGCAATATGAAGTGAAACAAAAAGCAAATAAATTTAAAAAATTTCTATTTTATTCAAGACCAAAACCAAGAACCAAAAGTGCTATGTCGCCCAGAAACAGGCGGTAGATCGTGTCTAATTTCATAATTATGGTAATGCTTTGCATGGTTATTGTGTGAACGTCCGGCTCTGTGATATCTGGAATTTTCAGAAATTTTTTTTTTGGAATTTCAAAAAAAAATAACAAAAAATTTTCATAAAAATTTTTTTTGAAATTTTCAAAAAATTTTCAGAATTTTTCAAAATTTTTTTGAAATTTCTTGAAAAGTTCCAAAAAGATACCTCTCAGCCCTGCGCCTCAAATTAGCTCCTCTAACTTTCTGTTTTTGCACATTTTTCTTATCCTTAGAGGCATTTAATATAACCACTCCAACATCTCCTTTTTTAACGAGAGCACGCCTCCTTTGATGCCTTAGTCTACGTAGACGGCGACGTCTAGATGGGTAGGTGGGGGCTGGCCGTCCAAGTTCAACCTTAATTTTGTTAATTTAAAGTCGGGAATGGATTTTCTTCCTTGGGTCATTGAGAATTCAGGAACTATCTACTCGATATTGTAGTGTAAAAATACTCTAGGTTATGAGAAGGTTACTGTATTTAATAGCTCCCTATTTAAGATGTGTAAAATAAGTACGATAAGAGATTGGCGGCGCTCATAAGAGATTTACGGGGTATTTCAAGGATCCTTTTTAAAAAAACTGACCACTTCGGTATGTAAATTATGTTGTTTCCCTTCTTCATTATTTTCAGCTAAAGTATATTCAACGCCTTTAGGTTGTTCTGGAGGTCTTTTAGTTATTTTGGGTCTATGTAAATGCTTTCTCCGCCGTTTTTCTGCTTCAGTTTCCTCATCATTTTCAACGTTTAAGAGAGCTGAGGTTTCTAATATTCCTTCTGACGTGTGTGCCCGACAACGATATTTTCCGGTGTTTTCGGAAGAGATGGAAGTGAACAATAAGCGATTGCCAGTAACCTGGAGAAGCAAAATAAATTTTAAAAAATTACTAAAAATTTTTTCATGTATAAGTTATATATCATTCTACGCGGTTTTTTGAGCTGCGTCGAATGAGACCAAAATAGTCCTGATCGGACAAAAATTGACAAAGTTATAGTCAAAATAAGAAATATTGCCTGAGGGCATATGCAATTATTTAGGTCATATATACTTAGTAAATAAAATATTTTATATCATTCAACGCGGCTTTTCGAGCTGCGTCGAATGAGACTAAAATCCGTCCTGATCGGACAAAAATTGGGAAAGTTATAGTCAAAATAAAAAATATTGCCTGAGGGTATATTTTTATTTTTTGAAACTTGCCTGCGCATTTTCAGGCAGTTCATCAGAATCATCCTTCAAAAATTCAATTTTAGCATTAGGATCACCAGCAACCGAACAATCTAGCCATGCACGAGAACCTATAGTAACCGATTCGTCTGATACATTCAAAATAACTTTAAGTATTGTTTCGGGAACTTGAAATATTTTGTAAAATATTTAATTTTGTGTTTAGTTTTTACCAAATATTTTGGCATTCAAATATCCATTTACTGTATTCTGTCCATATTGAACTGTGCAACGGTAAATTCCGGCCATGGAATCGTCGAATTTATCGATACTAGAAAAATATGAATTTTTGATTCTAGAGGAGACTTAAGTAGGGTTGACATTTCATAGGTAATATACTGTATCTCTCAAATAATTAAGTTGGGTAATTATTGTAAATATAGCTTCTCTCGCTGTAGGGGTAATTAACAGAGGTTGGTAATTGTGAGGTTATCTTAGGAGGGCTAATTATAACAATTCTTAAGGGGGTAATTATTATTTCAACATCTGGCTGGAGAGGCTAATTCATAGGGGAAGGGGGGGGGGGGGTAATTATTTGATGGAGTGTAATTAATAGGGAGGGTAACTTTTTGAGTAACTTCGGTGAAAATATTTTTTAATTATTCCTTACACCAATTTATCAGCTTCCTGATGAGCTCCTGAAGGCAAAGAATCTCCACTTTCCCGACTCCATTGAACCGTCGCACCGGGGACTACAAACACAGGGCAGGTAAATATGGCTTCTGAATCCTCGTCAAATTTGGACTCGACTGCGTCTAAAAATTAGAAGAAAATTATTTTGTATGGGGAAAGTTGATAGACAGTGACCACGTGAACTTAAACTTCCATAACTCATGAGCGGAAAGACTAACAGTGAAGCAAATGGTACCGTTAGATAGAGCAGAAAATTGGCTACTAGAAATAATAAAGAATTTGATTTTAGGCCGTCAGTCAAAAAAAGTTATGGCCAAAAAACTGATGTCACTCTAACGAAAAAATGAAATTTTCCGAGGATTTTCAGCCATAACATTTTTTCCAAATAATCTAAAATTTTGGTTTATACTTTTATTTATTGCCAAACTTCTCCTCTATTCAACGATACCAAAAAACTCCTAAAAACTTTATCCGCTAGAAGGTTATATTTGCTCAAGTCCACTTGATCAACAGGTAATACAGGCGATAAATTTTAAGGAAAATGTGCATAAGATATTGCAGAAAAATGTTAAAATCAGGAAATTGTTTATTTAAAGAAGCAAAAAGTTTAGGGGAAAGAGGGTTAATCAGAAAATTTTCAATTAAATTTTGAAATTCCAAAAATTTCAAAAAATTCTTGCTGTGCGCTAAAAATTTTTTCAACGCCAAAATTTAAAAATTAAGCGTTTTGTTGAATAAAATTGTTATTCATTTAATTTAAACTTTTTAAACACTACTAACTCTCATCAGATTCAAAACCAACAGCTACAGCAGTCTGTGCCTGCCCCAACGCCTCTCCGTCCTCACTTTCCACCTCACAACGGTAAATACCGTAATCATTGCTTGGATCGGCACTTTTTATTTGTAATTGGCTTTGTTTGCCCAAATCTCTAATGAGCGATCCACCACGGGCTAAAGACCAAGCATAGTTGAATTCCTCGCCGGAATGTCCTAAATTGGCGTTTTTGGCGTTATGTTAATTTTGGGGGGAATGACCATATTTGGAGGAAAGGACATTAAGTAAAGTTAATGTTAACGAAAAATTAATTTGTTTAATATATATTTTTTAAATTAAACTAGTTATTTGTTAATTGGATGCCCCAATTTTTCAATTAAATTTAGTTAGAAAAAAGAAGAAAATTATTGGTAAAGCATGAAAATATTAAGTGGGAGGTACGGATGTTTTTTAATAATTAAAAAATTTTTTTCGAGTCCTGACTTTTTCTAATAAATCATTCGATGCAGTTTTTCGAGCTGCGTCGAATGAGATCAAAATTAACTTGATAGGACGAAAATTGATAAAGTTATGCTTAAATTAAAAAATATTGCCTGAGGGCATCTAATGATAATTTAACTAAAAATGCTTAATTAAGTCAGATTTTTAGGCTTAATATTAAAAAGCAAAAGAAAAACCAAGCTAAAGCAAAAACAGAAAAAACAGTGAAGCAGTGCTATATGAACTCTGACCATTTGGTCTTATAACCAAATACAAAGCTCTGCTTTTGACCAATTTGCCATTCGACAATTTGCCCATAGCCACATAAAATCCAGAATTTTCAGGTTTAAGCTGCTTTAGATGGATAATATTGGAATCTGTAGAGAAGATATGAAAGAGGCAAAGAGGGCGTCGTCCATAAAACCAGTCGAAAGAGAGAAGCATTTGACCAGGTTTAGGTTTTCCTGTGATGCAGTAGAGGGAAGGAATAAATTTTTTAAAATAAAAATTAAAAAAATTGAATAAACTTAATAAAAAATTAAAAAAAAAGCATAAAAATCCCTCCACCATATTTTGAAAAAAATCAAAAAATTAAAAGAGAATTTAAAAACAAGCGCGAGAACTAAAATTCAAGAATGGCAAAAAATTTTTTTAAAAGAATTCTTAAATATTGAGTTAATTTAGACATGAGGACTAGGCAGAAAGGAGAAGGATAACCTATTTTTAAAATTCATGATCTTCAAAAATTAGTCCGTAAAAATTTCTTACGCGAAAAAATTTTTGTCTGCAAAATTTGTGTCCGCAAAAATGGTTTTGTCCGCAAGTTCGGATTTAGATATTCTCCCAATGCAGATAACACCACAAAATTATGAAAAAGATATGTCAATCATAGCCTAAAAATTATTTCCCCAAATTTAGATAATAATGTCCTCATCCTCCCTCAAAAATATTTTTTTAATTTTCCAACCGTGCACAATACAATCTAGCACAATAGAATCCCCTTGATTTACCACCCTTATGTTTGGTGGGGATATGTCAACTTGAAGTAGTTCGGGTTTAGTATCTCCTTCGGGGTGCAGTTCCACTCTGCTGCTGGCTATCACTTCGTTTTTCCTATAAGCACTGCATTCGTACTCGCCCTCATCTTCTGCCTTGAATTTAATATTAAGTAAAAATAAAACTGGGGATACTGTAGAATATTAAATTTTTTAAGAAGGGATAACTGAGTGTTTAACACTTTCCAGTAGGGCCACTCGAAGGAAGGGATGCCTTATTCAATTTATCAAAATGTCACAACGACCATTTGCCCCCTATACCTAGGCTACGATGATATCTCCTTCTAGGCAGAGTCTCATTCCTTTACCATATCCCAAAAATATAAGAGATATTCCAGAGGAACTCCCAACGACTAAAGACTTAGATATATCCCCATAATCTCTGAGATATCCCCAATTACTCCGAGACATCCAAAACCACTTTGAGGTATCCCCGAAAACTCTGAGATATCCCAAGAAAGAGAGGGCCAAAATTACAAACTGATGAAGATTAATTAACTCCACCTTAAACGCATCAAATCGGAGAACTCCTCCTTTATCTGCTTCAGCATGTGGAGGCAATTCCCCTCCACCAGCTTTACTCCACTCTACTTTCTCGACTAGCGAAGATACAGAAGCTGCACAAACTAGTTCTACGGGGTGTCCAAGGGGGAACCATTGATGCTGGCCGCCGAGAATTCCAACAGTTGCTAGTCCAGAGGGTTCGATGACTTGAAAATTGAAATTTTTTTTTGAAATTTTTTAAAATTTTTTGAAATTTTTTAAAATTTTTTTTTTGAAATTTTTGAAATTTTTTGAAATTTTTTTAAAATTTTCTGAAAAATTTTTTGGAAATTTTTTTGAAATTTTTTGAAATTTTTTTGAAATTTTCTGAAAAATTTTTTGGAAATTTTTTTGAAATTTTTTGAAATTTTTTTGAAATTTTTGGAAATTTTTTTGAAATTTTTTTTTGAAATTTTTGAAATTTTTTAAAATTTTTTCTGATGTCTATTCACCTTCAATACAAATTCCTTTAGTTATAAAAGCATTTTGATGACTGGCTCGGCATGTATAACATCCACTATTCCCTAAGCCTATACTTGGGTGTCGGAGGAATTGTTCGGAAATTGTAATAGGCACAAAATCATCAGGAAGATCTCCTCGTTCTGGTCCGGGGTCGCTAAAATTTTTTAAATTTTTCTTGGCATAATGTCAAAAATGAAAAATTTATTACTGTAGCCATTCAACGTCAGGTTCGGGCTCTCCACGGGCCTCACATTTAACTTCCAAAGGCTCACCAGCAATTAGTTTTAGACGGGCAGGTGCGGGCTTGCCTGGCGGAATAGTAATTTTTGGTGTACTATCAGGTGGTGAAATGTTGGCCTAAAAAAGAAAAATATGATAGGGTTAGTGGAGAAAATTTTATAATCAGAATTCTGATTTTTAATTGCAAAATTCTGATTTTTATTTCTGACACGTTTATGGTTGCAATCATAATTCTGATTTTTGAGAACAGGCAAGAGTTCTGATTTTTTTAACTAGAATTCTGATTTTTCAGAACAAACCAGATTTCTGATTTTTCTGAAAGAATTCTGATTTTTTAAACTAGTTTGATTTCCATATCAGAATTCTGATTGTTAATTTTAAAGTTCTGATTCTGTTCTGATAATTTAGATCAGAATTGAGGTTCTCTTCTGATATTCTGATTTTTAGTTCTGATATTTTACACCAGAATTCTGATTTTTATTTATTATTTTGAGCAGAATTCTGATATTTTTCTGATCAGAATATTGCAATTAAATTCTGTTCTGGTCTCTCAATACCTTTCCATCATCAGAAGCCTCTCCCAACGGATTCGTAGCTGTACAAGTATACATTCCATCATGCAATTCTTTACTTGCATTTGTGATTTCCAACACTCCATCGCCCAAATCAACTACTCCTTCGGGTAATTGCCCTTCTTCGACTCCTGGGCCAGTCCAAGAAATTGTTGGGTAAGGATTTCCAGTTACATAACATTTAAATTGATGATTATCCCCTGTTTTGCCGTTCCAAACTTTAGGTTCTACTCTAGCTGTTGGAGGTTCTTCTTCTGTAAAATGAGGGGGTTTAGGTCCAAATTCTTTGATTAATTTTTATTAAATCTTACGGTCAGTAATAGAAAGATGTACAGGTTGAGCAACCCCTCTCCCAAATTCATTAGTAGCGGAACAGACATAATCGCCAATGGTTGACTCATCCGCCGCATGGATCAAAATATCCTGATCATCCACACTGACGTCAGTTGGAAGAGCACCGTTGGCAGAACCAAAGCCCCAAAATATCTGTGCAGGTGTATCACTGTTTGGTTCACAATGGAAACGGGCAGGTTCTCCACGGGGTACAGTCTGATGGGGTGGAGTAGCTACTGGAGCTGGTGGTTTGCCGGGAGGTTTTTGAACATCCACAACAGATGGTGGATTGACATAAATGCGTGCTGGATCAGAGGTCTGATTTAGAAGGGGAAATTTTGTAAAATAGGAAACTCCTTAAAAACCTGTGGAGGAGAACCAGGAACATGTGGGAAATGAGCAATACATTCATAATCTCCTTCATGTTCTTTATATGTTTGGGGAATGTGTAGATTTCCTCGTCCATCATCTCTAGAGCCTGATGGTAAAGGAAGTCCACCAGGCTTGGTAAAAAAAAGCTGCGCTTGAGAATCGCCTGGAACCCAGCAACGAATGCGAGAAGGTTTTCCTTCGGGAACGTGTTGTTCTGGTGGATCAATTAGTGGTTTTTTGGCTGAAAAGTGATATTAAATTATTAGAAGGACGGAGGGTCAGTCAAGTTTATTAGAATTCTCTTCACCCCACTTTCATTTTACATTCACCCTATTTCCTGACCCTACTATGATGTTCCCTCCACCCTACTTTGATGTTCCCTTCACACTACTTCTATGTTCCCTCCACTCTACTTTGATATTCCCTTCACACTACTTTGTTCCTTCATTCTGACTTGATGTTCCCTTCACCCTACATTGGTGTTCCCTTCACACTACCTTAATGCTCTCCTACATTGATGTTCCCTTCACCTTATGTACCCTATCACCTTATGTTCTCTTCACCCTACTTGGCTCTCCTACCCAAAAATGTGAGTAAAAATTTTTCAAACTCACGTTCTTGAACATCAAGTTCAACAGGTGGCGATTTAAGCGTTCTTCCACTTTCTGGATGATAATAGGAACAAATATATTGGCCTTCATGTTCAGCAGCAACAGATCGGAATATTAAATGTCCCCCTCTATCTTCAGCTCCATTGGGGAGAGGACCACCTCTCAGAGGAGACCAAGTAAGCTGTGCATTTGGATTGCCCGGCACCCAACAACGAAAACGTGCTGGTTGGCCAATATTAGCAGTTATTCTTGGAGGATCGACCAGTGGAGGTTGTGGCTCTTCGGGTCTTCTCTGACGAACTTCTAACTGTAAAAAGGAATAGAATTTATAAGCTCCGCTTCACTGAGGTGGAAAAACCCCTCCTATTTCTTGGGATAATTCTAATGTTTAACTCACCCGAACAGGTGTCGAATCAACAGGACGTTCTCCATGAGGATCATCATTTGGATCATAAGCAACACAAATATAGTCGCCAGCATGTCGCATCTCTGCCCTAGGAACGTTCAATTGGGCCCCATTGTGTATTTGTTCAACGCCACTTGGCAGGCCGTGTTGTTGGGCAGATTTCCAGCTGAGAACGGTATCTGGATAGCCTGGAACCCAGCAACGGTAGGGACGTGAAATTGGTTGGCCTTCATCGACAATTTGGTAAGGAGGTTCAACCAAAGGTTGGAAAGGCTGTTTGGTTCGTATATTGAGCACAACAGGTGTAGAATCTATGGGGGTTATTCCCTGTGGGTCTCTGGAAGGATCATAAGCTGCACAGATGTATTGTCCTTGATGATCGTGTTCAGTTCGAGGGAAGTTGAGATAACTTTAAATGAGGTAGTGAAAAAATTCCTCACAAAAATCCCTTCCTTACCCATCTCTCTGTTCAGAACCATGAGGCAACCCGCCTCCATGTGCTGGCCGCCAATTAAGGACAGCATCAGGCACCTCCGGTACCCAACAACGAAAACGTGCTGGATTGCCCAATTCTACTGTTTGTTCTGGAGGTTCAACCATAACACGCATAGTTGCTTTAAATTATTCTTAGATTAAATTTCCGACATAAAAAACGTCGTGAATTTCCAATTTTTGTGAATTTCGGGAATCGAGACGACACATTCCAATGTCGGGAATTTTTTATTCGTGAATTACAGAAATCGGGACGACATGTTCTCTAGTATATATTGTAAAGAATCGCTTAGAGCAACTAAGACCACTTCAATTTGAGTGATTGGAAGTGGCCTGACTCGCTCCAAAACGATAGAGCCTGGCATCGAAAGGAGCCTGGCTCCTTGGTGATCAAGTTCATCGGAAATTTTTAAAGACCTATACTGGAAGGAGGATCCATGTTTAAAAAAGGGAAATTAAACTTCGTTATTCGAATAATGGTCGTTATTTGAATAGAAGGAACCCCCTTTCTAATAGACCTATTTTAAAAATATTTATATAATTACGTTTTCTAATTTCCAATCGTCCAGGATCCGAAGCAGTAGTTCCTAATTGATGAGTTACACTACAAATATAATCCCCAGCATGTATATCTTGAGCATTTTGAACAATTATTTGATTTCCCCTTCTTTGCCATCCATAAGGCAATGGGCCACCCAATCGTTGGTAATGCCACTCAACTTCACAGTCAGCATAGCCAGGAGTTAGGCAGGTAAATACAGCTTGTTGTCCTTCATCGACAAGTTGATATGGAGGGGTGACGATTGGTTTGGGTAGGGATATTTGTGCTGGGGCAGGTGGGACGTGTATTGGGGGTGGAGGAATGTGGGCTGCTGCTGCTAAAATTTTATTTTTAAAACTTTGAGAAGAATATGGGCTTTGAAAGGATACGATAAGCTCTAACCATCTCCGACCAGAAGGAGCTTTGACCCAAATGGTATTCCGAGAGAAATGAATATTAATTTCAATGATTCCACACAAATAGGTACCCACTCACTATGAATATTCTTAATTAAGGTAGCAACCCGACCCCGAACCCCGACGGATTTTTTTTTAGCAAAAACCCCGACTAGAACCCCGACCCAAAAGTCAACCCTAACAACGACATGCCTTACCCGGCAAACCCCGATCTCCTACACCCCCCTATGGGTCAGGGGCGGGTGTGGGGATCACCTATTCTTAATCCCCTATTCTTAATTTTTCTCTCAGTGTTTAATCATAAAGGTCTGTCATACATTAACGGGAGCATTTTCCCAAAAATTATCATTATCTTTCTATTGGAGAGAGGGTTTATTTTTAAAATCATCCTGAATAATTCTATGAAAAATTCCACAAAAACCCACCAATATTCAGACTAGCCTCATCAGTCGAAATATCCCCCTTCAACCTTCCAGTACATCTATATTGCCCAACATCCCCATACTGTACTTGATCTATTACAAGTTGATGCCCTATTTGAGAGGCTTTTGAAGGTAATTCCGACATTCCTATTTTACTCCATTGAATGTCTACTAATTCTGGCTGGAAATTTTTTTTTAATTTTTTAAAATAAATTTCAAGTCCACCTTTGAGGCACTAACAACTTTACATGTCCATTTAGCTCGGCCTCCTTCATGGATACTCAAATGTTTTGGGTGGAGAATCTCTACTCGAAGAGGTACTGAAAAATGATCGGATATATTTTCTCATTATTTATTCATTTTCTATCAAAAGAAAATGAATCTTGAATAGGAGAAGTGACCGAAATAAATTCTGACCGAAATGAAATTTAACCCAAATGAAAGCTAACCCAAATAAAAATTGACCGAAATGACTTTTGTCCAAAAAAGGTTTAACAAAAATAATCTCTGCTCGAAATAAAAATTTTGACCGAAATGAGCCGAAATAAACCGAAATGAATTTTTTGACCAAAATGAGCTTCTGACCGAAAATAAAAATTTTCCAAATTTCTTCCTTTATTCTGACCGAAATGAGCTCTTTCCAAATTTAAATAATTTTCTATTTAAACATAACTTGCAAAAGAGCGAAGGCAAAAGAAAGAGTCGACCATCACCAAGTAACCAAGCGAGCAATTGAAGCAAGAAAAATTTTAATTAAAATTTAAAGAAAGTAAGCAAAAAATAGATAAAATTATTAAAGTTAAAAAATTAATTTTAAATTAACAAAATTTAATAAAACAAAGAAAGAGCCTTTTTATCATGTGAAATAAGAGAGAGATTTTAAATTTTAAATTTAATTTTTATTTAAGTAGAAAGAAGGGTTGCTCTCGACGCTATGAGAGAGAGGATGAGTGATTGTCTCCATATGAATCATAGATTGGTTTATAAGCATAGATTGGTTCGTATCTAGAATAGGGACAAGGGGTATGCCTGTATGTTGTTCCGCTCTTTAAAATCTGTTTTGGCACACCCTTGGTAGGGAAGTAAACTGGCTTAATAAGAAGTCATACTACGGTGTTTTGGAACGAGCTTCGGAACGGGTTTCCAAAATTTTCTCTTCGAATCAGGTTTCGGGTCGGAAATGTCCAGGTTCGAGTAACCAGTTTAATGTGATGTACACAGGTACGAGTACAATTTCGGTGGGAGCTTTCAAATTTTGAAGGGAAGGTTGAAGATGTCGGGGTTTATCAGTTTCTCTCTCTCTACAGTAGCTATTGAGGACAACCCAACATTACAATAAGATGAAATTTGATTCATATGATTTTGATATAAAATGCACAAAAAAATTTTTGTAAGATTATTTTAATTTTAAGAAAGGAAATTTTCAAAACAAAAAAAAATCAAAAAAGGCAGCAAATTAAAATTTAGTTAAAGCATAAGCAAAAAAGCAAGGCACAAAAATATGAGGACTTAAAACGGAAGGCTTTTGAAACTATATGAAACAAGGCAGGATATAATCTTGTCTCCTAAATTAGAATTGGTCCAGATTCTGACGAGATGTAATCCAAATAAAAGCCGATCTGAATGAAATCTGACCTAATGAATAGGGTGTCCCCCGTTATAGGGTTGTTCCCCGTCCCCGTTCTCCGAAAATCGGAAAATTTGAGAGATTTTTTTTAGAAATTCCATGCCCTCCCCTCCGTGGCGCTGTCTCCCACAAAAGTTATCCCCGTGACTTTACTAATGAAATCTGACCCAAATAAAACTGAAATATGTAGAACAATTGCCCATGATTTTTTTTAATTTCCAAACAAAGCCTTTCCATTTAGACAGAATTAAAAATAAAGAAAACATAATCTCGACACCCAAAAAAGCTCAAAAAACATTAAAAACCACGATTAAACAAATAAAAAGCAATAAGACAATTGAGCAATTTTGTCCTATTTTTGGACATTTTTAAACCAAAAATGTCCCCTTTTTAATATAAGCGACGACGACGTACAGGAGGCCTTTGTCCTCCATGTACACGGCTAAAAACTCTATAACGACGTCCATGAGGACGATTACCCCCACCACCCGCTCCCCCACCTCCCCCACCTCCTCTCCCTCCTACACCACCTCCTCCAACTCTATTAAAATCTCTACGGTTCATTCCTCCACGGAAAGATGTAGTAGACTGCAAAAATTTCTGACCTTCTGGAGCGGGCACAAAATCAACTTGTGAGGGTCGGTGACGTCCAATGGGTTCGCATTCACGTCCGCCTCCAGTTTGACTGCGTGTATAGCCTGGGGCACATCTGTAATAATTTGAATTTTGGACATTTTGGAATTGGGCATTTTTAAATTTGAGCATTTTGAAACAGCGGAATTTTGAAAAAAAAACGGGAACGAGAAACGGGAAATGAAACGGTCGGGACCCTGAGCAAGAAAACCGGGATTTCCCGATCCCGGTTACTTCCCAAGATCTTCAAAAAAGCCGGGAAAAAGGATCGGGAAACCAGGAAACGGGCACGGGTCCCGACCAATGTTCCGCTGTCTAGTTTGAAATTGGACATTTTTAAATTTGGATATTTTGCAATTTGGACATTATTAAATCTTGACATTTCGAATTTGAATTTTTAAAAATTTGTGTATGATGTCAATCCATAATTAGAATTCCATGTTTATTTAGCAATTTTCAAATTAATACTTATATTTATGTAATTAAAAATATTTTAATAATCCTTAAGTAAAAGATTAAAGAAGACCCACTCATCGCAACGAGCTCCCCCATAACCGGGCGGACAATTTTTGCACTGTACTTCTCCACGTTCATCTAAGAAACATTCTCTATCTCCTCTTTAATGTTAAAAATTTTTTCTAAGAATTTTCTTTTAAATTTACGGGCACGGGCAAGGAGTGCAATCAAAGGGCGTTCCACGTGTTGCCACGCCGTAATAACCTTTCTTGCAAACTTCACAGTGGAAGCTTTCTGTATTGTGTTCACATTGCTATAAAATATATTAAGCAGGTTTTGAATACTTAGCTTTTAACAGATTATGACATGTTGCCTTATGTGAGACCCAAATGATTTCTGACCGAAATGGTCTCTGACCCAAATGGCTTCTGACCCAAATGGTCTCTGACCTAAATGGTCCCTGACCCAAATGGTCTCTACCCAACGGATTATTGATACAATGAATTAAATACTTAGTTTTTAACAGCTTTTCCCCTCTGACCCATGTGAGGTCTGACCGGAATGGTCACTGACCCAAACGGTTTTTGACCTAAATGGTCTCTGACCCAAATGAATTTTACCCATTATAAGTATAAAATGAACATACAATACAACGACCATAAGAATCACAACCCCTGGGTGAGTGATTATTGCATTGACAAGGAGGTCGTGCAGGTTGTTCTACAGGCAAGCAGTCATGTGGAGTACCTCGGCGGGCGTCTCCAGTGAAACCTTAAGAGGGGGTTTTGATTGTTTTATGGTGAAAAATATTATTCTGGTTTTCAGAATTAAAAAAAAATTTTCTGAATTAAGAATTTTCTATGATTTTTCAGAATTTTTCTCCAACCTGGCCTGCAGCGTTCACAACGGTCTCCCTTTAAAATATTTTTATTTAAAGTCCTTGAAAATTTAATTTATTCACTTCAGTATTGTGTTGACACCCAATACAAGCTCCATATTCTTTATCACATTGGCTTGCATGGCTATGGCATTCACAGCGTTCACAAACACCCATATAAGAACCACCTTGCGCGCGGAAGTAATTTGGGGCGCAAATCTGGAAATGAATTCAAATTTGACTTTATTAGATGAAGAAAGAAATTAGGGGTTTTAGAAGGTTCCATTGTTTAGTTCCCAACACAACTAACCGACAAATCCTACAAGCCTATCGAACTGAACACTTGCGGATACCTTGTTAAGTATTGCTCTAATTGTAAGCTTAATACGATTCGTATCAAACTATCGTCTAGTCAAACAACCGTCTACTGTAGACCCGTATTTTATCATCAAATCCATATTTCTGAGATTTTCTATAATAATTACAAAACGGTAATTTCTAGCTTCGTTTCAAGTTAATAATCTTTGAAATTTTGTGTTAGTAGAAGATTAAATAATTGCCAGCTACTTTTCTCTACCAAATAATTACAGCCTCTTACCCCACATTTATTAAAATAATTTAAAAATTTTTTTTTTAAATTTAAACTTTAATTATTCAAATTTTCTATATTAAGTAAAATTAGTTAAAAAATATTTTTTAAATTAAAACATAGAAAAAATCCCCTACATTTCCTACGTAAAAAATACAAATTCCAAATTTTTGCGTCATTAAATTCCTTATAAAACTAAAATCTTTTTTAAAAAATATCTAAACCGTCAGAGATTATTTTCTTAAAATAAATAGTGTTTAACTAAGTTTAAACAAAAAATTTCATTAAATTAATTCAATCGCCCACTCATTTTTTAAATTTTTAAAAATAAGGGTAGTGTGAAAAATGCGGAAATAAAAAATTAGGGACTTTCCCGTGTACGTAAAAAAAGTTAAAAATCTTGAGCAGTGTTTTCAAGGCTTGAAAAACTTGCTAATTTCAAGGCAATCAATCGCCTAAATTTTGGAACTATGAGGAAACAAAATTTTCTACATAGTGAAAAACACTAATAAAATCAAACTACTACATACAGTATCGCGCCTTTTCTGCATCTCGCCCCTTTTTCTGCATTGCCACTTTTATGCCCCTTTTTGACATTTCTCAAAATTTTTCCTTGCGGCATTGAATGGAAGAAATCTGGCTGCTTGAGCTCTAAAATTTTTGAAGTTTTTTTGAGGTGCTATGCTCCTTTTTGGTGATTTGGAAAGGGACACCCTGAGTTAACTAAACGTTAAGCCTTTCAATTTCCGAAAAAATGTTTTAATTCCTCATTTCCGCAATATAGGAAGAGTTCGAGTTCATGTTTTTGTTCCTTCTAAAAATTTTTGCGAAACCTTTTTCTGCAGAATATTTTGCGTACACCTGTTTGCTCGCCAATAAAATGCCAAAACCTGACAAAATGTCAATATAAACAAAATGCCAAATTTAATTCCACCAAATACAATAAATATTTAATAAAAACATTTATCCTCTTATTAAAGTGTCAATTCAATTTTTTCCCATTTTACGTCAGCTAAGAGACCTTAAAACGCGCAAACAAATTTACTAGGGCGTTGAAAAAAATAAGAGAAAAAGGCCAAAGGATTAATTTAGTTTTTTAAATTTAATTTTCATTTATATATTTCACTTATCCCTCTCAATTCTTTTTTGAAAATAATAAAAAAATTTTCACACTTTTAATTTTTATTGAATAAAATAATTAATATTTTACAAATTTTTTCAATTTTCTTTGAAAATGCTCTAGAAAATTTTTTCACTTTTAATTTTTATTAAATAAAATATTTAATATTTTACAGAATTACCTAGACGTCAATTACCCTCTCAAATTAAATTAATACCTTTCCTTATTCAAAATAAAAAAAATTTTTTTTTAATCTTTCAGCCTTAACCCACACAAACTATCCTAACCTCTAATTTATTTTTTCTAACCTCTAATTAAATTAAAAAATATTGGACTTTAAGTATACCCTTGAGGGAAAGCTAAGAGTGCCTATTTTATAAATCCCCCAATTACTTGCTAAAAATTCAACGAATATTTAATTCATTATTTAATACGATTAACTTATTTTTATTAGTTTTTCATCCCTATAAGGTTAACTTAACTTTTTATTTTTTGGGTATACGGTAATTCCGGCTTATAACAGCAGGTACCGGCTATTGTCCACTCTGCCCTTCATCATTTTCCCTACCTATATGACATTCTATAAATTTTGGCCTTTAATTAAAAACAATTATCACCATTAATTATAATGCATTACAAGTCTGTACTTTTAGTAGTGTTTTTTAGTACGGCTATGTTTGATTTTTCATCAGTTTTTTTAAATACACATTTTCCTCTGAAATTTCTTGCTAGCTTTTTTTTTATCGTATAAGCTGTATTTTTCAAAATATTTATTAATAAATTTAATTATTAATATTAAGTAAATTTTATTTTTCAATTTTTAATTTAATTGCGTCTACTACCCTTTTCTCTACTTAATATATATTTTTTTATAATTTCCGGATTATTATTTTTTTAATAAATATATTTTATTCATTTTATAAGCTCTTTTCACTTTTTAAAGCTAAATCTCTCCAAAGCCTCTCTAAAAGCTGTCAGAAAACTTCGTGGCAATATTTATTTTAATTTCAATGAAGTGCGAAAATTTTCCTTTAATTCGCTGAAATCGCTATCTTATCGCACTATACCTTTAAATTTTATTTTAAAGAATACTAGGATATCTCTATGTTTCTATTCCATATTACAGGGTGTCAATAAACTTTAAGACCACCTATTTTTACGACCACTTACACACACTTAAGACCACTTATAATATCTCAACTCTATCTTATACCAGCCCTGTTATGTGGGATATATGTGAAAGGGAGATATGTTACTAAGAGATACTTGTGTGTCTCTTCGAAGAGAGAAGAGACACAGTTCCAGTTCAACACCGGTTTCAGACCTTACCGGTTCCACGGTTCCTGTTCCTGAATTGGAACTTTTGCATCACTAGTCTGGGATAAGCTAGGGAGTTTGAGTCATTTACCTCGCATGATGTTCCTTGATAGCCAGGAGGGCATTGGCAGTGCTCAACATCCAAAGCCAGTTCCCCAGTTCCATAAGCATCAGCAGTTTCCATATTAACAGTCAAAAGAGAGGAAGAAGCACAATCACTTGTACAGCTTATTTTAACCAAAACAGCTTCCAAATCAGCTAAAGCCATTAGAAAAATTTCTCGGGTTATAGCTTGGCCATCGGGGGATCGTCGCCAACCTGCTTCGGTTAATGGAACCTGAAAATAAGTTTTAGAGAGATTTAAAGTGTGTGGAAGGGAGTGAGCATTAAGCGTGTATCATGGTCACGCAAAAAATTGTATAAAATTCATTTTAAAACTTAGAGCTCTGAAATTTTGTAGGAACCTCCTCAATAGAGTTAGCTAATGTTTCTGAAAATTTCAGAATTTTTGGTTCGTTATTTCAGAAGTTATGGCCGAAATTGGCATAATTTCCTTCAAAAACGCCTATTTTTCTGATTTTTTCGACCAGAATTTGAAAAATTCTGAACCTAAAATTCTGAAATTTTGTATGGGATTAGATATCACTACTAAGGATATCTATACAAAATTTCATGACTCTAGATAGAAATTTAAAAGACTTATAAGGCTGTGTCTTAGTGTGGTTCTAGCGTCTAGTCAATAGTCCAACTGCCTTTATTCTGATTTTTTCTATTTTTTCTGGGGTTTTCTGATTCAATTTCTACCTCAATGCTATTCACAACATTTGGTTCAACGTGTTGTTGATGTGTATATTCCAATTGAATATTATTTCCTCGTAAAATAACATCGGCATCAGCTCCCCCAAAAGTAGAAATTCCACTCGATGAACTTGTAAAACGAAATGAGTAACGAAATTTGCCTCCATATGAAGTAACTTTGTCTCCAAGAAACTTTTGAGGGAGAGACCAGTAGAGTTGAGTGCCAGTCGGGACGCCATTAAAGTCGTCTAATACAATTGCGCTGTCTGTTATCTGAAATTTTGAATTTGTTGAAAAAACAGAATAAAATCAGAAATTCTGATAGTTTAAGTTTTCAGATATTCTGATTTGAATCAGAAATTCTGATAGGCAAAAAAATGTTTTTCAGAAATTCTGGTTAAAATCAGAATTTCTGATCAATATAGGAATTTTGACAGGATTCAGAATTTCTGATCAGAACCTTTCGTCAAGCAGAATTTCTTAGCAGAATCAGAAATTCTGACATTGATCAGAAAAGTTCTGGTTTAAGGCAGAAATTCTGAAGAGGTAGATTAGATACCAGAATTTAGAATACCGATCAGAAACGAGAGTTGAATTAAGAGACCAGAATTCTGAGCAATTAATCAGAAAAAAATCAGAATTCTGATTGTTAAACTATCAGAATTTCCAAAGCTACAACCAATCCCTTACCAATGGCTGACTGCTTGATTTGAAGGGACTTCTTTGATCAGAACTAACAGCTTCTAATCTATCTTCATCTCCACGGGAATAGTCCAATTCTACTCTTGAGCGACGCCAATGACTGCTTTCGCACACTGCTGTTACTCCGGAACACCAACAACGAAGACAACCTCCTGGATGGTCTTTAGAAATGCTGTAGGATTCGGGGGCGCATCTGTCACATGTTGAACCTTTAGATTTTTAAAAATTATTTCTATATCTTGGAGGCAAAGAAACGCAAGAAAAGGTCCTTTCACACTATAGTGGGTTCGTAAAAAGCATAAAGTGTCTGTGACGTCTTAAGATGCTCCTAAGCACCTTAAAGAGCTCTTAAATACAATTGAAGCATTAATGGTCCTTACACACTAATAGAGCACCTCACCGAGGCCCATAGCCAGAATAAGTCCTGTTATACCTAAAATGTCCTATAAAGGTTCCGTACCAGGACGGGCATGGTGCCCGAAACCTGGCCTTTTCTACCCGGGCCTTCTTCTCAATCAATCAAACCCACCCCTGTTTCCTACCGAGCCTTCTTCTCAATACAGTCCATCCCTGTTCCATACAGCTCTAACATCTCTAAGGTTCTCTAGGTCATTTTATCTTTATTCAATTACCTATAACATTCTGCTTGCACTGACAACGACCGTCCCATTGGGGCTGAGTGCTAAGCGATCCAACTGCCGAACAGACAGGTTGTGAAGGTTGCCTTCTAGGAACACAAGTGCCAAGATAGCGCCCTCCAGGGATTCTCTCATAACCTTCAGCACAATCCTCACAAGACGTTCCGGTATAGCCAGGTGGACATTCACATTGTTCAACTTCTAGGGCACGCTTGTCTTGAGTGTCCTTAGCTACAGCAATTTCCAAACTGGTGTCTCCAATACTAAAAAGATTTTTAAATTTTATTTTTTAATTGTTTCTAATAATTCTATTTCCCAAAATAAAAATTAATTGTATTTGCCATTTTTAAACATTTCTCAACCATTTTAGAAAATACAAAAATTAAATTTAAAAAAAGACACAAAGATAATATTTTTTTAAAAATTTTATTCTTTGTTATTTTGTTAATTAGCAGCCCCCCCCCCCCAAATTTAATTATTATTTAAATAATATATAATTTTACATTTATAATTAATTTAATAACGGCTCTATAATAGCTATAATCAAAAAAATCTAATAAAGTTGGCAATAAAAAGCATGTTAATTTATTTTATTATTGGATAAGTGTCAGTTAAAGTTGAGTTGACAAATTGGTTAACCGGCACTTAATGATATTGTTCTCGAACAAGTCTGTAAAATGAAAAGGGACTGAGCGAAACTAATGGTATCTCGTCTCCATTATTCTTTCACTATATTCATCAGTCCTCAAAATTCCATGTTCTAAATTAGAGTAGCTCTCCGAGGGGGTTTGGGTCGTAGTTTTGCACTACGGGGGTGAGTGTTGGGGTCGGGGATGAGATCAATGGGAGGGCTTATTCAAGTAATTCTATTATGTCCTTCTTCTGTCGTAGATTGACGTATTATCAAGAATTGACTTTGATTAATATTTAAAACAGCATCGCTTAGAAACATTTTTTTTCGATTAACCATTCAGGAACACAATTTTTTCACAAAAACAATAAACAAAAATTAATCAAAAATTCCACAAAATGTTACACAAAAGGTTACACACAAAATATTCCACGCCATAAATGACGTTATTTTTGCTTAATATAATTCTTTTTATTTTTCAAAAAAAATTTTTTTTCAGTTAAAGTCCACCAAGTCTATTTAATTCATTATTACCCTTTTACGTCTTTTATTTATTTTTTATTTAAATTAACACCTTATTCATCTGTCAGACATTTTTATTTATTTTTTACAAGCTCATTCTTACCTTATTTTCTTATTATTCCCCTATTTTTGTCCTTTTATTTATGCCACTTCATTAATTTGCGCAAGCATAACTTTTCTCAATTTTTTAACGTCACCAAACCATTTTATTTTTTATTTCACTCTTTTAATCATTTATTTTCTCGTATTTTACTTAATATATATTTTATTTAAATATAGTTAGCTTTACGGAATCGCGTGTTCCTTATAAATTTAAGGTTTTTTCAGTTTCCAAGTTTTATTTGTATTTAAATAAATTTTGAAATAATTCATATTGTGTAAAAATCTTGTCGAAAACGAGCCAGCCATTTCTCGTGATTTTCGCTACAATTTTGGTGTTAAATATAATTTTGCTACATTCTTGGCATTTAATTTGTACATTATTTCCAAAAATTTGAATTAAAATGTAGTAGATCCTCTTACATTAGACTTCTTTACAACTAAATTGCGTATCCTTATATGTACCTCATCGAAATAAAACGTCTCCCTAATTTAAGAGGCGCTCTGACTTATCCCTACCATTATTATTTTTCTTTAAAATTAGCAACAGATATACATAAAACCACCATTTATAAGACCAAATTGGTTATAATTGCATAAATGCCTTTTAATTTTCTTCTTGTATCCCTTATAAACTCATACGTCCTTCTTATCCGACAAATCTAAAAATTTATCTCAAGCTTCCAGTTATCCCAACCCTCTCGGATATCCCCAAGCCCCTTCTTATCCCTCAGTGATATCTTCAGATCCCTTCCAAGCTCCCTTATTATCCCTCTCTAATATTGACCTCTTTTTATTCTTACCCTTTTACAACCAATTTCAATTATTTTTCGTAAAATTTTCCATAATCTCTTTTCACAAAAACTCATCTCATTAAAGATTAATTTGTTGACAAAAATAATTTAAAAATATTATGCGTTAATAAAGGTTTAAATTAATTATTTATAACAGGGCTCGGATCGACAAAATGCCAATAAAAAGTACAAAAATCTTGATTTTAAAGTACATAGGGGCAAAATTTCCACATTTAAAGTACACTCAAAATTAAATTAGAAAACATTTATTCGTGCTCAAATCTTTTATATTTCTCTCTTAAATTAATCTTTTCTAATAATTTCTTGTTTCAACTTACCATTTTGTGAATTTCAATGCACTTTTTTGTGGAGCCGAAGGCGCCAAAAAATCTATTTTTTGCGCCGCAGGCGAAAATTTTGAGAATTTTGGAGGTCCTTAAGCCAGATTTCTTCCATTTTTTGCGCCGCAGGCGAAAATTTTGAGAATTTTGGAGGTCCTTAAGCCAGATTTCTTCCATTTTTTGCGCCGCAGGCGAAAATTTTGAGAATTTTGGAGGTCCTTAAGCCAGATTTCTTCCATTTTTTTCAAAATGTTGATTTTAAAGTACATACTTTCAATAAAGTACAAATTCAATTTCGTAAGTACGGAGGTCGATTTTAAAGTACTGTACTTTCAAATAAAGTACGAATCCGAGCCCTGATTTATAACGAGCTAAAATTGGCGCTAATATTTTTTAAAGATTTTTAAATGTTCATGCATGTATAATTTTTCCCTTAAACTTTTTATTTATCTCTTAAGCTCTCAAATATTTCCCTAGAATATCTAGAAGGCTGAGATAACTGGGAGAGACAAGTTACATATCTCCCACTCCATAGATTCTTCCTCTGAGGTATCCCGAAAGGGGGGATAAGTGGGAGAGTCAATTCAGTTATTTCCCTCATATTCCAGCCTCAGTTATCTCCCTTTAAGGTATCCATCCCTAAAGGTGGGAGAGATTTCCTCCCAAAATCCACTTTTGTCTACTTATATGTACATTTGGTCACAATAATATTTTCCAACATTTTTCGATATTTTTTAAATACATAGGAAAATTAAATTTTTAATATGTTAATTCTCTGTGACGTAAATAAATAAATTATTTAATAGAGAGCTTTAAAAATATTATTTTAAAAAAGTATCAAACATCGAAAAATTTATTTTTAAAGGCTATTATTCACACAATTGTGAGAATAATTTGTGAGATTTTTTACAAAAATAAATAACAAAAATAAAAAAATTATTTTTGACATTTAAGGAAAAATATTATTTTTGGAGAAAAAAATAAAATTAGAAAAAAAAAACCGGAAACGTGAGAGAGAAAGATGAGGAAAATGCTCATGTGTTCTCAGTCTCTACGTATTGGGTGAGGCTACTTAAACCTCCATAACTCAATAGTTTCTGAACCTTTTTGAATAAATTTGGTATCGTTTGATAGAGAATTGAATTTGCTACAAAATGAAATAGAAAATAAAAATCAAAAAATATTTTTAAAAATAGTTGTGGTCGAAAAACAGACAATATTCTCCTCTTTCTTTACAAGGTGCTCAGTCAGTTTTTACGCCATAACTTTTCGTTCAGAAATTAAAAAATTCTAATTTTTGAATATTTTGTACTAGATTCAATTCTCTATCGAATGATACCAAAACTTCGAAGAAGAGTCAAAAACTTCCTGAATTATGCTTCCCAGACATTACTCAACATTCTTAAACGGCTATGCTTTCCTAAAGTTTTTCTTTCCCCTTTTCTCTTAATAAAAATAAAAAATTCGGATTTCTGAATATTTTATAGCAAATCAATTCTCTATCGAACAGCCCTAAACATTTTCCAAAAGATTCCATCTTCAACGAGGTACAAGTCCCAGACTCAATTAACATAATTTTTAAATGAGTCAAACTCCTTATAAATTCCCTTTATTTTTTCTATCTTTCTTAAAATAACCACACCCATTTCCTTCAAAAATTACCCATTTTAACCCTATTTAACAAAAAAATCTTTTTTTGATTTTATTTAACAAAAAAATCTTTTTTTGTTTTAAATTAAATTTATTTTAAATATTTTTTTTTCATGTACATATTTCCCCTCTCTCTTTCCCCCTACTCTCTCTCAATTACGTTATAAAGCTTTAAATGGATTATTTCCAAAAAAAGCTTTTTCAATATGCTCTTTTTTTAGTTTTATTTCTAGTTTCACGCAATACCTCCATTTTTTAATTTATTTTAGCTTTTTGGCATTCATTGGAGGGATCAAAAAGAATTTTTTAATATAAATATTTACACCATTTCCCATGTGTTCTCGTGGCATTTTTATTTTTAAATTTTTTATTTTTATTCATTTTACCTTTTATTTTCTCTTTAAATACAAATTTTATATTTGTTTTCTTGAATTTTATTTATTTTTGTTATTTATTAGCAAATTTATAAGCATTTTTATGAGCATAAACATGTTTACTAGGTCCGCGACAACGCTTGCGCGAACACTCATAAAATAAACAAACAAGCTCCTAGAAGCGTGAAATTTTGCATACTCAGCCAGAAATGTGTTATCTAATAGTTCTGAAAATTTCAGAATTTCTGGTTTAGTATTTCCCAAGTTATGGTCGGAAAAATCATAAAAGTTGACACTTTTCCCACAAAATTCTGATTTTTCGTTCATAAATTCTGAAATATAAAACCAGAAATTCTGAAATTTTCAGAATTGTTAGTTAACACTATTGAGGATATCTGTGGAGAATTTGAAGTCTCTAAGTGCTCATTAGGCTATTCTATAAAGCTACGCGTTGACCAACCTCTTTATTCTCTCAATTACTTACAGTACGCATTTCCGCTAATTTTCCTAATTTTTCTATTCAAAAATTTTTCTTTGTTTTTTTCTCGAATAACATCTAATTTCCTTCATATCCAAGCAAAACACAAAAAACCCCACAAAGAAATAAATTTTTTAAAATAAATTTTAATTTTCTTATTTTTGCAGTTAAAAACACAAATCCAACTAAATTTCTCCTAAAACGCCTCCCAATTAATTTAAAAAAATTAAATAAACTTGAATTCAACAAAATAATGTCCCCACCACTTCTCTCCAACATTTTGGGGTCTAAACGAAGAGGAAAATCTTTTGGAAGTAATATGCTTACAACAGAAACAATGCTAACACCTTATGAATTGGAGCAATTACCTTTAATGTTAAAAGAGCTAGAGAGGGCTAATCGCCATTTTTGGCAAATGGTCTGTTGGAGATTGGCACAGAAGAAAAATGGGAAGGAAAAGCAACAACAATTGAATGTTAAGAAATTACAAAGAGGAGAGACGTTGATGGCTACACCTCCTGAAAGGAGAAGAATGCTGGCTAATAAAGGTAGAGCTAAGAGGATATTGGGAAAGGGATATAAGGGGCTTAGATTTTGCAGAAAGAAGGCTACGGATTATCAATGGGGATTAGGAAAGTGTTGTCTATAATAATAGAAGCTTGGTGTGGGATTCTGTGGTCAATTTCTTTTTGTTCCTCTCATACTACATGTAGGGTGAAGAGAACATAGCAGAAGTTATTTGATTATTTTTTTGTCACGGTTCCCTTTACACTACATATGGTAGGCTGAAGGGAACATACTAGAAATTAACAGAGATTCTCTATATGAGAGGGTATCCTTCTTCACTCTAGGAAGATACCTCAATATAGGAAGATACGACCACCAAAATCATCTTCTCATAATCTATTTCTCATTTCAAAATTTTCCAGGAAAAGACGACTCTTTTGCCGATGGGTGTGCTCTACGTGAAGTAACTCGACAACTAATCCAAACCCTATGCTCAGAAGGGGGATACATCGACACAGACACAGACCAACTTTTGGTAGACTACAAGAGAAGATTAATGTTGGACGACGAAGAATGCACTCCACCACCAAAAGCGTCTCCTAAAGGGATCGAAAAGCGTCGAGGAGAGTTTGCACTTAAAGGAAGGGCTATCTCCTTCCACGAAAAATTGGAAAATGTTAAAAATATTGGAAATGAAGAGAATAATAATGGAAAGACTGGAAGCATTTCTAGTGGAAGTAGTAGTGGATACTCTTCTGAAGAATTTGTTGCTGCTACTACTACAACTACTACACATGCAAGTATTGTAGCGGCGAGACATAGAGCAACTAGCTGGTTGAGACAAAGAGCTAATTCGGTGAGAGCTATTTGAGGATAGTAATGTACAATAAGTCTCAACAATAGGTCCTAGGTTTAAATTGTTTCCATTCACTTCTTGTTCCCTTCACACTACCTATAGGGTGAAGGGAACATACTGGAATAGCTCAGGCTCCGACATATTGGCTCTGGCACAGGCAGATTCCTGGCTACGGCTCCGAGTATTTAAAACCTTGGCTGGCCTCGGCAGCCGGCTTCAGAGACAGCTCCATGAGGCATCCCTCGCCCTGTTTAGGGTTCCGATATTCATTTGATCCCAATATTGAACTCAGTTCCATACTTTGTCTAACATACCGGAAGTTAGTTAAAGGGGCTTTTTCTCGTTCTTTTCACTCGGAACATAAATACTTATAGGGTGAAGGCTCTGCGCCATCCCTCGCCCGGGTTACATGTATAGTTTATTCAAAACTTTGGGCATTTGATCCCATTTGACATTTATTCCCACACCTTTGGACATTTGACCTCACCCGTTTTGAACATTTGATCCTAAACCAAAAATAAAATTTTTTTCCATTTCTAGACACGCAGCCGTTCCTCCCGTCGTTATGTCCATCAAGCCCAACAAACACGAATCTTCCAACTCGGCGAGCTCTTAAATGCCGAATTTCATTCAACAATATTTTCCCATCCAGAGCAATTTGATGTACACGAAAGAGAACTTAAAATGTTGGTATGGAACAGATTTAGTCAATTATTAGTCTCTTTATTATGCGAAAGAATAGATGACGGAAAGGATGAAGACAGTCAACAAAAAAGTAGTAGACGATATCGTTAATTTAAGAAGGAGGAAATGTTTACATAATATATATTAATTAATTAAAAAAAATATTTAATAGACAAAATAACAATCCCCATGGCAACATAATAATTTAAATATTAATTTGGATTATGACTTTTTTCTTTGAATAAAAAGATTAAAATTGAAAAGCTAGTAAAGCATGAGGGTTTAAAAATGAAAATAAAAAGTTCGATAAGACTTTTCCGTAGCTAATGGATCCCTTTAGCCTTCTCATAATGTGGAATGAAAGTATAAATCTAAATCCAGTGGTTCCCTCCAGTAATAAAGGAAAAGGAGTAATAAAAGGCAATCATGAGATTAATGAAAGCTTCGTCTGAGATATATCAGAGATTGAATCTCTTAAGCTAAAATGAGCAGTAAAAAAATGGGGTTTAGACTTTCAGAGAAAAAAACAGAAAAATTAATCGTTCGCAATACAAAGCAAACATAAAAAAATTCAAACAATTCCAAATACATCCAATACATATTAAACCTCATTCAATCCTTCCATACCCCAATTACTTCCAAAAATAACTACAATACTAACTCACAAACAATACCCATTGTTTCTATTTTTAAAATTGACGTGCTATTGTTTCCCTTTTTAATATCCTTTTTCATAGAACCTTTAGTATTATTAAAATGTAAATTTGCATATGTTGCAGATTGCAAAAAAAGAAATGCCAAAAAGGGAAAATTTAAAAAAGAAAAAGATGCAAAAATAAATTTTGTAGGCAGAACGCCAAAAATAAAATTTTTCAAAAATAATTTTTAAAAATACATACTCTCCCCCACCTTGTACTTGTTTGACTGTCCGTGTGGGTTGCACGAATCAAAAACAGGTCCAAATCGGCCAAAACCATCATTAAATCCTCACGGCTAGCAGGGCCACGTCCATCACGGTGTTCGTAGAATTGCTAAAATTAGTAGAGAAATTATGGAGATAGGATTAGGAGAGTTGCGGGAGAATTGAGACGGTGTTTTAAGAAATCTCGATTCTCAATAACCGAGAGTTTTGTATATCGGTCCAAGCCCCCATCCTATTCCTCCATCCCCCATCTTACCCTCCGCCCCCTCCCCCATCCTTCCCTATATCCTACCCCATATAATCCCGCCACTATATTCTCTTCACAAAATTTTATCTACTGAAAGTTTTGAAACGCAGTCATTAAATGGGAACTTTGAGGTTTGATTTGTGAGATATCGTATTTTTTTAAATAAAGTCCCAATCTGAAAGAGATCAGATTTTGAAGGATATCTAGAAAATCGAACCCTTGGGCCATATTTAAGACATAAGGATACATATTCTAAATGATGGGATAAGTGAGTGTGCTCATAAGCAGTGCTTCAAGCCGTACCAAAATTTGTACTCGTACCTCGTACCTGGTACGAAGTACGAGTACGAGCAGAACCGAAATTTCGAAGCACTGCCATAAGTGAGAGAGATTGGCTAATATAAGTGAGAGAGTAACTGGTATTCCTCTTAAAAAGAAAATTCAAAAATCACCTAATAAGTCGGCACAGTTACTGTAAATTCTCTCCCTGGAGTAAACACAGATTCTTGGTCTCTAGCACGGTGAACCAAAGTAATTCCATTTCCCTAAAGTTTATTTTTAATCAGGTAATTGTTTTAATTATTCACTCTGAGAATAATAAGAGGTTCAGTCCTTCCTGGACCAGGGCCTTCATACAGTAATTTGACTGATAAATCGCCGCCATATGCAGTGACCTGAAAAAAAATTTTTTAAATCTTTATTGAAATTTCAATAAAATTTTCAGAAGAAATTTTTAAAAAATTTCAAAAAATTTTCAAAAAATTTTCAAAAAAAAATTTTCGAAAAAAAATTTTCAAAAAAATTTTCAAATTTTCAAAATTTTCAAAAAAAATTTTCAAAAAATTTCTGAAAAAATTTCAAAAAATTAAAAAAAAAATTCTAAAAAATTTTTCAAAAAATTTTCAAAAATTTTCCAAAAATTTTTTTTGAAAATTTTTGAAAAATTCAGAAATTTTTCACTTTATTTCCCAGAAATAGTTGGGTCATTTTCCAATAAAGTGTCTGCCCATGATGCGGTTCTTTATGGCCAACAAAATTATAGCGTTCATAATCCAGTTGAATGCCTGGAACAGAACGTCCGTCTTGATCAGCTAGTTGTAGGGTTTGCCCCTGGGCAGCGAAGAAAAGTTTTTCCTAAAAAATATTGTTTTTTATGAATAATTTTTTAAATTGTTGGGTTGAGGGATAAGAGATTTGTTAATAAGGGTTAAGAAGAGTAAACAGAGTCAAACAACTTATGAGTATTATGGATATCAAGTAGGCTTGGAGACAAACAATTAATCGACCCGAAACCGAAACTGTGGGTAACCGAAAAACGAGCGTACAGGTTAGTAACGGAAAGTGCTATATAAGTGCCAACCTTAATAACGGGAAGTGCCATATCAAGGGTTAAGAAAATTTTCAAGGGTTTCGCGTTTCGGGTCGAAAAAAGTCCGGATTTACGTTTAGGCTTCGTATTTCGGGGTTCGATTGGAATAACGTCGGGCACCCTACTTATACGTGTATCGTTGAAATAGTAAAGTGAACGTGACCTTCTTGGTCCTGAGTATATAGGGATTTCTAGAATAAATCAGAAAGCTCAAAAGCCTGTTGGGTTCAAACAAATGAAAAACACAAAATAAACGATTAGAAAACACAGCAAAACATTTTAGTTAAACAAAACAAGGTCTGACAAGCAGCGTTCTTCCGGTAATTAAAAAATCAGTGTTCCAATTTGGGAACTAAAAAATTTTTTTGGTTCCGGTTCCTGAGAACGGAAGAACACTACTGACTTGAGATTAGTGTTAGTGTCATTAAATTCTAAGGGGTAAGAGAAAATTTTTTTCAATATTTTTATACCAAAGCCAACAAAGTTTTTTTTGAACTTACACATTGAATTTCCTGAAAATTTTTTTAAAAAATTTATAAAATTTTTTTTAATAAATTTTTTAATATTTTAGCAACTTAAAAAAGCAAAAAACAAAGAAAAACAAGAAAAATTAACCAAAGAATGAAAAATAAATAAAGAAAAATTTTAGCAGAATTTTAAGCAGAAATAAAAGCACAGAAAAATACGTATATTTTCAATTGAAATAATTTTTTAATGAGTGTTCCTTTCAGCCTATAAGGTAAGGCGAAAGGAACATACTGAGGAATGTAATGCATAAGAGAAATATAAAGGATAAAGATGAAGTAAAAAGGAAGGAAGGGGACCTTCCTGGTAGATCTATAAAAACCAGAATTTTGATTATGTCAGAAAAATTTAACATATGTCAGAAAATTTGACACATGTCAGAAAAATTTTGACATATGCCAGAAAAAATTTTGACATATGTTAGATAATTTGACACATGTCAGAAAAAATCCTTCTAGTTTAAGTCAAATTAAGATTTCTGTCCCTTTCACCCATTAGGTAAGGTGTAAGGAACACACAGTTCAGGTCAGTCTATAGAATCAGAATTTTCTTATTTAAATCAGAACATGAGAAGTTCAATCAGAATATTAATTATATGGAACCCCTTAAAAACTTAAAGCGCCTACCTTTGTTCTGAAAAGCATACTAGAACGACAACGATCAGTAACTCCAAAACAAAAGCAGCGAAGACAGCCCTGAGGTGCTTGATAAGTTGTTGGACTAGAACAGGTTCTCTGTTCTGGTTTTGGAGCACGTGATTCTGGAGGGGGTTCTGGTGCTGGTATAGAGACTATACGAACGATACAGTCTGGAGTTGCTAGTACTCGGCCTTTGACGTTTATAGCTTCGCAAGTGTAGGCACCTTGGTCTAATGGCCTGAAAATGAGATTAGGGAGGTTAAGCACTTTATAGACCTTCTAGTTTATTAAATTAAAATAAATGGTAATGTTCTTTATGGACTATAAGAAGTGTGAAAGGAACATGTTACTTCCGGACTGTAAGTAGTGTGAAAGGAACATGTTCCTTTCGGACTAGGGTGAAAGGAACATGAACATGTTCCTTTTGGAGTAGATAGAATAGGTATGTTCCTTCCAGACTACAAGAAGTGTGAAAGGAACATGACGAATCCTTTTAGACTAGTGTGGTGTCCTACAGGCTACAAGTAATACCGAACCAACTTTCCACTATACAAGGTTAAAGAAAGTTAAAAAATTAGACTGACTGGGCATTCTGAACTGTAAGAGTGCCAACACCACCCTCAGAAACTTGCTGGCATCTAGGAGGTTCACAAACATCTTGCCAATTCAAACGCCAATTAATATAGGGGTCGGGAACTCCAACAGCTCTACATGTCAATTTAAATTCACCACCCTGGGGTACAACCATATTTGATTGTGGAGGTGCAACAACTGTTGGCTGGACACAGCCTGATAAATTAAAAATATTTTTTAAATAAAATTTGAGGGGGAAAGTCGAAGGGAAGGGATGGGTTTAGGCTAAAATAGACGGATCTGGTCTCAGTCTATCGCCAATAAAATTGTCAATTTTGGCTATAGAATTATGAAATTTTGTAGAGTTGTCTCTTATAGTGTTAGCTAACTCCGTTAAAAATTTCTGATTTTATGGTTAGACATTTCAGAAATTCTGGTCGAAAATGTCAAAAATTTTTGTAAAAAGTCGGTGAGTATGGTGGACTCCTAAACGATATCCTCTATTTAAGGGACACCTAATTATAAAGTACAGTAATTTTAGCCCCAATAATGTACATTATAAAGCGGCTCCGACAGGACTAATTAGAACACCCCATACCAATTTCATCGCTTCCATCATGACAATCATTAGTCCCGTCGCAATGAAAACTTGAGGGTACACATTGCCTCCCATCTTTACAACTAAATTCTGTTGCTTGACACAGATCTCCAGGTTTGCGTTGTTTACAATTTAATTCATCAGAGCCATCCCCACAATCATCTAGATTTTTTTAATCTTTAGAAATTTTAAAAAAATTTCTACCATCTCCATCACATAGCCACATTTTCTGGACACATTTTTCATTGTTACATTTAAACTCGTTTGGCTCACAGTGCCGTTTGGAAGGGCAATTCTATATTAATTTTAAAGATTTTTGTAATTATAAGAGAAGGAGATTTAGAGGATTAGTCAGATTGTTTATTAGATTCCCCTGAATTAAGATGTTAAGATGGAAAAATAAAAGGAGGCCATTTATTATGATTGTACCTTACACACTATAAATAGGGTGAGGGGAACAATGGTTATTTTCAAAGAATCTATAAGGTCTCTCCCATAGAAATATTAGGATCTTGGGTGCCGAACAATCCTACTTCGATTTAACTTCGGGTCATTTAAAGTAAAAGTTAATACATGTACCTTACACACCACAAGTAGAGTGAAGGGAACAATGACTATTTTCAAATAAATATAATGTTTTCTCCCATAAAAATATTAGGAATTGGGTGCCGACTAGGGTTTCGCCGGAAGTTCCGGTTCCGGTTCCGGGTTCCGGGCCGGAACTTTGAAAAGTTCCGGTTCCGGTTCCGGGAACCGGAACTCAAATTGGATCCGGTTCCGGTTCCGGTTCCGGTCAAAATTTCGGTTCCGGCGAAACCCTAGTGCCGACGAATCCTACTTCAATTTAATTTCAGGATTTAAAGTAAAGGTTAATACATGTACCTTACACACCACAAGTAAGGTGAAAGGAACATAACCTAAAGTCTGGAAAGAATATGAGATAAGGCTTAAGGCTTTTTAATACCAGGCTCTTAATACCAAGAATTTGACTGTCATTCCTTTCCAACGGTAAAGTAACGTGGAAGGAACTAACTACAAACGAAAGGTCAGATAAAGCTCAAGAATATCAGATAAGGCTGTTCTAGTTTAAACAGTACCAATTCATCAGATCCATCCCTACAGTCCCTTTCTCCATCACAAACATATTCCATCTTTACACATTCATTTCCTCCACAAGCACGTTCATTAGCACTACAGGTAACTGGTTGACTTGGTGGATTGTTGTCTGTTTGGAATTCTTGAGGTCCAACTAAATAATTATTTAATTAAAAGCTATTAGGACTTAACTACGTTTTAATGATAGGATATGGTCTAGAGAATAAGGTAGTATTGAGGAAAGGTTCTCCTATTACCCCTACCCCTTCCTTATTTTTGATCTGAATGCTCTACATATGCCCAGCTCTATTAGAAGCCCAGATCTACCAACCCAGAGGCACATCGATGAATATCCACTCTCTAATAATAGCCCATTTTATAATATAAGCCCGCTCTCGTTTAACACAAATATTCATTAAAGGGAGAGAATAACGACTAGATCGAGAAGTCGCTACAATCGAGAGTTCATTAATTAGAGTTTTTGGAGGAAAGGGAAGGCTATAGAAAGGCTTAAAAGAGGCAAGGCTTCAAATCTATCCAGTAAATTTAAAATATCCCCCTTACATGATTGAACTTGTAATTGTGCAAAAGCTTCGACACTCCTTCCCTTATGCATTGCCAAACAAATATATCGGCCAGAATGAGCCAATTTTGAATTTGAAAATACAAGTCTTCCTCCACTTTCATAGACTCCATCAGGTAGTCTCCCGCCTACTCGAGTCCACCTTACTTCTGGGTAAATACTATTGTCTGTGGCACGGGCTCTACAGTCAAAACTGGCCTCCCGACCTTCTTGAACGGTTAATTCGGCTGGGTAGACGGTGATTTGGATTTCTGAAAAATTTTAAAAAATGTCCCTTTTTCCTTAACAAAAGAGAAGAAACAAGCTTAAGTAACGTCTGCGCGATCACGTATAAAACAGTCAAAAATGAATCTAAATTCATGAAATTTTGCAAGTACCTCTCTAATAGTGCTATCTATCTTCTCTCAAAATTTCAGAATTTTTTATTCAGAATTTTTCAAGTTCTGGTCGAAAAAATCAGAAAAATTGGCATTTATGAAGGAAATTTTTACATTTTTGGCTATAACTCAAGGAATTTTGAATCAAAAATTCTGAAATTTTTAAGAGCCCTAGCTAAGATTGTTTTTTATATCTCTGCAAAATTTTACGACTTTAGCTTTGTGTTTGACTATTTTATAAGCAAGCGCCCAAACGTCCTTCTCCCTATAAATAATGGAACGACAGCTTTCCTAAGGGTAAAATGATAAAATAAAAATAGTAAAATTATTTTTAAAAATTTTTAAAATTAATTTTCAGATGGTCTATTAATTTATTTTTTAATTAGAAATTTTTTTAGAATTTTTTACGAGTCAAAAAAAAAATTTTTTCGACCCAAAAAAATTTTTTTCGACCCAAAATTTTATTTATTAACCTTCATTTTCTGATCTGCGTCTTAATGCATTTGTTGGGGTTAAATTAATTAAATTTAAAAGAATCAGAATAAAAATAAAAATATTATTTTTGAAGTTTTTAAAGAGTAAAGAGGTTAATAGAGGGTTAATAATAATTTTGTTGATTTTCTTTCTGTGCCCATTATTTTTAAATTTGCGGTGCTCGCGCATTATTTAGGCGGGCTTTTACCGACCTTTTTCTCTATTTAAATTAAAATTTTAAATAAATTAAAGTTTTAAGTTGGAATAAAAAAATAAACTTGGAAAAAAATTTTGAAAATAGAGATAATAGGGGAAAAGCCTAACGGGACATCTCGCAGAATTTACTATTCACATTCTTTATCTGCAGACTTGTGATAAAAATAAGAAACTAATTTTATAATTTAGATAATTAGTATTTTTTGCTTAATTTAAGTAAGGATTTATCCAATAGAGCCTCTTAGAAGGCTGTTAAAAATATTAAGATTATATTATAATTTAATTAATTTTGCAGAATAAGTTTGCAGACCTAACATAAATTGATATTTTAAAATAAAGAGGTTGATCTGGCATTCTAACATAACATTCAGGGATCATAACTTTAGATGAATGATGGATCCATAAACGAACACCAGGATGATCCCTAGTATGATCCAAGCCTTCAGACCCTAGTTAACTGGGCCCAAGTTTATCCGCAAATGTCTGTCCACAAGAAACATGCCCCTAACCCTTCATTTTTTAAATCAAATTTAGAGTAAATTTCTCAAATTAATTTTTTATTTTTAAAAATCAGATCAGTAAAAATAAGAAAATAATAATGTTGAGAAAATAAATAATTATGGGGGGAAATTCAAGGCCATTAAACGGAGAGAGGTGTATGTAGATAGTTAAGGTTTTAAACGATTACTTGGAGAGATTTGTCAAGAAAAAAATTTTTTTTGTTTGTTGAAAGGAATTAAAAGAAAAGTTTAAATGAGTCATAAAAACAAAAAAATTTCTCACTCATTACACCTTTTGTTTTTAATGTTAAAATGAGGTAAGGTGGTTAGGAGGGAGAATTGAATTATATTTGTAAATGGATTAGAAAAATGAGTAAAAAATTAAATTTTGTAATTTTTTAAAAATAAAATTTTAGATGTAAAATGACGTGAATATTAGTCAAAATTTAAAAAAAAATTTTTCTATTTTCAGAATTTTACAAAACTTGAAGAAACCTAAAGGTATAGGTTACGACTGGTAAAGCTTATTTGAAAGCCAATAAACTAAAGTATTGACTAGAAATCGGTATTTTCAAAAATCCTGGATTTTGATTCTGAATCTGAATTTAGGTTAATAACCTGGACAGGATTCTGGATCCAAGAAAAATCCAGATACAGGAAAAATCAATTACGATCAAAAAATGCCTGGATCTGGACTCTGGATCCAAGAAAAATCCAGACTGGATCCAGACCGATCTCTAGTATTGACCAAATAAAATCATGAAATTTTAGAATATGGTCTCCAATAGTGCCTTCTAACTTTATTTAAATTTTCAGAATTTTTGGTTCAGTGGTTGGTAAAATCTGCTAAAAAATTATAAGTGAGGGTCTTACAAATGAGTGTCTTGTGTTAAGGAGTAACTAGTTAAATATCCATAATACCGTCAGAAAAGACTATAAATCTCGAAATTTTAGGATATTATCCTTAATAAAGTGTCTAGTTGAAACAAAAAAACTTAGATTTTTTAGATCAGTATTCGAAAAATTTTGATCAAAAATTCTAAAAATGGGCATGCTTTAGATTCAAATGCTGACTTATTCAACCATAAATTCTGAAATATTAAAACTAAAATTCTGAAATTTTTAGTAGAGTTGGTTAAGACTACTAGACATGTTCGTACAAAATCTTGCTTCAATGGGAGCTAAATTAGCGATCTTATAAAATTAAATAAAGCGAGGGGTCTAAGGTAAATTTTAATGTGATTATGGGGACTTTATGAGGAAAATAATTTTTTTTTTGGATTTATTAAAAATATTTTTAATTTTTTAAAGATATTTTTTAATTAATATTTTTGTTAATATTGATATTTAAATTATTTTTAATAAATAATAAATATTTGTTTTGTCAACAAAAATATTCTTACCACCCGCGCAAATAATTATCATTAATATTTTTCTGTTTAGGTCAACTAGTCTATCTTCGATTTTGGAGTGAGAGAATGGGGATATAAATATAATTAAGGCATTGACTGACCTATACTTTGAGAAATGAATGATAGGTTAAGATAAATGGAAGGGTAGACAAAGTGGGGAGAGATTTATTGGAATTAATTTTAAGGAGGATAGCTGAAAAAAATTTAATGATTATTGATAAATTTAGATATATTTATAGTGAAAAAAGTAATAATCTCAGTCTTGAATGATTATCTCGGATAAAATTTTATAGACTGAAAGAGTAAAGGATACTGAATGATTATCTCGCACAAAACTTCATAGTAGTGAAACTCTCTCTCAGTTATGCAATGCCTTCCTTAAAAAGCAAGCTTTGGTTCTCTGACTTTGCTGATAAAGGCACCAAAGCACTTTAGAATCAACCCCTTGGAGATCTAAATAAAGATGCGGGTTACTCAAAGTTTGAAACCCGGCCTTTTTTGATCTGGAACCCGAACCCCTGATCTGAAGAATAGAAAGCCTTCATCGACCTATCCCAGATGGCATTGCAGAATATTGCGGATAAACTAAATTAAACGAAAAAATCAGAATAAGACTTAACCTTATCTTAAAGGAGCCAAAAATCTTTGCGTCATTTAATAAATATCAATTCTATCATAACTTTTAAAATCATTACCCCCCCCCCTTATCCCTCCACTTTACAAAATCATTAAAAATCCCCTAAAGTACGTTTCCACCCACTGATCCAATTAATTGAATGATCACAAAATGTTGCGATATTATATGTATACATTTTCCAATTACTATTCAATTGCTTAAAATATCCCCTCTTATATTTAACTAAAAAATTTTGGTTAAAGAAGGTGGTTGCAGTAAACTAAAAATCACGCATCATTCAACATTTAAAGTAAAACAAATCGAATAGAAGAATTGTTTAGAAGGACAATATTTTGGAGGAAAACAAAGAAAAGAATTTGCGATTTGTAGGGGGAAAGGAATGAAAAAAAATTTTGAAAAAAAAAATTTTTTTGGAAAAAAAAAATTTTTAGAAAAAATTTTGGAGGGAAACTGTTGGTGAGAGTGATAAGAGAGACACGATTGCGCTTGCATTTTAATTCATAAAATGATCATATGAGCTCCTAAAATCGTAAAATTTTGCAATTATAGCCTCGATAGTATTAGCTAAAAGTTCTGAAAATTTCAGAATTTTTGGTTTCGTATTTCAGAAGTTCTGGTCAAAAATTTCAGAATTTTTGAGAAAAATCTCTATTTTTGTTATTTTTTGGCCATAACGTGAGAAATAATGAACCAAAAATTCTGAAATTTTTAGAGGAGTTAAATAACATATTTGGGAGTATCTCTGCAAAATTTTATGAATTTAGGTGCTAAATTGGCTGTTTTATAAGCAAAAGCCCAACTGTTATTTTACTAAAATACTGCCTTCTAAAAAATAAAAAATTTTCTAAAATTAGAGAGAACATGTTTTCTTTCAATTAAATATAAAAAATGGCAAATTTAATTGACAGAAACTTCAAAAGAAAAGAATCAAGAAAAAAACAAATTAAATAAAAATAAATATGGGGGATGTGAACATTCCTCCAATAAATTTTCTTTAATCGATCTAGACAAATTAATCGGATAAATAGTAAATAGGATATTATAGCTGATTATAGAATTAACAGAAAATTTTTATAAGAATATAAATCATGCAATAGATGCAAGCTTATCCATAATTTAATTATATACATTATTATTAGGTAATTGTTCTCCTACAAATAAATAAATGTCTACAAAGCCAATGAAATCACTCGCAACTTTCCAAATAATACTGATAATATTAATAAAAATCCATGAAATAAATAAACTTTCCGGAAATTAATAGCTATAGTCTTTCCGGAAATATACTAATTTGTATAAGTATTATAATATAAATTCCGGAAAATATTTTCTACTAAAAAAACTTTCCGGAATCCATAGTTTAAATAAAAAGTTAAGCAAAAAATCCGGAAATATAAATTTTCCGGAAAATATTCTATACTAACGGTAGAATTTCGGAAAGTTTCCGGACAATATTAGAGTTATACAATGAAAAAAATTAAATAAAAATATAAACTTTCCGGAAAAATAATAAATTAATTAAACTTTCCGGAAAAATAATTCTTTAAAAATAGGTATTATACTATAATTCAACATATCACTATAAAATCAAAAATAAATACTTTAAATAATACAATAAAAAAAATTAATTTTCTGCGTTAATTCGAGGCCATTCATTGCTTAATTAAACAAAAAAAGGGTCAATCAGTCTCACACTCTCCCTATCGTGTCAATTTCAGTTCCTCTAATTAATAGTGTGTTTAATCATTGTAAAAACCGCAAGAGAAGGAAAAATGATAGAAAGGATGTCTATCAACCTTAAAAATTGTAGATAGGTTACAAATTATTTTTAAAAATATTGTTTAATCAAGTGAAATTAAATGTATTTAGTAAAAACAAGTCAAATTTTGTACGAAATAATTGAAATAAAAATTTGATTGTGATAGAAACTATTTGAATAACAGAAGCTTTCCGCATTATAATAAAAAATTAATAAGCCATTGATAAATAAAATTGTTATTAGGAAGATAATAATAGTGGAAGTAATATGGACGCGAATAAACCCTTCTAGAACCGACCTAGTAATAAAAACTTTTCAGGAAATTATAATAACCAGAAATACATAAAAGTTTCCGAAAACTTTAATAACAAGAAATATTAATTTCCGAAAGGGATAACAACTAAAATTAAAACTTTTCCGGAAATTTAGACTTTCTGGAAAATAAAAAATAATCTTTATATAACTACAATAAAATTAATATAGTTTCCGGAAATATATGTAGTTTCCGGAAATTAATACATAATATTTATTATACTATATTTAATAATATTATTTTTTAATACAATTTAATAAAAAATTTAAGAAAAATAAAAATCATGCACTTTTGCTCTAGAAAAAAATTCCTTTTTTTCGTGAAAGTAAAAAAAAATATTTTTTCGCAACTTTAATTAATTATATTTTAATTTTATTTGTATAAATGCGCATAAATTGCACACAACTTAATTAATCTAATTTTTATTTTGGAGTAAAAAAACAAATTGATTTGCTTAAAAAGTTAACAAGAATGTAGTTAAAACGGGAAAATTGTTTTTGATTTTGTTTATAAATACCGCAAAGTCAGTTGTTTCAAATAGAAATTTAGGTGGGAAAAATAAGACTTGGAATACTCAAGAAAGTGTGTATTTAATTAATTGCTATAAAGAATGAACTGGATTTTAAAGGGAATTAGCGATAGACTTTTCCGGTTGATAGAAAAAAGCATTCCGGAAGTTATAATATATTTCCGAAAAATATAGTTTCCGGAAATATATAAATATTTATAACATTCCGGAAAATACTTAAAACTTTCCGGAAAAATATTTTTAACTTTCCGGAAAGCTAATATAATTTATATTTCCGGAAGGAATAATAAAATTTATAACTTTCCGGAAAATATAAATACAATCCGGAAAATAAAAATAAAATCCGGAAAATTAAATAAATAATGTTGAATTTATACATTATCCTTCCGGAATCTATAATAACCTTAACGTGTAATATAATAATGACTATAAGCTTTCCGGAAATATAATATTCTTATAAATTAATCCAATAGAGAAACGTTCCGGAAGAAATTACAACTTAAAATAACGTATAACTCAAAGATATAGTAAATTCCGGATGCTAATAAAAATTAATAAAAAAATATATATTAAGTAAATTAAAATAATAAATAAAAAATGTCAATTAAATTATCAAAAAAATTTGAAGAAATTAAAAATAAAAGTATTTAACAGCTGAAACAATTTTTTAAAGAAATTTGGGGACTGCGGTCAACTTTTTCTCTTCTAAAAACTGTTAATTTTAAACAAACACCCAATATCATTGATGACAACATTTTTCTCGACAATTAAAAAGTGTGGGACCACCTTCCAGTTTTTTGTTGCCACCTCTCTTGCGCACCCTCCCACCACCCTTAGGAGAGAGACTGACGCTTTCTCTCTCTCATTTCCTCGCCACACATAGCGAAAAAGACATTCTCTCATTGAATTATAGCGGTTTGACACCATCACTTATTAGGGGGAGAATAAGGAAAATTACCAAAACGGGACGAGGGGAAGAAGGAGATGGAGGAGAAGTAATGCTGCAGCAAATGGACACAAAAACACTGAAACTTGTTTTTGTAGCTCGCTATAAACAAAACATCAAAACAGAATTTGTAACAACTTTTCTCATCTATAAAATATTTACTTCTCTCTATCAATCGACTAATTCGCCATTATTTGCCGATGATTCTCACACATCTCCATATATCCAACAGACAAGAGGATCTTCCCAGGAGATCAACAAGAGGAGGATTATCCGTTTTTAAAATTAACGACAAGATTTATAAGATCCTTAAAAGGAGATTAGCCTAGAAAACCCCTAAAATCCTAAATAACTCAGCAGAAGGAAGTAAACAAAAGATTTGTGCCACAACGGAGACTAAGTCAAATTTTGGACTACATACAGTGAAGAATCAAAGCAGGGATGAGATGGGCTACTTGATACCCGAAACCCAGGCGTTTCTCGACTCCAAACACAATTAGAAGACATTTTGAAAGCACCTCGACCTGGAAACCGTACGGAACTTTTAACAGTCCATTCACATTATAATAATAAAACGTATCTAGCATCTCTAGACTACGTTCTAGTGGCATTATCCGAAACTTTGGAACATGCTCTATTCCAATGGTACTTCTGTCTCGGTCTAACATGACCGTAACTTGAACAGATTCCAGTTCGATCAATGTGGTTAAGAATTTATTTTTGATTTTATTTACTTTATAAATCAACATTTACCAGTCTCCCACCATCTCTCTCAATTTTTCACGTACAAATTTCTTTCCATTATTTAAACTCAATGAATCGAAAAAAAAGGAAGGGAAAATTAGCGGGAAAATAAAAATAAAAATTGGTTGAAGAATTTAAAATAAATACTTTTTAATTGCAAATGATTGAGACGTAATGGTTTAAAACGGAAATTAAAATAAAAGAGAGAGGGGTTGTCTGAATTTCAAGTTTTTAAAAAATTTTTGAACACACTGAGATGAGCGCGCTAATTTTGTACGAGAGCAGCTGATTTGATTTTGCCAGAGGGCATTGGGGTAGTTTTCAGTGAAATAATTTGAAAGATGCCAGACAATGAGAGGAAGGTCTTTTTAGGGAGGAAATCCGGAAAATATTATATTTTCTGAATGTTTTATATATTTCCGGAATGATTCTATTAATTAGTTTATTTAGATTATAGTTTCCGGAAGGTTATATATTTCCGGAATATTTTTTATGTTTCCATAGTCTCTTTATATTACTTATAGCTATAAGTTTCCGGAAAGTTTTCTTGAATGGTTATACTTTCCGGAATGATTTTATTAATTTTTCCGGAAAAAAGGCTATAGTTTCCGGAAAGTTTATTAATTCATCTATTTAGACAATAGTTTCCGGTAAGTTTATATATTTCCGGAATTTTTTATTTTTCCAGAATCTCTTTATATTACTTATACGTATAAGTTTCCGGAAAGTTTTATAGTTCCGGAAACACTATATTACCTAGGCCTATATATTAACTTCAGGAAATCTTTTAAAAGGAAATGGAAAATAATGAAAAATAAATAGGAAACGCCCAAAATATTTTTTGTCGTTTTCTTAAATTTAATAGACCCAATAATAAAGTACATAAAACATCCATTTCTATTTTTTAACGGAATGAAGACATTAAACATATTTGGCCATCCAAGCGAGGAAAAGCAGATTTTTGGATAATTAACTAAGAAAAAATTTTTTAAGAGGCGTGAAGGCGGAAAAAATCAAACAAAAAAAGTACATACATAGTAGATAAAAAATTTTATAAAGTTAGATTAAAAAAATTATTTTTCGAAAAATCAAGGACAATAAAGCTTGATAAAAACGATTTTTTACTATAATTTCCTTATTTTCCGGACACTAAAATCCGGAAAATTTTAATAGAATTAAATTTGATCTGACTATGCGAAAATAAAACAAAAAATAAATATTTTGGGGAATAAATGAAAGATATTTTTTAAATCAGCTTGAGGGGGAAGATTTATAAAATAATAAAAAAATATATCTGGAACAGCAAAGGTTTATTAGCAGCCGCATTTGTGCTAAACACCTGCTATGCTTGCAAATGGAGAGAAAAAATATTTTTGAAAATTTAAAAAAGAATTATATATTTCAAGAAATGTTCAGATTAAATATAAAAATAAAAAAAATTAAAAAAACCCAAGGAAAAATTCAAGGATGTTGATTAAATATTAATGTAATAAATATTGTCTGGGAATGCTTTATTCCGGCTAAAAATGTTTTAAACTAAAATTACACTGGTAGAGAATAACTTTTCATAAAAATTAGATAGTACTAAAAAATAAGAGACGAAAAAACTTTTATAGTTGTGGAATATAAAAATATGCATCCGGAAAGGTATCCGGAAAATATGCTTGAATAATAATCAAGTTTATTTTAAAGTTTATTTTTTACTTATAGTTATTTTTAATAATTAAAGTTTAATTTACATATTTAAGTTTATTTTTCGAATTCAAGTTTATTTTTATATTTTAGAGTTATTTTCAAGTTTAATTTTATAATCAAAGTTTAATTATTATATTTCAAGTTTTAGAAAACGTTTCTCTATTTCAAGTTTATTTTTATATTTTATAGCTATATTTAAGTTTAATTAGTCTTTATAGTTATTTTCAAGTTTAATTTTTATATTTAAAGTTTATTTTTAGAAATTCAAGTTTATTTTTATATTTTAATAAAATTAAGCGTTCTCTTTACCCTATCAAATAAAAATTAAAAACCCACCCGGTACTTCTTCCGATACAGGACAGTTTTTCTCATCATCACCATTGGGACAGTCAGAACGTCCATTACATACATATGCCCTTTCAATACATCTATCCGTGTCTGGGCATAAATATCCCCCTCTACGCCTGCAATCTTCAATTCTTCGATTTTTCTCCTAATTTTGATAAAATTAATTTTGAAAATTTTCCAAATTAATTTACTTGCTCTGCCCTTTGACGCTGTATTTGTGCTTGATGTTCTTCTAATCGTTTCCGCTCGTCTTCTTGTTCCTGCCTTCGTTTTTGCTCGTCTTCTTGTTCTTTCCTTCGTCTTTGCTCTTCTTCTTCTTTTCTTCGTCTCTCCTCAGCTTCTCGAAAATAACCTTTAATTAAACATTTTATCCAACTTGGAAGTAAAATGAAAATAAGTTGCAAGTTTATATTTCAAGTTTGTTAATGTTTCTCCAAGTTTATTTTTATATTCCACATTTATTTTTAAGTTTATTTTATTTTAACTTCAAATTTCTTTTTATATTTCATAGTTATTTTTATATTCCAAGTTTATTTTTATATTCCAAGTTTATTTTTATATTCCAAGTTTATTTTTATATTCCAAGTTTATTTTTATATTCCAAGTTTATTTTTATATTTCATAGTTATTTTTATTGCATTTCAAGTTTATATTTCAAGTTTATTTTTAATTCTAGAGTTATATCCGTAATTTCAAGTTTATTTTTGTAACTATTTCAGTTTCTTATATAATTTATAGTTATTTTCTTTCTGCATAGTTATTTTTATAGTATTTCATGTTTATTTTATTTCGATAATATTCTACCTAATAAATTATAGCATGTTTAGAAATATTATGAACTTACTACATTCCATTTCATCCGACCCATCTTCACAGTCATATTTTTGGTCACAATGACTAGAAGCTGGGATACAACCACCTTCACGACATTGGAATTCACCTGGAGCACACTAAAGAGCAATTAAAATTTTTTATAAAAAATTTTAATTTTTTTTCCATATTTAATGAAAAATAAGGCCTAGATTTTAAGAATCTTTGGGTATCCTTTGCACCTTTTCTACAGTAACTGTAGAATAATTAAACAGAAATTCTGTGTTTAGTGTTTCCTATCACAAGTTTATTTTTATATTTCAAGTTTATTTTTTTTGTATTCCAAGCTTATTTTTATAATTTAAAGTTTATTTTCATGATATTCCAAGTTTATGTTATATTTTCCTTAAATTAACATACATAGCCATTTATCACATTTTCCGGACGTATTGTAATTACTTTCTCTTCATCCCTGCTTTCACCACCACCATTTCTACAATTGCTTTCATCAAACCCATCCCCACAGTCATCCTTATTATCACATATTGAGTTATAATGAATACAACGATTTGGAGCTGTTTCAGGGCATCTGACTTGTTCAGGCCCACACTGCCCTTCTTTTTCTTTTTTTAATTTTTCTTCTTCTTCTTCTATTTTAAGTAGCCTAGCTTTTTCTCGCATTTGTGAGTTTATAAAATAATCTTGAAATAAAAATTTTAAAAGTTTTGTATGATTAAATTGTGGTAGACAGCCCATCCCTTCCGCATTCTATGTTCCGAAGAATAGGGACCCTTCCGTCATTCTACTTCGCGTTGCGTTTGGTACTAATACCCCTCATTATAAGATAAGATCCTTCAGCTCTGGTGATCCATGGATCACTAACAGGGTTGCACGCAATTGGGGATTGCGGACTGCGTGAATTGGTGGGTTTTTTGACTTGCGGACTGCGGCTGCGGATTTTATAATGAAAATTGCGGACTGCAGACCATTGTGAGATGTAAAAAATATTCTCAAACATACCACAAGTTAACTCGTCTGACCCATCCGTACAATCATATTTATGATCACAAACAAGTTTGTTATCTATGCAAGCCTTAGTTTTGCGGCACATGAATGAGTTTGAATCGCAAGATTGTCGTTTTTGTTGGAGCTTTATTTCTGAAGGTTTTGAAGCAGAGAAGGATTGAACTGAGTGTTTCTCATTTGCTGAAATTTTTATATGATTTTCCAAATTTAGTTTAGTTTAAATATTTTTCTTAAATGACAGGGAATCTATGTAAACTAGTCGGTAAAATCGCAATCCTGGAATATCGTAACGGAGTTGGCTTATAATTTTTGAACGAGAAGGGATTTTACTTGGATTAATTACGGAAATCCTGTCAACCCAGACAATGACAAGGCCCGTAATTTTAGGGCGAAAAACCAATATTCTTTTACGATTTTCATTTTTTCCTGAAGTCTATGGAATTTCTATTCAGTTTTGCTGGGTAAGGCTCCGGGAGCTAGCTCCGGAGCCGGAGCTAAGATTTTATAAGCACGGGCCAAGAGCCGGAGCCAACAGATGCTCAATACCCACCAGTGTTCCTATTCTCCGTCTGCTTGTTCCGAATGTTTATTATTTCCAAATTTTCTAATTTTCGGAATTTTTTTAATTTTCGATTTCCAATGCCTCCCGGCTTTTTCTATCTTTCATTTCCCCATTAATTTTCTCTTGAAAAATTTTTTTCTCAAAAAATGAATACAAAAATTCATTCTTTTATTACTCAACAAAGGTCACCCCCTTCCCATAGAAAATTATTTTTCTAAAAATTTTTTTTTCTTTTATTCATCCCTTCCATTTTAGTTGAATTGATCGTCAAAAATATTTATTTTTCTCCTATCGATCCCCCAAAAATTATTTCCTTTCTTTACCAACAGAAAAATAAAAAATTGTTTTTGGAGAGCACCGCCGGGGAAATATCGCAAAATTACATCAAAAAGTTTTCGCGCATACCAAAAATCTAATTTTCCTTCCCCCAATCCGTTGACATTTAAAATGGTCATTGTCCACCTATTTTCACCAATTCTCACTCCTTTTTCTATTGAAAAAAAAAGTTTTTTTGTTATTTTATTTGATCAAATTTGTATCACTTTAATATTAAATGTTTGATTGTTTGCCTTTAATAATTTTTAATAAAATATTTTTAATAAATGAAAGAATAAAAAAATCTAACTAACATTTATTTTTAATCAAAAAATTTTTACGAATAATTTTTATAAAATTCAATTATTTATTTTTTCTCTCATTTCTTAATGTAATTTTTGAATCAAAAAATTAAATATTAGATAAAATCCAGATTAAATTCAGACCAAAAACTATGTAAATCCTCTTTTGTAAAATTGCCAGATATTCAGAATCGAACTAGAAATACATGTTTCCTCGGTCCATACCAGGGATGGGTCGGGTTACCTGAAACCCGAGAGCCGAAACCCGGTCTTTTTTCGACCCGAAAACCGATCAAAAATATT